CCAGCTTCCGCTAGTCTTCCGCTGCATGGTTAGCAGAGGTGAGACATGCCCTCGCATGCAGTCGGAGAGCAGGCTTCGTGTTTGAGAAGTGCATATAGTGCATGGCACATCACTTGGCATAGAGCATCCCCTTGCCAGCATGGGAAGTATGCTCAACTTCAGTCATTGTACGGAAGGCCGCACAACACAACCGCAGACTTTAGCGAGCCGGTTGTGTGGCAGCTGCCCGAGCTGCCGCAGTTATCTACACGCTGGTGCCCGTGATGCTGGAACCACATGGAACCCGCATAATTGTCTGACATGTGTTTCGAGGCTGCTCGGGCTGGCATCACCTCATGCCCTGCGTGAGTGGATGCAGCACGAGGGGCTTGTGGTGGAGGCACAGCATGGACCACTGGCACCACATAGCATGGTTCAGCAGCCTTTGGCGTCCACAAGTGCAACGACGCAGTTCCATAAAAGAAAGTGTCGCTGGCCCAGATACACGACCGCGATCCGAAGAATCAGAAGGCATGGAGTCTGAGTAACATGGCACGCCATATATCACAACCGTGAATGGGCGTTTGTGTTCGTGCGCGTGCTGTTCCAGGTGGAAGCCGCCGGACTGGTGCTTAGTGACGCGGCAGATAGCGGGATTATCTGCAATGCTCCGTTTGTCGAGGTGGAGATGGCATTCCAAGAATGCGGCCCATTCATGGCCATGGTCGTCCTCCCAGAGTGAGCACTTGCATACTTCGACTCCCTACTGGCTCCGTAGCAGGTGCGTGCCAGAATCGTACGCGTAGCCAGGATGGTGAAATACACTTGATTTTGCTGGTTGGCTGTTGGACGCACTGTCTCACCGAGGCGTGGCCCGTTTCCCCTTGGGGCCTTTGCTGAAGTGTTGCACACAGCGAACCCGAGAGTCAGTCGACGCGTCGCATGATCGCTGGTGTCAGGTCGGAGACGTGACTCGGCGGCTTTAGCTGCAACCGGACCTGCAATCGGACCTACAGCACGTTGGCACAGAACCATGCACTCATATCATGCACTCATATGTTCTCATATGTAGTCTTGCGGCAGGCTGGAGCTGTCCTTGCGGGCTGACGTGTGCCCAAGCCGTGGGAACAAGAAGAAACGCCGAGATCGGAGCTCGGAGCGCCAAACGATCCCGCAGAATCAAAGACTGTTTATGATGACTGCTTCGTGTATATATAATATATATATATATATGTGTATAACTTTCTGCTGTATATATGTACATCTAGAATTTCCCCATGATTAACTTTTCATTTATTGCAGTATTTTCGTTTCTGTTCCTACGCGGATATTCCATGACCCTGCGGATGTGAGGCCGAAGCTTTGAGTCCAGGGCCCTGCTATGTCTGACAGAGCCGAAAGCTCCGGTGCCCCAAGTTCTCTGCACTTTAGGCGTGGACAGCCTTCATGCATCGGGTTTGTTAGATGAAGAAGGCACGACGCTCAGTCACAGCAAGACCAGGTGCATCCAAGAGTTTAGCTGCTGAGAGCCACTGTGGATGACAGGCCGGCAAAAAATCGCTCGCAGAGAAGGCCTCAGCAAGCGTGAGGACACGACGAATTACCATTCCCTTGGAACTGTCAGCAACTCAGGCGCTGCAAGTTGTAGGTCATTTCAGTTTGCTCTTTGCCCTGTGCACAAGGTGTGTACCCTTCGTGCAGCACTGGCTGTGCCAGTGTCCTCCTCAGGCGCAGCCTAGCATGATGTCATGGCGGCCACGCGACCAGTGAGGTCCCGCTTCACACCCAAATCCAGGAAACAGAGGAGGAGGTCCGACAACGACCTTGAATCGAACTAGCTTGATGCATCACACGCGCCCATGCCGCCCATGCCTTGTCGATTCCTAGTCATGCAGGAGCATCGTAGACACTGGGAAACCACGGAGATGCAACAGGGCAGTGCTGCAGTCCTAACTTCACCGAGATGCAAACTTGTGGTGCGGGAGATGCTTTCATGAAGTCGCGGTTCGTTTTTGCTTGTCTCGCGAAGGTGTTCACAGCAAAGTCGCTCGGTGACGCCTTCGCCTTGGCCGCACGTGTACTTGCTTACGTCTGCGTACCTGCGCTCCGGGAAGAATTCGTGCCTCTGCAACCTGACTGAGTCCGCAGCGCTGACTCAATGGGCGCCAAAGGCAACGCCAAGTCGGGCGAAAGTCGGCGCCGTCGGCGCCTCCAGAGTTCTTTCATGTTCTTTCTGCAAGCACTATATTCCTGCACTCAAATTCCGATTTTCTGGCACGCTCAACTTATCCAATTCAAGCTATTTGATGAACCTTGGGGTGTATGACCACACAATTCACACACAAAGTCAGAAAGTAATAGGTACTGGTAGATAGACACTCTGAAAGAACCTTGTTTTCAGTGGATGAGCAGAGAAGTATGCGTTTGGGGCGATATGTTGTGGTGATCCCATGCGACCCGTCGTTGTTGATTTACATGCGCTGTTCGCAAGACACGTAGAGATAAGACCCGGAAACGCCTAGACACCAGATGTTTACTTACTGTTAGGTAGGCAAGATGTTATTCCAAAACCTGCCCGGAACATCAACATCACATCGCGCAAATTGCGCTGCTTCAACATATTTCTCTCTCTAGCGACTCGGTTCCCGATCCCTACCCTAAAATACCATAAATGTTGTCCGCTTGTCGACGAACAGCACCTAGTTGTTGAAGTATGTGCATTCGCTTCACCATTTTCGGAGTCTCGCGTTGCCACGCTAGACCTTCGTTTAAGTTTGCACACAGTGCCATAGCCCATCAGAATGCGCAGCCAGGATTCTGTGCTCCGAGTTTAAGACGCTCCCAACGAAAAGCACCATCACAACCCCGGAATCCCAAGACCCGAAAGAGAATGATGAGGTTGCCGGGCCCTGGCGCAGAAGTGCAGAAGAAGCAGCGGAGGAGCCTTGATCAAAACGAGCGCCCGCAGGCAAGCGCTGAGAGAGAGAGAGAGAGAGAGAGCGAGCATCACCAGGACGAAGCGAAACTCTTGGAGAACGAAGATGCTGAGGCCCTCTACTTCTGGCCCTGTACCATCGCGAAGTTGCATGACATGTTCTGATGTTCTGGAGAAGCTTTCAAGACATGTCGTGACCGTGACGCGTTTGTGGCGTGTTGAGTGTGCCGGAACTCGTCGCTACGCCGCTACCGAAGATCCGAGTCAAGCTTCCGGAGTTCCATGAGCCGTGCAAAGTGTTCAGACAAGACTGTTATGATTGTTGTTGCTTCAGGCTGCGTCACTTGAGCTCACACAGGCGCCCAAGTGGAGTATGGTGTGATTGCAAGGGCCAGCGCAGCAGGGGTGATAGCACATGTTCAACAAGGCAGTTCCACGGGGCGCTCTTGGCGGCAGGGGCCTTGATGTGGCATTCCGCAACCAGTATCGAACCTGCTCTGCCGATCAGAATACTCAACGGCAACTTGTCAGTAAGACAAGGCAGAACGAAGCCCCGACATGGGATTTTCGGTGTGACAGAAAGAACCGTGCAATTCGGCCCACGACGAAACCACCACATCAATTTGCTTCCCATTCCGAGGCTTGGACTGCCGCTTCGAGCGCTATGGTCGCATTTTTCTCCATTGCTCTGAGGCAGACACAGAAGTCTTGTAAGAGCCTTCCGAAATCAATGGGGCTCATGCTGGTGGCTGCAGGGTGAGCACGCCGCCCCTCGTAGTTACATCTTCTTGACGTTCGTGACATGTTGTCTGCGCGAGGCCAACGATGGAGAAGTTACCAGGGCGGCCTTGAGCACGGAGCATCGGCTTGGTGCCTGTGAAGCATGTCACCTGGGCCGCTACGCTGAGGTGCTGACTTGCTTTCACGAGCTGAACGCCTCACTGCTGGGGCTTCGCCCAAAGGAACTGGCCAGCTGCTGCCCGTTGTAAACCTGTGGTTGCCCCATATCGGCACCTTACCCCTTTCGTAAGAATTGTTTTGAGGATGGTGAGTTTCTCCTGAGGCAGCTGCATGGCCCTCAGCTTCAGTTTGGAGTGCCTTCAGAGCGGGTCCCATTTTTCTAATCTGAGCAACAGTCATTCAACAGCCTGCGAGTGGCACTGCAAGGTCAGAAGAGGAGCAAGAAGATCCTCATTTAGTGCAGACCTCAGAACGGAATTTCCGCAGTTTAACTTTACATGACGACCTGCCGCACACTGATGCTGTCACCCGTCGCCGCAAGCACCAGGATTTGCTGTCCGGCTTCTGCGTGCTTGATGGGCGCCAGAGCCTTTCGGTCTCCACCCCCACTTTCTTGGCTGATGGTTGTCCTGCTGCGCCGTCTCACAGCAACGCTGAGGCTCGCGACTGTTTGTCATCGAAGGCGCGGCCGCAGTCTATAGGCACGCGGCCTGCATGTAGCATCATGGAAGTTTGAGAGGACTGCGCGAGGGCCACTCATTCTCAAAGCTTCTCGAGGCAAGTTGTGGCGGATCTCTGAGCAGCTGATCCTGACTGGTAGCTGGTGCTTTCCATCCGGCATGCCAGGTGATTCCGCGCGGCCCAGATGCACCAAAGTTGCAGTGGCCTTGGAGGATCTTGGATGTGGGAAGTCGAACTTTCTTGAAGGGCATCCTGGCTCAGGTTGCACAACTCCGCGATTGGATTTGGGGAGAGGCCCACTGCAACACCCGATCTTTGCCACAGCGACTGCACAGTCCGTGGCCGCCATTGCCATGCCCAGCCATGAAATCAGCCTGCAGCCTTCTGCAGGCTCTACATCAGTTTCGGCCCGAGGCTGAAGCAGGTGAAGCTGCGAGGAACTTTGGAGAGGCTGTCGTTCAGGCCAGTGACACCACTGGAACTTGTTGGCAGAGTTTCTTGCCACGTGACACTCGCCGACATGATTGCTGCAAGCACTGCCGCTGAAGTCCCGGGTAGTCGTGTTAACTTTGCGAGGCCAGCACTCTACTCCTGGAATAAGTCGGTGCCTCCCTGAGTCTTCAAAAAAAACAGAAATTGTGGAGACCCTATCTGTTATTGTGCCATATTGTGCCATAATCATGGCTTAGCGTGTGGGGGAACTACCCTGCTAGGGGTTTGTTACAGCTGAGTCACGACTCAGCTGCAAAAGTGACAGGGAGACACTCGAGCAGTCCTTCCCCAAGCCCTGCAGCACAAAACAAGAAGCAGAAGAAGGCTGCTCGAGCACTATGCTTCTGCGTTTCCGGTTGGCAGGTCGTGCTCTGAAACGTGCGAGGAGCATCACACTCGGCAATCTCACTTACACGCTGGAAGGAAGGGAAGGGAAGGAAAGGAAAGGGAAGGAAAAGACTGTGTGGCAAGGGGAAGATTGGTCAGCAGTTCTGCATAGCACAGTGGCAGATAGGCTGTGTGAGCAATTGCTGTGTTCGGTATCGTACTATCGGTGGTCAGCGTTCGTCGAGTTCGTGCTTTGGGGACACGAACAAGACCACGCAGAAACCATCAGAAAACAAAACAGAACTTCAAAGCAGATTCCTGAGACAGAACGCAGGAGCGAAGAATGCGAAGGTAAACGCGATCCTTTGTGCCTCATTTACAAGCTTGCACGGCTTGAGTTTGGCCTGTACTTTAGTAGAGAAAATGGTCACAACCCCCACAGCAAGCCCAGAAATAGTTGCGAGGGAGCCAATATTGATAGAATCACGCGATCCGAGGGTCCTGGGGCAGGGCTCAAAAACTCAGTGGGTCGACATAGAAAGAATGCACCCATGCAAAGATCTTTTATAGAGAGGGAGGAGTAGAAGAAGAAGAAGCAGAAGCAGAAGCAGCAGAAGAAGAAGAAGAAGAAGAAGGAGGAGGAGGAGGAGGAGGAGGAGAAGGAGAAGGAGAAGGGGAAGGGGAAGGGGAAGGGGAAGGGAAGGGGAAGAAGAAGAAGAAGAAGAAGAAGAAGAAGAAGAAGAAGAAGAAGAAGAAGAAGAAGAAGAAGAAGAAGAAGAAGAAGAAGAAGAAAAACACAAAGATGAAGAAGAAGAAGAAGGAAAAGAAAGAATAATAATAAGAAGAACGAATAAGAAGAAGAAGCGGAGAGGGGCGCACAAGCATATTCTGCTTGCAGAGACTGCGTTCTAGATCTAAAGACCCATCCAACACGTGATTGAGAGAAAAGACGTGCAAAAGTCAGCTCGAGTTGGCGATCCAGAGCTCAAGATCCAGCCAACGGCGTTGGAGCACGATAGTCGCCACGGTAGTCACGCGAACCTGGGCCAGCTTTCGTTAGCCTGGATGCTTCAACTCCCTCGCTGCTCACTTCTCTCGTTCCGTCTCTGCCATCTGCACATCCATTGGGCTATACATCGGTTCGCGGCCGAGGTGTCCACCGAAGACGCTGCGGCAAATGAAGTGCCCAAGCAACTCATGGCCCGTGCCCTGGTGCACTCTTTGCCTCGATTCTCGCAAAGGCTTGCCGCCACTCCGACTCAATGGCAACATTGTCTTGTCTTCTGTCTGAGGCTTTGAAAGGCATGAACCGGCTTCGGTGTGCCCGGGAGAATCCGCACTTCCCGAAGGCACACGCTTGCACGCTGTCCTGCACATGCTGCACATGAATGTGCACTACAATCTGGTAGAGACGAGACACAAGAACCTGCTGTACTGATGGCCTTGTGCGGTTGCTCGGAACCCTCCAGAAAACAACCAAGTGCAGCAGGAACAGAACCCGGAACTGCAGGTTAACGCATGACTAAATTGGCTGGCGCAGGCAGCACAAATTGAGCACATGCTGCGGCTGTATGGCTGTCCTGGCCTGTAAATTCTGGACATTCCCATGTTGCAAGCTGTGCTGTCCGCATCGTCACTGCCAGGGGCATACATTAGCGACCAAGAATTGGAGGCACGCTGACTTCATGGGTTTTGTGACGTGGCCTTGTTTGCGACTGCGCACGCTATGTGGTGGATGCTTCCAGGGATTCCCTGCCGAAGAAGCCATAACCGACGCTTGGCTGCATTTGGGATGAGGCAGTGCAGTGAGGCGCAGCAGAGACACTGCCATCAGCTGTGAGGTCAAGAAGAGAAGCGCCCGAGGCTGGGCCGGAGTATGTCGAAGTATTGAGCCATATCATATCGAATCTGATATCTTAAGCAGGGGTCAGCATCTGAGGAGTGGACCCACGTCGGTCCTCAGCTGCACCAGTTGCAGCTCACGATGCGACAAGGGATGTCCTGGCAGAGGCTTTGGGCCTACGAGTGCCCATCGGAAGCCCAGTCGTCACTTAACAGAGAGCCTAAGTAGCAGTAGCAAGTCTTAATTGCACCTCTTTGATCGAGTCATTCTAGTACTCATCATGAGTGGTTGAGTGCAGGCAGTGATTACCAACCAGCTTGCCGGTGGAGGCCTTCATTGATGTCCGGCTTCTTGATACACAGACATAGACCCACAGCTGTCGTGGCTTCAAGGTTTCCATCGCGCCCAGCACATGTGCAAAGCTGGCTGTAGCACAGCAGCGCCTGGCTCAGGCACAGTCCGTTTCCAAACGCGGTCGACGCTAAAAGAAAGGTTGGACCAGACGTGCAGCCCCTGGAGTGTCCGCGCGTCTCTCTTTGATTCTCTTTGCCTCTCACGTGTGACTCGCCCTACAGCTGTCTCGCCATTGTGCAATAGAAGTGCCGAACACAACAGCCAGATGCAGAAGCTGAAGCATCAAAGCGCAACTTTCCGCACTGTCCGCTGGCTTCAGCGTGCGAAGATTAGAAAGGAAGCACGCCATGACAACTTGTGCAAGCATCCAGTTCCAAGCAAGTTCCAGTCATGAGTCACAACACGTTTTGCATACAAGAGGCACTGCAGAATCATGGCAGCCGGGGCAAGCTGCTCTGCATGTGGTACCACAGAGAAGTTGAAGCGCTGCACCTCGTGCAAGAAGGTTTACTACTGTGGTACCAAGTGTCAGAAGCAGGATCTGAGTCGACATCGTCAGGAAGATGGATGTGGACCGGCACTCGCGAATGGTTGTAAACCATGTCACCAGAGCACAACTAGCACAACGGACTCTGAGAAGCAGCAGCCACGTGATGCTCCGTATCCTCCAAAAGCAAGCGCCGCAAACTCATCAGGTCCAAAGTGCCTCAGATGTGGCCGACTAGGTGAGGACATCTATGCCGACATCGTTGCCAGGAGCATCTTCGGATCTCCGGACTGCAAGCACGGTCCGTACTGCACACCTTGCGCACAAGCACTGCAGAGACTGACGTTGGGTTTCTGCTCCGGTTGCAACGCGCTGGTGCGAACAATGGTCTTTCCAGATGTGCAAGCAGAAGAACAGGGTGAGCCACAGACTGAGGCAGTGGACATCATGGGTCTGGACTAGGCTACTAGGAACTAGGGCTATGTTAGTATCTTAATTCATGTGCAGCACGGCAAAGACCATGGACAGGGCGCGGATGCAGCACAAGCGACCAGCAAAAGTCTGTTTGATGACTCGACTGCGTCAGGCCGCTATCGACTCTTCTGCTTCCCCTCACAACTAGGCGTTTGAGGCGTGTTGCATTGCTGCGGAGCCGATTAAGGAATGCACACTACGAGGAACACAATGAGCTACGCAAGAGCGAGCGTGCCTCAGCTGTGCTCAATGAGACCAGGTACGACCAGTTGCTGCACGAATGCACTTTCAGCAGCCACTCGCTCCGTCACTCTCGCTCAATACGAACTGCCATAGATCTGCATCTCACCTGTGCAACTTCGCCAAGGCCTCACTTCAGAATTTTCAGAAGACGAACAAGACGCTAGCATGGTCCTCAGATGCGGTAACGGAGTTGACCATGAACGACCTGACATGCGACGAGAGAAGCCTTGACCGGTTTTTGAGGTGCGCATTCAATCAGACCAAAATGTTCGAAGGAATGTATGGATCCCGGCTTCTACCCTTGCAGAGCGACGCATCTGTACTCTAGCAAGGCTTCAGTCAGTCAGAACAAATCCTCCAAGGACCTGCTCGGCAAGAAGCGCGAGCGGGAAACTCCTTTCCTTGAGGGCCAGGCCAGGTGGAGGGGGCGGGGCACAGCACAGGTAATGGGATTCAATCTGACAGAAACACGTTGACTTTGACGATAGCGAAGGTAAGCGACCGCTTGTTCAGAGCCTAATCAGTAGTTGCATTAGCCTTTCTTGGGTGCCTGACCTTCATGCTAATTGAGAAGCACAAACGCAGTACGAGGCTTTGATTCCTCCCAAGTCCAACCCATGGCAGGTCTATTTGTACTCCAGCCAGAAGTTGAACAGTGCGGAGCTACAGAAGGCCACTCACAACCTGTTTCTGGTGCTTTTTGAGATGGTTGAGTCTCCTGTCACCGACTACAGGACTGGCTTCGCAAGCACATGGCTGGTCACGAATCCGAGAAGGTGTGGACATACAGCTGAGCACTCAAGCCCCACCAGTGCTGTCAGTAGTCAGACAATCCCAGACAATACCTGCAGGACCTGAATGTGAAAGTATGTGCATTTTTCATCTCGCTCAGCTCGCGACAGCCTATCTTGCCAACTTGCCGAGATCCGACGTACATGTCCCAGAACTTCGAATTTGAGGGTGCTGCGCCACCCGGGGCAAGGGCCTAAGCCATGCCGAGTCTTCGAGCGAGAGCTTCTTCGAAGCAGCGGAGGTGCCGAAGCCTCCACCCCCACGGCCAAACGACACCTACGCTCGCTTGGAAGGAGATGACAGAGAGGCCGAAACGAGCAAAGCTTAATGGCTTAATGTAGTAAGTTTTACATCGCCAGCGTGCGAACATTCTACGATGATCTACTATGGTAGAATGATTCTTCTCAGCATCTGTGTGGCCTCGAGAAAGCCCCGAGAAAGCTGAGAAGGTTTTTCGTGCTCTTCAAGCTCGGCCGCGGGAAGCTTTTCGAAAGCCTCCGCGTGATTTGGGTGCCTGGGCAAAGACTGGTAGCCACGGCTTGCATGGCTGATAGTCCAGCGATGTCCAGTGGCTTCTGAGATCAATCCACCGTGGAGCTCCTGCACGAGGCAACGATGCAGCTGATGCAGCTGATGAAAGCATGGAAGCCGGAAGGTTTTTTTTTCCTTTTTGGACTGGTACGGTCCTGTCCTTGTCAGCCCTTCGAAGAGGGTGAGTGGTTTCGAGTTGCCTGGGCCTGAGCGGCACAGCTTCTTCTCCACTGCGATTCCTTGCGCACTGAGCACTGTGATCCTTGAGGATTTGGGAGAGGAGAGGGCCCGGCCCATTGCCGTGGTGGAGACGTTCGAAGCAGGGAAGGCCGAAGACACGAACTGTGAGGAACTTGCATGAAACCCAAGCGGTGGCCCGGTCAGGTCCCACACAATCGGCGCTACACTTCCAATCCCTTCGATTCTCAGCATATGCTCTTGGGGCAAGAGCATGACTTCGGCCCCAAGACACGGCCTCAGGATATTCAGTTCCATATCTGAGAAGCATTGAGTCCCAATCAGCCCTTCATGTTATCTCCGAGTCATGTGGCAACTTTGGGATCAGGTCTGGCTTCGAGAGTGTCCATTACCATGGCCGCCGGCCTGACGAAGATCGTCAGGAGCGTGTGCCCTGCGTGCCTTCCCCTCCCTTTCAAGTCGATTCGGAGATGTTCGGAGGCATGGGGCGGGAGAGGAGGGCCTGCTTCTGGATTTGCGGTCACCGCAGTGAGAAGAATCCGGGAGGAAGACGGATTGCAGGGTGCTTTGCTGAACTAATGTGACAGGATCGTGCAATTCGACGGAGGGGCAACATGCCTCCATGAGGTAGGCATGCATGTTTTCCTCCGTGTTCCAAGGTTGCAGCAGTCAGTGGGGCAGTCGGGTTTGCCGAGCAACAGGGAGCAGACCCCCGCACAAACTGAAGTGGGCAAAACAGGGAGTCAGTCAACTCCATGCCCTCTCGGTCAAAGCACATCCCTGGTCAGAAGCCAGGGGGATGTGTGCAATGACATGCAACGTATTACTCCTTATCTGTTTCGAGGAGCAGTACTTGGAACATAACATCAAAGAAATGGAGGCTCGGAGTTCAGTTGGCAAGAGCGGGTAACAGTTGAGACTAGTCACTGGCTAATCCTGTCTTCAGAGCAGGCTGCAGCTTCAAAGATACGCTTCCATCGGGAAATGCCTCGGCCTGAAATTGAGATTGTGATGGGCAGACTTGAGTGACACTCGCATACACCGAGGAAGACGTTCTCACACGGAATTAGTCGAACCGGGGCGGGGGCCTTCCGAACCCACTTCTGAACTTGTCAAGTCTTTGTTAGACGGGTCATTCTTGACTGTTGGTGAGGTGACAGACCTCGACCGAAGCGAAAGGGTTCTCAAAGATACTCCCTCGCCGATGCCTCGGCACACCCGTGGCAATGGCCATGCCAAGCTTCATTGACCACTGGGCAAGCTTTTCTTCGACAAGCTCGCAGGTATCCTATGCGAGGTCGTGTAGATGCCCGGCTCTAAGGCGACAGAGTCTGGAGTGTGCAATGGGTGTGGAGTCTCCCGTGCTTCGGGGAGCCAGCGACTTGTACAAGATGACTACAAGGTAGGACAATGCCGCTCTGCCACTCAGGACAGGTTTCCAGAAAGCATGCGGACCATGGAGCCCTACCATGAGCTGGGTTGTCCTGCTCTGGAGCGCTTGTGTGGCGTTGACAGCGGCATAGCGCAGCATTGAGCAGCTATACTTTGCGTTGCAAAGGGAAAGCTGGGTCACAACTGGCAGGAGTGGCATGCCCGACTGCGTGAAAACGATGACACAGCTCCTCTCGACGCATGGAACCTGGGCATCACCTCAACCATGTGCCCGCCTGTGCGGTTCCTGCTAGCACTCATCACACCCGTGCTGCCGTATGAAGGTCTTCACTGGAGCATACATCAAGCGCGATCCAGAAGCTGGTGCTGGAGTCAAGCGGTCCTGTATGTCAGACACTCAGACATATAGAAGAACATCATGGAAAAGAGCAGCGCCTCCTCAGCCTTGCGCGGAAGCATTCGTCAGGTGTTACTGCGCACTGCCCAAAGTACCTCACTGTAAAGCTCTGCAGAGGAGCGGCTCGCTGACAAAAGCACCATGGCGACATGAAGGCACCATCAAGTCCCTTGCAGCAGCCTGTCCCTTAGAGGCCGTCACGTTTGCCTTGGATCCGATCCGTCTTTCCTGTGGCAGTTTTGACGATTTTGAGCACGTTCTGGATACATCTTGAAAGGCACTGATGCGCTCAGTCATGACTCGAGGCGAGCAGCAAGTCGGTGACCTATGTCAGCGCGCATAACTTCAACGCAGCCAGCAAGCCCCCACAGTCAGGGGCTGAGGCGACAAGCCGTTGGGCCGTTGGGCGTCGGTGCCACAAAGCCTCGGAGTTCCGCCACGGCTCACAGCTCACGGAGCTTCTGAGGTCACGCTTCTGCGAGGACCAGCTGTGGAAGAGCGCCTCGCGCACGGTGCGCCCGGAGCAGCGATGAAACGGCAGCCGGTCACAGCAAGCCTGGCGCAGGGAATCAGCAGGAAAGAGCGCAGCGAAACGCTCCAGTACAAGCGGTCGTCCCCTGAATATTTGTGTTCAAGGCTTTCTCAAGTCAATGTGGCGTTCAACTATTGACTCGTTTTTGAGGCCTCACCACTACGGCGTGCACCTCTGAGAGTGTGCATGCGAGATATCTGCGCGAACACAAGAAGAAAACTGTTCGAGTTCACAGTTGTGGCATCGGCCTCGACTGAACGGGTGGCTTGCGGGTGCTCCGCTCCAATCAACCCTCCAATCAACCCAGCTAGCAGCTAGCAGAGATCAGACTTGTCAATCAACTATGCTCAACTGCGCCAGAGTCTGCTGGAGCTCTGGAGCTCAGCACGCATGATGGAATTGCATGGGGTCGGGGTCATTGAAATTCTTTGAATTGTTCGGTCTGCACATGTTCTGGCTTTGGCAGTTGGTGCGCCCATATCGCCAGCCTTACCATCGGACCTGCAGTTTGCGATGTTGAAATTGGGCGCATCTGTGTGTGATCTTTGCCCGGCAACCCAGAGTCTAAATGTCAAAACCCCAACTTGTCCCTCAGGGCACTTGCGAGTTTTGCGTTCCGGTCCGTGCCTCCTCCTTCTGCGGCGGCTGGCAAACCAGAGTCCTGGGACATGCCCATGTGCACGGCGTGGCTTCATGGTACAGAATCAAACTACCGGAGCCAGGTGATCATGTGCCCTTGCAGTTGACCGTTCCACACCGCCTGCAACCGCAGTACAGTTGCCAACCCACTGTACGCAGCTCCTGCTGAATTTTGGGTGAACGACACGAATGCATAATGAAAGGATGTGACCTTGGGACTTGGTTGATCTTGGTTGTTGTTGGGTGTTGTTGGGCCAACATACTTACATAGCGCCAGTTGGGTGACTTCTATGCCACTGGGGTTGGGGGTGAGTTTACGCCGGCTGGGCTGATAACCTAGCGGCCTAGCTCTTGCATGCGCTTGGTGCAATGTTGATACAGGGTTGGCGTCTCAGTCGGCATCTTCTGTCAGAAAGCATTGCATAAGTACGTCAACTAGAGCCGATCGCAAGATCGATGTTGGTGCCGACATTGATCTCTCCTCGACCATTGTGGCTCAAGCTGAAGCTGTCTCACATGGTTACTTAAGCTTGCACAATTTTGCATGCCATCTGCTGATGAGCAGCTTTGCATGAACATTCGCAGGCATGCAGAGTCCTGAACGAAAATTCGCTAACCACGGTAACCACAGCGCGCACGCTGTGTTCTGCCCGAATAAGAAGCATGGAGCTGAGAAGAGACTAGATGGGGAGGTCGTAGGATCTCGTGCTTCCGGCGAGATCGGGGGGATGCCACAGAAATTGAAATGGAACGTTGTGCGGCGTGCACACCATCAGCGGCTTTTCCACGAAGACGATGTGGATTCCAAGAATTACAAGGGCGGTCTGTCCACTCGAAAGCGTCAAGGGAAGGAAACGGAGGAGGAGACGCAGCTGCTGCCGGTCAGTGATGAGTATGAATCCGACTTCAGCTCCAGCGAGGAAGAAGTTCCGGTTGGACAGCAGCCCTCGATCAAGATAAGAGTTCCTCGCTTGTCAAGCCGTCCAACTTTCATGCATGGATCTCTTGCACTAGTTACAATTAGTTATGACGCAGTACCTGCCACACACTACAAGAAATAAGCACCAGCCCAAAGCAAGGCACCGATTCACAAGGACAAGGCCTTGGCAGCTGTCCAGAAATGCAAAGTTCTGCGAGGTCTGTCAATCCGTGGGCAGGTCATTTGGGGCCAACAATTGCCAGGGCTCCTAGGGCAGCCGGAAATAAAAGTAGGCACCTCTGGAGTCTCCCGTATCGGCAAGGGTTGTGTTGTACGTCCAGCATCATGCTCTGGCGCAGGTCCGCATCGCGAACATGCTACAGTATGTCATATACAACTCTGGAACGGAACTCTGGTCAGCACAAGATGCTCATGAAAAGCGTTTCGTGTTGATTGAATCAGGCGAGGTCGAGAACTGGCTGCCAGCCAGTTCAGACTCTGCCGAGCAGTTCGTGGGTCGAAGTGGGCCTGGTTCTGTCCTTGGCGGCTTATTTGCCGTGGGCTCATTCTCACACCCTGTGTTCACAGTCCGGGTAGCCAGCAACGACGAGCAGAAGCCACTGCAAGCCTGGGAAATCAACAGCACAAACCACGTGCACTTCAGCACGAGTTTCCATGCAGAAGAGATGCACGTTCTGCGACGAAGAGTGCTTCAAGACCTTCGACTCCAGCTTCTGCCGTTCTTACAGCGTTGGTTGGCAGGCCGAGGTTTTTTTTCACGGTACTCTGGTGCATTGATTAGCAGGCTGGTGAAAGATATGGACTTAAGGCTTTTCGAGCCTGGCCAAGTCATTTTCAAAGAGCGGGCACCCGGGCGCAGCATGGGCTTGATCGTACGCGGCTCGGTCGAGATCTCCGCAAATGGAAGGAGGGTCATGTCAAAGGGGCCGGGACAGGAAATCGGAGAAGCCGCTTTGCTGGAGACAGGGTACCGACGGCATGCAACCACACGATGCAGCGAGAAGAGCGAGTCGCTCCTGTTTATGGTCAGCCGAGATGCATTTCATGCCTGCTTCGAGAAGTTCCCCGACGAGAAAATGAAGCTTGTCCAGCAAATCCGCCACCGAATCGCCATGACGGCCCTTAAGGAAACCTTCGCTGGCTGCAGCCAGGAGTTCGTGCACCTCCTAAGCACAGAGTGTGATATCCTCCATTTGGCTTGGCCGAAGACCGCGTGCAGCCCAACTGATACGGATGAGGCCATGCACCTGTTTTACAGTGGTGAACTCACCGTGGATAGCGAGAGCGAATTTGAGCAAACAACCCGATTTGCTAGAAAGTGGGAAATTTTCGGTCTTGAGGCAGCCCTGGGATTGCGCCAAGGGCCACCCAAATATAGCCTTACGGCAGGCCGCGCCGGCTGCACGCTAGTTCGGATGACGAGAGCTTCTGTCGAAAAGGTTTTGCACTTTTTCCCGACTGAGCTGAAGCAAGTCTTACATGCTGCTGGGTTAAGCGATGTCCCAGAAAGTCACGCTTTCCTGGCGAAAAAGGACATGATATGGAACACGGTACAGCCCCTTCTTTGCCAAATGCTGTGCAACACAGACTTAGACTTGGAGTTCTGCCAAGCTCTTGCTCCACACTTTACGGCGGCTGTCTATGATGCTGGCTGCTTGATAGCGTCCCAAGGTTGGGCATCCAAGGAGGCCATACTTGTGCTCGGCGGCGACGTCAGGTGGTCACAGGAAAATATGGCATCTGGCATTTGCTGTGCGCCCACATACTTTGACGTGGCATGTATGTTTGGTGAGGGTGTCCATGCAGCTAGCTTAACGGCCCAGACAACAACCATCGTTTGGCGTCTTGGCTTGCAAAGTTCCAGCGGCTGTATTCTGGAGGACGGTCACTTGGGTAAGCTGGCGAGCGAAGTGCGACGGGTTCAGGACCTGCAGCAACAAATCCAAGATAGCCTTCGGACGAGCCTGCGCAACATGCGGACCTGGCGCAGGTTCCGATCAGAAGTGATCGAGATCTTATGTGACAATCTGAACTTGCGCACGTTTCTTCCAGGTCAAAAAATATTGGAGGAGGGTGACCTGGGCGAGTCCATTTTCATCGTTGCACGTGGGCAGGTTGCTGTGCACACGCAAGGGAAGCCGAGCATTCTTCAAGAGGGCGCCACTTTCGGCGAGATGGTGCTTTTCGGCCAGGCACATCGAAATATCAGCGCAGAAGCAGTGACACTTTGCATACTCAATGCAGTCCACAAGGACTTGGTCGGCTATGCGTTGAAGCAGACACCCAGGGATGCAGTTGTGCCTGAAATTCTGCCAGCCAAAAAGAAATACGAGCGAAGAAGGGACGCGGGAGGAGAGCATCTTCATTCAGCGAAGCATGTTGAGGACACGTCGCAGGCGGACGCATCTAGTCACTTGACCGAGTTTAGTATAATTGCCGAGTGTCCCTCTGCAAACATTGAACACATTGTGCGCCATTTAGCTTTTGACAATTCGATTTGATGGGAGAACCTCTCAGTGGTGGATGCATGTCTCGAGGGCCTCATCTTCCAGAAGCATGGCCCTGATCTTGACAGTCACTGGACACGTGGCTAGCGCATGTTCGCAGGGCAAAACGTGGGGTTTTCAGGGCAGGGGGAACGGAAGGGAAGGCACAGAAAAACCATGGGAAGCGTCATGAAGGGTTTTTTGGGTAGGCCTTGTTGAGGGGACCGAAGAGGGCCAAACCGATGCGTCCCGTTGGCTTGTCAGGAACGGTCGCCTTGCCCCTTTGTTGGTGTTGAGGGCTAGCGACTTCCCATGACAACCCCAACCACTGCTGAGTCCGTCAGAGCTTCCTTTGTCCGAAAAGAAATTCGAAGTTTAAGAGCAAGGACATGTTTGGGGGGGGGGGGTCAGATCCCAGGCAAAGGCTTGATTTCCGGATTGACCAGGGTCAAGAAGGGACCAGATGCTCGCAGTGTGGCTAGCCTTGCGTCAGTGGAATCGACATCGGTAGCAGTTCTCTCAATCTGCAGCAGTCCTGCGCGGCTGCTAATACAGTGGGTTACCCCAGCAAGGAAGACAAGCATGTTTTCAACTGTTTAACTCGTGCACGCAAAGGTCGGGAGCAGGCGGCGACCCCGACTCCCAAGAAGTTGCGTCAGCGCTTGGACCAGAGCTGGCTTGTCCAGATGCCATCCCCAAGATTGCCGCCGGTCGACATTGGCCTTTACAGGCGCCTTGTAGATGCCCTACAAGTTCGTCTGAACAGTGTCAAGTTGAGCAGCGTTGAAAACCAGTTCGAACTTTTGAATTTAGAGGAATCAGCCGTCGCCGTCCGCAGGACACCTACGACGATGAATGCAAAGATGCAGGGCGCCTTCAAGGGAATAATGCCCCCCACCGCAATCATGGCCGCATCCCACATGCATGGAGTTCGAGAAGCGTATCACCACAAATGCCCGCGCAAGCGCTACACGATCGGATTTGATGAGCGGTTACCTCAGTATGTCTTGCTGACACGGCCCGTATCTTAATTCAACTGCGTGCCTGCATGTGCCTGCCCAAAGCGCAGGTTACCACCCCTGACGCCTGGCCGCAAGCGAGCGACGGCTGCATACACGGACCGGCTGCAAAGGCTACAACCTTCCAGCCCACGAAGGAAGGCCTGTGATCTTCCTGCAGGTGGCTGGCAGGACTCGCAGAAAGGCTTTGCAGTGGTGAGCCATCTACAGACGCTGGCTGTCAGCCTGAGCCGATTAAATTCCAAGCCCAACACTTGCAGAATCCTGCAGAATGGGATGAACGAACAGCACCACGAGCTTGATCCAACATTGCGGGCTCCCCCAGAACAGATGTTTACTTACGCAAAGCAGCTCGAGCGATCTGCTCTGGCCTATGGGATTAACAGTAAACCCAAAGATCAGCCAGGGGGCGACCAGGGCCGGGACTCACCCACGGTGCCATGCCACATAATAAAAGCAAGGTTTCTACATTACCCGGCTTGTCTCGCATCGAGAAGTACATACTAGAGGCGACTGCCGCTGCATAGTAGTAAACCAAGGCAATTTTGGACTACTTGTCGGATGGCTCTGACATCTCCGAATTGAGCGAATCGGATCTCAGGCCTGGTGTAGTTAAGGTATGTTCAGTTATGTTCAGGTTGTTGCTTTAGCTGACGCGTGTGAGTGGTATGGGCGGGTTGGTGGCTGGTGACAGGCGTTGCAGTTTGTTCGACCTGGGTTTTCGCTGTCTTGGGCTGTCCACACGTCACAGGTTGCATCCCGCAGTGTGCCTGTGGCATCGCTGTGATCCCCGGGCCTGCAAACGAAGCTCAGCACTCCAAGCTTCAGAAACTTAACGCAACCCCGAACTCAGCAGCTGTCAATATGCACCTTCGCCGAAAAGTTCGGCCCCTCTGTGACCTCCGCTTTGAGTTGCACACATCCATAATTCTGGTGTATGGCATAGCCTTGTCCGTGCCATCCGGAAGGCCGAGGCAGTCCGAGGACAAGCCGGTCCCGTTGATCTACCTCGTCAGACGCAAGATTTACGAGACCGTTGCAGAGGGGCAAAGCCTGGGCTGCCCAGTTTCCATCCTCTTGGAAGGAGCACCTCGAGAAAGGTCTGGTCTGGATGTTGATGGCCAGCTCTTGCAGATGGAACTGCACCTTGGATCTATGGATGATCTATGATACTCTCATTCTTAGCGGTTCTGAAACTGGATATGAGATGTCTTGGGGCCGAGTTTGTTGTCTCAACAGCTGAAGATGTACACGATTGCACACGCCCGAGTTTGCAGGCACATTGATTTGGCTGCAAGCAGTGCTGACACTGTTGCAGCTTCCCTTCGGTCTTCGCCAGAAGCTGGCTCCCTCGGGTCGTCTGAGTCCATGGCCGTTGTTGACCTGCTGCAGGCTGGTTGAACGCGTATCAACGATATGTCATTGCACTATACGACACTATACGTCTTGTCCCTGCAGGACAGTCCAGGCAGCACAAGACTGCACAGTGCAGAAGCACAACACCTGGTGCTGCAAGTGATGGAGAGCCTCCATTGAGCCAGCGTGAGCTTCGACAAGGAGAGCTTCAAGAGTTGTTTCCAAGAGAACGGCAAAGCCGTGCCTGAAATGTCTGAATGAACTCAATGAACTCGCAGCCTTTCCAGATGTTATGTCGAAGCAGTGCAGACTGTCTAGCCCATCAGTGAAGGCTGTCGAGTTGCTTTGTCTTGCGGGACCCCACCTGTCCCGCCCACCCATGATGCTGGAGAAATCTTCCGGAATCAAATTGCTTCCTTAGCCACCTTAGCCGGTGGAGCTGGAATCATCATCCCTGGCAGGTTCCTCTTTTATTACAGGTTTTACATAGACACGAAACGTGCCTTGAAAGGCCACCACCATGCAGGAAGCAGAATGCTTCATGTGGTCTGCAAAGTAACAGCAGTGCTTCGGTTCGGCCAAGCCGACCCTGGCAGTATACAGCCTGTGAAAAGGATTGAGCATGTGCATGTGCGCGGTGTGCGGCAAGAAGATGTCATTTGTTCGCATGTCGTCGATGGAACTGTTCGCCGATCGGCTGGATGAAGGCAGCTTGCTGAACATCCGGCCACATGTAATAGGCCCGCCTCAGCATATTTACGACGCACGTGTTCAGCACAGTTGGTCTCGCTTCCTGTACATGGCCACAGACCATCGACATCAGATTCGCATGGCAGAATACGTTATACCAGCCTCTCATGGCCGATCCCGTGGTATCAAGCGATGAAACTTTCCAGTCGGAGCTCCAAGCAGCTCTGGCAGGTGGCGTGGAAAGCTTCCACCACTTCTCTCCTCAGTTCCCGACCGTCAAAACCACAGCCACAATGTACGGGCAGAGTGGGCTGCAGAGTGGGCTGCAGATGGCCCGCAGTGACTGCGGGGACACCGAAAGTTTCTGCAGTGAGGGTCGCACGGCTGCATGGCAACGACTCCCTTCGAATGCTTTGCGCATCCCTCGCATCAGCCTGCCCGAGCCAGAGCATGGCCCACAGCAACGATCAGATCTAGGGGAGCTGGAGGAATTGGCGGCCGCTCCTGCGTCGTCGTCACGTAGAATCCCTCCTGCATTGAACTGTATGCGGGCATTGCAGCAGGACTTGATCGCAGAGTCCGAGGCTCAGCAGAAGCTTGAGGATTTTCGATGTGAGGTGGATAGTACTCGTAGGCGTCAGGAGCGACACAGGCTTGAAGAAGAGGCTGCTGTTGAAGCCCTGGATGCGCTGTGCCAGCGATCTCAGCGACCTGCCACGACAGAAAGAATCTCTGACTCCGAGTCCTCTAAAGATGCATTGGAAAGATTGCTTCGGCAGCTCCGATATTTGCGTGAAGAGACGCGCACATTCATGGATGCAAAAGTGTGGATTGTGAACATGTAATTCTCCATTGTGCACCTGAGCAGAGCCTCTGGCATCGTTAGCTCGTTTGGTGCCCTGAGACTTGTCACGCAATCTTCGAACAGGAGAGGGCTTCGGTTCTGCATCGCGTGTGCTTAATTCCATTCAATTCGATATAGGACCAAGCATCCAAGTGCAGGGCCAAGATGCCTCGCCAACTGAGCTCAAGATGGCGCGAGCAGCCGCAGACATCCGCCAACATCTGACAGCATGATAAATTCACAAGCCTCGAAAAGATGGATATGACGGATGTAAGGTGAAAGATTAGTTAGTCCACTGACCTTCAGCATCACAAGAACACAGCGTAAACCTTTCGCCCGTGGGAGAGTCACAATGTCACAGCAGTCGCTGTTGCCCAGAGCCCTTTCAGACTTCGAAAGCTGCTCCGACTACGAGTCGTGTCAGGGTTAAGCCCGCTGGGCACTTTTTTTTTGCTAACCGCTTGTTGCAAGTAGCACTTCGCTCCGTACTTCGATCTTTGACGTTCACGCAGTTCGCGGCAATGCCCAGGAGGAGGAAGCAAAGAGGAGCCTCCCCGAGTCCAGCTGGGACTACCTATCCGGAGGCGCGCATGTGCAGTGATGCGGTGGACGACTTGCCTTGCAGCGATCAGGAGACAGGAAATGTGTCAACGAGAAATTGGTAGGATGAGCTGAGTCTTGATTGTCAACCGTACCCCTGGCAACAAGTTCAGTAGATGCTGAAAATGTGCAGTCGTTAGCAGGGGAGGCCGACACCATTCAGCGCAATTTGGAAGCTTTCAAGTCTTTTGCGCTACGGCCTCGGGTGTTGCGGGATGTCTCGTCCATCAGCAGCTCGGCACTTTTGATTTGTCAGGGCAGCTTGCGAAAAACATCGTGTAACCCTTGCTCCGTCGTTCCTATCGCACCCGTGCGCTGAGGCATGGATTGTGAAATCTTCGGGAAGCGCTGTGCAACTCCGATTTATCTCAGCTCGCTTGCCAAGGGAGGTTTGGTTTCCAAAAGCGGGGAGGCCACCTTCGTCCGAGCTGCAGCCAGGAGTTGCACGAGGTTGAGTCTTCAGCTTCACAGCGGTAGTGTGCAGCCGCGGATACCTTGAGGATTCCCGATTGTTCCCTTGTCCAGGTTCATCGTGCCTTCCATATCGAGTGTCCCACTCAGCGATGTTTGGGCCGCCTCAAGCAGCACTGACCTCGAGTTTCAGTTCTACCTCCTGGGTGATGAAGACGCAAGCATCAAGCGTCTCCACGAAGCGGTTGCGCTAGGTGCGTCTGCCATCATCGTCACAGTTGATGCCAACGCCCCACGCAAGGGGGCTTTGTTCCGTGCAACAGCAGGGGCGACCGGTGTATTTCCTAGCCCGCGACTTTCGTGGGACAGGTTGGCAGAGCTACGAGCGACGCTGCCCAGGGAGATGCCCATTTATCTGAAAGGAGTTCAGACCGCCGAGGATGCTCTAGCAGCTGTGGAAGTGGGAATGACTGGGATTATCGTTTCGAATCACGGTGGCAGAGTGTGCGGAGATTCGACGCCAGGCAGGTTGACATAAGTTTTGTTCTTTGCAGATGTCACGGATGATGCCATCATAAAATGGCCCCTGAAATACTGAAATGGCAACTGACCTTGGCTTTCTGCATGGCGCCCAGGATTGCTGCACTGCACTGCCTGGAGGACGTGGCCTCGGCCCTTCGCGCTGCAGGTGCAATCGGCGGAAGCAACAGAAGGATAGAGCTTTATTTCGACAGCGGGGTGCGGAGTGGCCGCGATGTATTGAAAGCATTGTGTTTGGGAGCCACCGCCGTGGGAATTGGTCGGCCTTACTACTGGGCGGCCGCATGCCACGGGGAAGATGGCATTGTGGCTCTCCTTGAAATGCTTACCTCCGAACTACAACATTCAATGGCCCAAGTGGGAGCGAGTACGCTGGACCTCCTGGCCCCTGACTGCCTGTGTCGTCTCGGGTCAATGCCATCTAGGCTATAATTAGGCGACCGCTGCTTGAATGCTGCAATAGATGGCAAGGCAGGAAAAAATGCAAAAAGGGTCCCTGGCAGCACCAATCCTTGCTCGCAGAAAGCAGCACACGAAAGCACCCAAAACTGATGACAGCCAATTCTGACACTCTTTCTGATTGCAGCCATCCAGGCTCAAACACGGGAGCGGGATCTGTGAGGGCAGTCATCTACTCGCAAAGTCTGCTTGGCTGCCCAGTCAGTAGACCAGAGTAGACCAGGGGGAGGGGGGGAGCTGCGTTGCGGTCGCTTCAGTGCCGAGGATACATGGATGGCGCCAAGCGTGAGAGATACGACGGTGGTGAGGGCTTTTCGGGCAGAGCCCGAGCAGTTCTTCTGGCAGCAATGGCCTTCTTGTTTCGGGGGTCTGGAATGTTCAGGGCTTCGGCGGCAATGCACTGCAGCTCTTGGAGCACATGATGACATCGGGCCACTTGCGTCACTGCGTGTCAGCCAAGGGCAGCAAGGACAAGAATTCTTTGACCTCCCTACAAGACGTCGTGGAGGCGCTGCAGGACTTGAGTCACAAGTATGACCAGGAGGTGCAGGACCGCAACGCAACTTGTGTGCCGCATCCGCGCATGGTGCACCGAGCAGGTTCTACGCGTATTGCGCAGCTTCATTTTCAGGAGCTACGTGCGACAGTAGCAAAGCTCACCGCTGAGAATCGAAAGCTGATGCGAAGAACAAGTGATTCAGATGGCAGTAGCGCGGTCGCATTGCCAGCTGGTCCCCAATGCACAAAAGCCACGCGTGTAAACACGAACATGCTCAAGGTACGACCGCAACAAACACGGGGACTTCGTCTGGGCCATCGTCCTCCATTCAGGACAGCAACTCGCCAAAGCCAACCTCAAAAATAACCAGCTACATAGCAGAAGAGCCCGACAAGGGCGAGTTCGAAGACGATTGCCTGCTGCCTGGCCGAATCCTAGGAATGCTGAGCTCCTTTAAAGAGAGACCTTTGTCGGTGAATGTCGGTGATAAGGCCTGCAAAATCCCGGTAACTTCTGAAGATGGAAACTTCCATCCCGCTTTGAGTTCTCAGGTCTCCTCCCTTGGTGGATGTGGAAGTTCTGGAGGAGATCAGCCCCTTGGAGTACGAGGCTCGACGACAGGCCGCCAACGGCAGCGAAAATATTGCAAGCGACAGCTACAACCGGGGCATTACCTCAGTTTTCAAGTTGAAGGATCTTTGGGCAAGTGCTGCTTGGGCTGCAGTCATGTCTACTTGAACTTCCGTGGGTCATTTAAAGTCATGGGCTTCCGCAGCAGCCGCTTTTCTCTTACGTGACTTTCTGCACTTTCCATGCCTAGGATGTGCTCAGCAAAGCACGAAATCCCCAAGCTGCTTCCGTCCCTCCGCCATCCACGACATCGACGGCTCTGCGCTTGCGTCCCACTGTTGCAGTCAATGCAGCGGTGCCCTTGCCTCATTTTAGCGAAAAGCAGGGGTTTGTAGGGTTTGAAGTTTGGGGGTTGGCTTGTGCAGACCAATCGCCGTAGACTCCATCAGTTTGTTCGATTGTGCAGCGCTGCTGCCTCAGCAGCACGCTCAAAATGACGCTTCTTTTCGATTCTGCCAACTTCGCCAGGCCATGGGAATGGCTGAGCTCTACCAGGGCTGGGTGTCTCGCTTCATTGCCCGCCCTGGTGACCGCAAGCGACTTTTCTGGGATTGCTGTTCCTCAGCGGCAGTGAGGTTTCCCGCACTCTGCATTCCACGACAGTGTGACATGTGTGACAAGACTGTGACCAGCAATTCCAAGGCGGCCTCTTGTTTATCGTCTACGACTGCATTGCCCAGTCCTGAGAAAAGCACACCCAAGCCTGCCACAACAGCTGGGCATCCTCGACTCTTTCAAAGATTCAGGCCATTCCCATCAATGTCTTTGACCCACCTGTGACCACCTTCACGATGTTCATGGACTGGCTTCGGCCCTAGTCGCCTGAAGCATCGCTGAGTCATGAATTCAGCCAACACGTTGCACCAGTGTAGACTCTCCGCAAGGCTTACATTGATCTTTTGGACGCTGAACATTGGTGCCTCAGATGCACTCGCTATAGGTGCCCTCCTGCCTCTCGCAAAAGAAGAAAGTTGGAACAGAATCGAAGCAAACGGGCTGCCCGTAACAAGCCGCTGTGAGGTGCAACCTTGACCACCGGCCTTGTGAAGCAGGGTGTTGAGGTACTGTCCCCCAAGGAGATTCTGAAAAGCTATCTCCGAACGCAGCCCAGCTGCACAAACCGATAGCCGCTTTTCAAAGCTGCAGCTGTTCTGGCAAAGTCGCACGTGAACCTGGCGAAATAGACAGCAGTCTTGGTTTCCCATAACCCACGAGTTGCAACACTTCAGGTGGTTCATCATAGATGTCCTCACCCTTGGGCCGGACTGGACGCTCGAGATCGTTGCCCGAACTACCTCCGTCAGCGAGACTGGCGAAGGGCAACTGGACATCATTATTGGCGCCCAGCCCGAGCCATCTCTCATGCAAAGTGCTGAGCCAGGAACTATCTGAACCCAGGTCGTAATAATTACTTGGAGTGTGAGAGTGAAAGTGCAGTTAGAGGCACACAGGTGCTTGTCAGGGCATCATAGGGGTCCAGAGTTCAGTAGACCTGATCACCCGGCTGCATTCTAAAGCACGCCGAGGCTGCGCTTAGGTGTCTTGACGTTGACATTTCTGACATTCAAGTCACGGCTCACGGACAGTCCTTCTCGCAGCTCGATGCAGACTTTGCCCTCGCTTGAGCTTGAGGTCTTGGGGTGACGGTGCGGGAAGCCAAACTATGAGACTGTTACGAGTACTGCGGTTCGTGCGAATTGCACGTTTGCTTCGCTGCTCGTTGGCATACACCAGTGCTCCTGTCACAGCCGGTGTTTCACGACCCTTAGTTTTCGCAGGCACGTACTCACGACCAAACCAACAGCCGTGGGACCAGTCATTTATTTCCAAGGACTGCTCAAGCTGAAGTTGTTGTTGGAAGCCATAGGCGGGCCAAATCGGTTTCCAATCTGGCTGCGCACATGCTGTGGGCAAAACGTCAGCAAGCAGGCGATGCACTTCCGATGTCAGACTATGCGACGATTGTGGCCAGAGTGGCCCAAATGGTGGCGGTGCTGTTGTACCTGAACCACGTTATTGCAGCTTGACTTTGGGGATGAAAGTTATTTCGGCGGCGTGCATTTGCTAGTTACTTGATACTGGCTAAATATTGCAAGCACAGCGATGAACAACTTGACCGGCTGGAGATGCATTGGATGTGACACAGCATCAGTCGTACATGCTGTGAAAGATTTCGAAATGCAAAAATCGGTAGGTGCCCCGCTATTTCGAGGAAGTTTCTTAGTTTGGGGCTCACCAACCCGAAAAACCTTTGTATGCGAAGTTCCTGGCGCAAGGAGAGTTGCAGTTTCTAGCGCCTCAGCCTTTGGAACCACTTCAGATTGCCATTTCGGTGACTTTCAGGCGTGCATTTTCTACGCGACTGCCTCATTGACAACTGGCCAGACCACGTGGACTGCCGAGTACGGCTTGCTCTCTCGCCCATGGACAGACCAGTATGCTGCTCCTTGTCTTGCGTTGTAAACGTTACTTTTCAAGTGGTGTTGTTGGAGCCTGAGCTGAGCTTTGTTTAGTTAGTCCGTCTGCAGCATGATCGCACATTGCCCCTGAGGCTCTTACTCAATTGTCTGTCTCAATCCTGAAAAACGAGCGTACCCGAGCATGTTTTGGTGTGAAGAATTTTCAAGTGTTCGAAGAGCGGGTCCTTAGTGAGTTTTGCCGTTTAGAGCTTTGACAAAGGTGTCACATGGTCGGAATCAGAACTAGGGCACGCCCATAGAAGCAGGTGCCCCAGCCAACCCTCACCTACGACGCACATCACAGCGTACCAACGCGCAATCTCAGAGGAAAAGAATGATGTACTCTTGCAGCCACCAGCTGCGCTGCCGGCTGCAGGCACAGACATGTTAATTTCGCAACACAAGAAATCCAGTTTTCATGCGCCAGCTCAGGTTGCGCTGCACTGGTCACTCACGCAATTCACACCGGCATCAATGGACGTACAGCCCCAGAATTCAGTGGAGCGTTCTGAGCTTAGAGTGCAGGGTATTGCCTACCGTGCTGGCACGAGCCGCTACGAGCCGTGTAAAAGGCCAAGGTATCTCACAACATGGTCATGATGCTGAGGCTGTTTTGCCATCAGTGTCGTGATTTTTGCCTTGGTTGGCTTTTCCTATGTGGTTGGTGACATCAGCAGTTGCTTGACACAGCGCGGGCCTCAACTCATCACAAAAGAGTCATGAGCCAAGCATCCAGCCGGCGGCTAGAAGCAGACTTACGCAAATGTGGGTGGAACAGGTTGCAAGCTTGTGCAGCTAAATAAGCGAGGCTGCGGCAAATGTCGGAGACGTCCTCCAAAGAGTTCCGAAAGCTCCGAAATTTCATGAGGATGCACAAGGCACTTGCATTGCCGATGACCTGTGCAGGGGGCAGGATCAGAGCGACAGCGTGTGAAGAGCAGGATGAACCACTGCGTACAATGGACTTTAATTATGGACAATGGAATCACATAGAGTAATGCACTGTCATTAGCATGGTCAACTGATGAGCAGCAAAGCTGCACAACATGACAAGTTCAATGACTAGCACGCAGATCCGCTAGTTGCGCAGCGGTGCACCAGATCACGGGGCAAGTGCAGACACACGGAACAGTGAAGATGCCTACAGTCATTGACACTGGGTCCGGACTGGCAATGAGTTGCTATACGTCTGTGTGCATGAAAGAAAGTGGATCCTGCCAGGTGCCTCGAATGCTGGCGCTGCGTGTCACCAAGTTCGCAGAACATGCGTACAGCAAGCAGCGCGAGGCCAAAGTCTAAGTGAGTGCGTGGCCGGAAGAATTCCTCAAAGCTTTTTCGGTCCGGGCATCGCCACCGTGGACCAACAGCCGGTTGCAAATTCACGACATTGAATTGTAAGCTTTGCCTGCCACGCAGGCAATGCCGATGAGCAAGGTGGGGAGTGGGATGGGGCGGATTTTGCAGTGCACAGCTCTGGCACTTGGAAGCCGTAGATGCGATGGTATCCCCAAAGTCCAGGATTCTGAGGCAGGTGGCCAGAACAACATGAACGGCTTGAGCACCCCTGTTTCGAAAGTCTACTGGTTGCGGCGCGACTGGAAGACAGACATTCAAAAGCATCTAAACCAAGACCAAAGAGACAGCGCATCCACCGGCAACCCTAGGACTTGGATGTGTGCGGGTCAGCTTAAGGCTGTGTGGTTTGCGTGTCAGGTGACCTTACTGAATTTGATCTCTGAGCAGCTTTTGGGCGAGCTGACCTTCGCCATGAACAAACCGCATTTGGCCGTGGCCTGAGGTCGCAGATGACGAGGTGCAACGTATGACACTCCCAGTTTTCGACATGAAGCGTCAGCGTCATTGTGAGGTTGTCCACCCGCTATTCGAGACCATGGAGCTCAATGCGACTTTGTTCCTGCAGCGGATGTGCATCAAGGTACCCTGAGCTTGCAAAACACGCGTTGGTCATCCCCGGCCTTGGTCTCACAAGCTCGGCCCACGTTCACCGTCCTTAGGCGCTGGCACCAAAGCAGCTCGCACACAACGACTTCCTCTTTGTCGCCGGAGAGCAGGCACAGAATGGCCGGATCAGCCTTTCCACAATTGCCAACATCTTCCCGAAACTGCAGGCCAAAGAATTGACCTTTCTGACATCAGGGATGCCAGCGGCTGAGTTGATGCTGGCAGCATGCTGGCTTGGGTCTTTGCATGTCTTGGACATGCTTGGACGTGAGCTGAGGCTGCTGTACAAGAAAGTCCTGACGGCGCACTCACACGAGGAAGGGCTCCATTCAGACGAGCCTAGATATGTAGGGATGCTACTATGGGCACGCAATGGTGCTACTCGTCAGGAATATGTCCAGATTGATTGCGATTGGATAACTGAGCAAGCGCTCTGGCTGACGAGCTGGGAGCACGTAGGCCAGGACGACAGAACGAGGTCTAATTATGAAGCTCACTTCGGCACTGCTTCAGCACTGCAGCAGGCACTGCAGAATCCCTGGGAGAGTCCACGCTTGTCAGCATCGACTCAGAGGCATTCGCCAGCGTCCCTTGTCGAGCCGATGGTCTTCCGGGTGCTGGGCACAGTTTGTACGCAGCCCCCCATGCTGTGCTATAGCGACCGTAGTCACTCCGTAGTCTTGGTAGTTACAAGTGCCGGCAGCACTCAGGCCCTTGCCCCTCGTCATCCAACTAATTCCGACTACAAAGCAGCACCAAAAAACATATGAGCTGCCGCAACGCAAGTATGCAGCCCGCTGAAAGATCCCCCCATGCCATTCTTTGCGTCTTCCAGCCAACGAGCTTAGAGAGCCCTCAGGTTGTGGAGCAGTCCAGTACAGCGTTGGTTCGGCTAGTGCAGCTGTACGCACGCCAGTTCATCGCAGCTTGACTGCCACCAGAAGTAAAGCAGCGCTGAAAACGCTGCAGTTTGTTGGGCAGAGGCAACCCTGCAAGGATTTGGTTCTGCGGTTCCCGTTGGGCTCATTTGGCTCTGTGCAAGAGGCGCTGAAATTTCGAAGGGGGTGGTAGCGCGGTAGAGTTTTCGGTTTGGCGGAGGGGTTGCCCGGTTGTCAATCTTGTTTCAATCATTGTGCGATGCTTGACGTTCGCACGGGTTCACTTGTGTTCACCCACTCGATTGCTCTTTCACTTTCACCCACTCGACATTCCTCCTGCATACGTATCAACACATGCGCTGTGCATTCATGGTGGGGTTTAGAATTTGGGCTGTCATTTTGTCATACAGCCCTGCCACCACCCACACTGTCACCAGCATCGTCAGCCAAGGCATGGATTAACGAACTTCAGGTCCAACAGCTTTCAGATGTGGTCCAGGGCGACGTCATGGGAGATAAGGCGGACCTTGGCAAGCGCACGATGAAAAGCTAATACGGTGGCACACCGTGCGAGTGCCCATTCTTGCCCCTTTTGCTTCGTCAGATCCGCAGCTGCATTCCGGAGAACTTGGCGCGCCCTTGGGCTGCAGAGTGCTTTTGTCGTTTGTTTCGTCACATGCTAATTACAACACATCTTGGCACATCTCAGGCAGCACGTCCTGAGATCGCACATGGCGCATCAGCGTGGCTCGAAACTTCAGGAATTTCTGGGCAGGTGTAGGCATGGATATTCATTGTATACGATGACAAGGACACTGCCTTTTGGGATCTTTTAGGAAGAGGCCGGTGATGCGCGTTTGGCCTTGGCCGGGCCCTGAAAACGAGTGACGTCGCAAGACGTCGAAACGCATTTGCTGTGAAGCAGTGGCACATGCAAGCCAGATTCGATGTAATTCTGTCACCGTTACATTATTGCATGTAGTTTTTGCAGCTGCCTCTTATTGGATCGTAAACGAGCCCAGGAATTGCACTAGCTTGAGGCATCCCCCAAGCCCCACCAAGTTATGCCGCAAGTGCGTGCGAAAGGGGCACGTCGAAAATTGGCAGAATCCACTCGAGCTGCTAAGCAGCTTTCCCTGACTCCCTGCATCTCGCCAGCCTGCCCGCTGCTCGAGTCGGCAATGCGAACTTCACAGGCCCTGTTTCTCACAGCCATTACATGCAACAAGTCACGAGATGCAACAAGGAACGTTGTCTTGGTTCACGCTCTGCGGACCTCTTGCGCTCGGGCCTTTTTTGGGGGAGGCGAGCTGACAGAGTCTTCTGCAGAAGCGGGAGATTGTAATGAGACATGGTTGGGTGCATCCACGCATGACGCATGTAACAGACTAACAGAGTCCATCCACTTCCACTAGAACATCGCTTCTGTTCATAGTATTGGACCTGCAGTTAGGGTCATGATGGTCATGCTGATCCCAACCTGGTGTGTCGCCACGCCGTAGTCACAAGAAAGGGATCCTTCGTTCTGAATTTGCCTCCTCCCTGTCGCATGTTGAGCAACGCCGATGTCATCTAGAGGCATGGGCGCCCCAAAGCGAGCATCATAGATTACACCTAAGAATGAGACCCGACGGATGAACCAAAAGCAGCTTGATCGTGTGCTGGGATCTTGCAAGCGCAGGCAAATCCAGTGCCCGGTTCGCTCAAAATGTTAATGGTGTTCACCTGATGTTTGGGACCGCACAAGGCAGCCTCTTGAAGAAGGAAGAGTGCAGCCAAAGGCCTTCCCAAACAGTGCTGACCACTGCCAAGAGCCGTCGCAACTTTTCCAACCGGTAAGTTACAAAGATGGAGGCAAACAATACTCAGCACGCAATGCGTACACATGCGTACCTTGGCAGTGCAAAGCCTGCAGTTGCGCAGGGACACCTGCAGAGCAGGTTCTCCGAGCGGCTCCCCATACCACACTCCCTTGAACTCCTCGATCCTTAGCCGGCCTAGCTGTGTACCGTCTGGATGGCCTGCTTGCTGAGCAAAAAGTTGGCCAAATAAGAGGAATGCGAAGCTTGCAAGATGTAACAAGGCGCTTGGTTGACCCTATGCTGCCCTCATAACTTGTGGTTCAAACGCTCGCAAGGTCCACAGGCAAGCATCAAGAAATGAGTTATATCCTCCAGACTCATGATTTGACATCATATAGAAGGTCAGAATCGAACTAGTCTCGCCAAGGCTCGCATCCCTTTAGGAAACACTGCCAGCCTCCTCATTTGGCACTGCGCCCCAGTCATGCTGGATGTCCACTGTCTCTCTTTCTCTACTGTAACTATTCCATACTATACCCATGCCTCTCAGGAATGGCGCCCTCCGAGAACTTGCAGCCTCGTCCAGAGATGATCTGGAAACACTAGCTGTTGCTAGCTTAGTGACGCAGCGGAGCTCCTGCTTTCCCGATGAGGCCAGAAGAACAAGCTTGGCAAGCTGTCTTTGTCGGTGCCTGAAGCCTCTCCGAGACCTTGCGGAGTGTGGAGGAAGTGGCTCGTGCACCCGCGGTGCCCCTAAGGAGCGGCTCTGCGAACGATTCCCAGAGACAGGCGCTTGGAACATCTAGATTCTAGGAACCTTGCTGTCAGGAGGCACTCATTCAGTAACGCAGTGCAGTAACGCAGCATGCAGGTGCAACGAAAGTGGCTGCTATCCTCCGTGAGAACAATGGCCATGCAGGTGGGCCCTGATCATGACTCGCGACTCACTCAAAGACACAGCTGGGCAATGCGTGCGGTCAGCGCGCTACCATGTCCAGTTGTTTCTCAGCCGCAGAAAACTCCACATCCTTCCGTTCGAAACACGAATCCCTGGTCCTAAGCGACGCCAAAGCTGGTGCTTTGAGGTGCAAAGCTTGGATGATTATCGGTGTGTTGGGAGGTTGCATGAACGGTCTGATACGTGTTTGGTTTGGTCACCGCTTTCCAACGGTTGCACATGTCTTTGCACTTTCATGCAACGAAGAGAGTCGCAGGAACGGCTTGTGGGACTTTAGACCCCAAAGGCATCTTCTATCCCAGACACGACCGGAGCGGTTTGCCGCAAGGAAAGCACTGAAGCCAGCCTTTACATAGGAGTGACAGACAGGCCCACAAGGTTTACAGTATGCGGGCTGTAGCAGCTGCGGTCAGAGCAAGTTCTGTACTCCCTTCAGCAACATTGGTTCGTTTATGAGCCAGCTTGTGCCTGAGAATCTACTTGCAAAATCTTGCAAAACCACGTGTGCGACTATTCAATTCTTCCAGTATTCTAGTGGTCACTGTGGTCACTTCTGACTGTTGTGATTTGCCAGGCCAGGCAGCAGCTGCCATCCGGGACTGCAAAGCGGTGAATAGTTTCTTTATGTTTCTTTGGCGTTTCGAATGATTTGGCAGGCCTCTATTCCAAAAGTATCTCTGGCGCTGCTAGGGTGTTGAATGTTGTGGAGGGCAAAGGAGGGGCTTTGAGCTTTTTTTGGGGAGGTCGATTCAGTCAAACATCACTGTCCGTCCCCAATCACTCCGCAGGGAGTAGGCCAGAGGTGACACCTGATAGTGGAAGCTGAGGGTAGTTGCGGGCAAAAACCCTGTAGCCACGGCACAGGCTTCACGCAGCCTGGATGTAGGCGATGTAGGCGGTAGGCGTAGGTGTTTGTGCGTAGTAGCCCTTCCGTCTTGGAGAAGCTTGAGCTTAAGGCTTCGGGCTCGGGGCGCTGGGCCCCATCAAGTTGGCCATGCACTGGCTATCACTGACTGACAGCCTAGCATGCGTGAGCTTGTCGCCGCGCACAAGGTTAACAAAACGGCAGCAACTGAAACAAGGAATCAAACATCAACTGGTGGGTGAAGCATGAATGGCTACACTAGACCTCTGCTTCTTCGCGGCACGAATATGCGCAGAATGTTAAACCGGCTTACCCCAAGAGGGATGCTGTTGGCGTGGCTGAAGGTTGCGGATTACGCATAGTTGCGCTGCACTGGGGTTCCCTGCCATTCCCTGCAGCTGTTGAACATCCAGCGTCACGAGCATTTAGAGTTTGATTCTTAGTTTTTCCGATGCCTGCCTGTCTTGCACCCCACCTCACCCGGATGCACACCTTTACCAGTCGGAAGAGCAGCACAAACGAGGAACAGTGGGACGGTAACTCGGTTCCGTCCACCTGGCGTAACAATCCCAAGCTCATCACCAAAGTGCTCTCTGACCTTGTCAGAAAAAGCACTTGGTCTCAGGTGCCGAGGCTCAATGGCATGGTTTGACAGAAGAGACATGAACGGTTGACATGCATTTGTTGAATCAACTTCTTGGGAAGCCCCCAATTGTAAGCAGCAACACCTCACCAACTACTAGTAGCATCAAGAAGGAGCTCCAAAGACTTCTGAGGTGTTGGATCTTGTGGACCAGATGGGAAATGACCGGCTGCAGCCCGATGTAATCCATTTCAACACCGCCATCGCGGCAGCAGCAAAGGCTGGTCGATGGACTTTGGCTTTGGAGCTTTTTAAGACGATTTCCGGCACCCTCAAGCTCGATGCCTTCTCATATTGTTCGACCATCTCTGCATGTGAAAAAGCCAGTGTTTGGACCAGAGCCCTGGACCTACTCAAGGAGATGATCCAGTGCTCCATGGGCCGCAATACCATTGCCTTCAGCTCTGCAATCAGCGCATGTGAGAAGAGCTTCTGCTGGGAGGTAGCACTCCAACTGCTTCAAGCCATGGTGTTGGACTCAGTGCAGCGTAACACCTACACCTTCAACTCTGCAATCAGCGCTTGTGGTAGGAGCCAGCAGTGGCAACTAGCCTGCCGATTATTGCAGGACATGTCTAGAGACGCAACCCAAAAGGACACAATCACGTATAGCTCAGCTATCAGTGCTTGCGAGAAAGCGGCACAGTGGCTACGCGGGCTAGAGCTCTTCCGTGAAATGGAGGTAGCACAGATCTACCCGAATACTGTGACGTTCAATGCGTTGCTCAGCGCTTGCGACAAAGGTTCTGCTTGGATGGCTGCGTTGCAGGTCCTGCAGGAGATGACAGTACCGGCAACTCATATCACCTATGCCACTGTTCTCAGCGTTTGCGCGCGCCACGCCAAATGGGAGCACACACTTGCCTTGACCCACGGACTGTTAGCCTTACTCGGCCTGCTTTTGTTGCACGGCCTGTGCGTTTCCAGTCGCGTACGTAATGATAGATGATGTCATGTCAAGTTGCTGGCCGTATGTTTTGTGAAATGTTTAGGACAGTTTAGGATCCAGACAATGGCCCACTCGTGCTTCATGGCAAACGGGGTGGAAGCTGGTTCTGCCATAGCTGCACAAAATTCTCTGGGAGCCGAGTCTGCTGTGGACCTGCTCAAGGCTTTACGAGGCTCACGCTTGCAATGGAATGTGTATATAGGCTGTAGGTACTGGTACTGGCGTTCAGGTGTTGTTTGCAGAAGCGCAATGACTGGGTTCCATTGATGTCGTAGGTGCTTACTTCGGATCCGATGAGTGGCAGGATGTTTTTGGGTGCGTCCGCCGCGGCGCTGAATTCGGGCCATTGGTGGAGCAGGGCGAATATCGCGAGACAAACAACAGCAGAGAGTCTTCTCTGACTGTACTTTTCCGCTCCGACGGCATCGTCGCAGTGTGCAAGCCTGCTGGATCCTCTACCGAAGAAGTGCTTGGCCTGCTGTCCGCGCAACTTCAGCATCCAATAACGCAGGTCTCTCGATTGGATCTGCCAACATCTGGGGTGCTTGTGGCAGCTGTGGGCAGTGCGAGTAGCCAGCAGGCCTGGTGGCTGTTGGCACAATTTGCAGGACGACTGTTATCCAAAAGCTACCTTTGCTTATGCTTTGGAGCAGCACCAGCTGGAGCGGAAAGGGAGGTCTGCAGCCCGCTGCAGACCACGCACTCACCTGATGGGTACAGTCGAACCGAGGCCAGAAACATGTATGATAAGAAATCGAGATGGGCACTATTTTTTGCAGCCTCTTCTCAGTCCTGCACTTCAGGTATCATCCTCTGGTCTCCCCGCACGAACTCGGTACAAGGTCCTAGCTACCTTCGCCAAGCAACATCTACAGACACGAGGAGAACACTTGTTCGTTTGAGTGCTGTATGAGCTTCGGACTCCCTGGTGCTTTCATGGCATGTTGACCCAACTGTCAGCATGGTCTTCGAGGAGTCTCTCTGCTGCAAGTGTGGCCTGAGACTGGGAGGACAGTGTCAAGATACCAGAATTGGCCACCGTATCCATACTGTATCCTCTGTGCACACTGCACCGGTGCACCGCCTTGCCTGTGCACGTCGTGGCTACTGAGCTTTCATTGCGCTCAAGTGCCGGGCGCACTTGCGTGTGCGCAGAGGACTCATCAAATCCGCGCTCACTTGGCCAGTGTCCAGAGCTCAGAATCTGACCGATTTTCTGAAGCTGACAGCAGCAGCCTTGCGTTTTTCTGTCGGTGGCTCGATGGATCCGAAAACGCTACAGGGGGGTCCCCTGAGAAAAGAGGTTGTTCTGATTCTGAGAGGCTCAGGCGCACCCAACCGCAATTGAGAACAGCCTCCGCATCACGGCAGCTAGGCGCTAGGCACCAGACGAGCACTCACATTCATGCTTACTTCCATGCACGTTAGACATGAGCAAGGCGATTTGGGCGGGACTTTCTCTTGCAACATCTTAGGTTGCGATTGCTATGTATATGTAATGGGGAAGGAGGCACCCTGAGCAATCTAAGATAAAGAGGACCGGGGTGGCATCCTTTCAACCGGCCCTCGGCTTTAGAATTGGGTTGGTGCTGAACTGGGTGCTACATTACTGTGTCGGTCATATCTGCCAGTAACGTCTGAGATCGTCTTAGTCGTGTTCATGTGGTAGCCAAGAAGTACAGTTTTTTGCGTAACTATGCGTAACTTGTATCGGTTGATGGCCAAAGGCTGCTACACGCAACAAGACGAGTTAGTGTTGGGCAAAGCTCGCAGGTAGGCTTGCCTCTGGTCGGCGACACACAGTACGCTTGGCAGGCTCTCCACACTTCTGCTGTGCTTTGCATGATGCTTTGTATGCTCAGTCCACCCATGCTTTGGAGGAAGCGTGCGATGATGAAGCATCCATGAGAGGCGCGGAAAGGCAAAACCATGCACAACCACACTGCGCAAGTTTCTTGATCACCGGGCAGGCCGCGCTCTGCAGCTTGCGCTGGCAGCCTAGATGGCGCATGGCAGCGCAACTTCACAATTGGTTCGAAGCCTTCCGTGCCGAGGACTGCCGTTGCACATTGGTGCCCCACCCTTTTCCTCCATTGCTGGGAACTGCGATTGTTAGGCCGGGAATGCCATGCCATGCTTGTTTGCAGCGAGAACAAGGGTGCACCGTCCGACAGAGTCATGCCAGCTGCATGTATTAAGGTCCTTTCTGTTTGCCATGCCTGCCTGTGTGAGCGCGCGTGCTGCGCCACTACGTGGGAGCTCGCTATAATATAGCTCAAAAGGCGTATCTGCTAACAGATCTTCGCAGGTTTGGATGGCGAGCCGCTGAGAATCCGAGCTGACTTACCACTTCCGCTGCGACGCGCCTTGGGGACCTTGTCGCTTCGAAGTGGCAGTGTGCCTCCGGAAGTGTGGACTGCGGAAAAAAGCAAAAAAGGCACAAGAAAAAGTAGTAAGAAGTATGCGCCAGGCTTTGGCAGCTCCGCTTTTCTAGGCCCCTGCAGTGCTTGCCCGCCATGCAGGACCTTGGCGGCACTGGCAAACGGGAAGTCGATCCTGTGGCAATCTCAGGTTTAGATCGCGGTAAAATGTAGCTCAGGTAAATTCGTACATGAATATATTTGGTTCTCTTGCTTGAGGATGACCAGGAGCACGTGAAGACACTTCTGACAAGCTACGGCCTTGGCTCAAGCAGGTGAGAACGGCAAGCTTTGCATGTTTTGCTTCGTGTGCTTCGTGCAGCTGCAGACAGTGCAAGTTTCGTGCGATGCTTGGGTTGCTACATGTGCCTGTCACTAGCAGGTCCTGTCATGTTCGCCGCTGTGTGCAAGGAGAACTTTCGGAAGAATTCTTCTCAGATCCGATGGAAGAGGGGCCTCTAGTTCAGACTTGACTTTTGCAGTCCCCCAGGTTTGACGCGAACGGCGATGGAGTCTTGAGTTGGACGGAGGCAGCCTTTGTCAATGCGGATCGCCACAGCGGTTTTGGATGGCGAGTCAGAATGTCAGGTTCTGCCCCTCGTGAACAGCCTCTATGAGAGCTTCGGCTTGCAACCGCGATGCCGGCATGTATCAGCTTCGGGACCCGTGGGTCGGCGGATGAGACTTAGACTTACAGCTTACACACACACATTGCTTCTATTTCTCCCAGCAGTCCGATCACTAGTTGACCGTGGTTAGGTAGTCAGAAGCTGTGAGAGTCATGACAAGAAGCAGCAGGCCGCGCGAGGGCAATCTGCGGTCGTTCTTCGATGCCACAGACCTTAACAAGGACAAGGGGGGTACATGTGTGCACTGAGCATCACAGAGTCCAAATGTCATTACTCTGCTCTTTAGCGTAATTAACAGGTAATTAACAGTGCTGGACAAAGAATGGCTCACCCTCTACGGAAACCAGGCTTCATTACGCCTGCCCGAAGGTGCTGTCCCGAAGGTGCTGTGCTGCCCCTAAAACATTCTTTTTTTGCCCCTCAATCTTAGAAGTGCCAGCCGGGGCTGAGGCTCGCCTCCAGGAAGCTTGGGTAGGATCCCGTACACAGGTTTTGCTGTGCAACATCCACCGAAATCAGAAAGTTTGGCCCACGTCTGACGGCAGCCTCGATTTGTTGACAAGAGATCTCGCTTCCTAATCTTCACAGATTGAGGATGGCGTTCTCTCAGAGCGGGAGTTCAAAAAGTTCTTCGAATGCTTTCTTCGCTACGCATTCTTTGATGTTGCCGGCGCCCTACAAATTCTATTCCACTTTGACTGAGTTCACAGGTTGTGAAAGGCATCAGGCCACTGCTCGCGGGTCACGATTGGATTAGGATGCGCAGTTTCTCCAAAAGATGCAAACGGTGAGCTTCGCGGGTTGCATGAGAAATGTGAGACACCGGACCCTGAGAAATGACAGGGAAAGGAGCTTTGTTCACTTTGTTGGCTTCGCTTAATTACATTCAGTGAAGTGGCTTAGCGCCAAACGTGATGGGGGGGGGGGGGAGGGGCATGCCGTGCTCACCGTGCTCATGCGATAGCGAGCTGCTTTCTGACATTACTGAACATGACAGAAGCAGATGAGCATGCCCGTTCATATCGTCACTCTTTGCATTGATCCACCATACATGGGGCCCTCTTTCACCGGACTGTGGCGTCAAGCAAACAGCCAAGCTTCAGATGCATCAGACCGGAAACTCTATCGGAATGCAGATGGGTGGAGTGGCAGAGAGCCACATCTGCATACCAACCACTCTGTAAATGCCAGGGGTTGGAACATGCATGTCCGGATTCCCTTCGCCCAGACAGTGCGACAACGTGTTTCTGCAGCCGGAAGGACGTGCCACAGATGCATCCAAAGACAAACAAGTCGAGCGGTCAAAAGGACAACAAACGTAGCACAAAGGTCCAACTAAGAGAAACTGGAGTTGCATGGCGTGCTTGCGTCCGGTGCGCAGAGACAGAGATGGCATAGGTTGCCACGCAGCACCGTTTCCAATAGACAGTGAGAAGAAGCAGTAACGTCCAGAGCATGTGCCGGCCCAAATACGTCTACGTCAGTTCTACTTCTGCAAGACACCAGAGCAGCCTCTCCCAGAAATTAAGTCGTGCGTGCATGATACTTACGTCCGATCCCAACGTGCTTCGGCCTCCCTGCTCCTACGGTATCGGGCTTCTAGCCGTATCGTGTTCTGCTGATTCTTGCTTGGGTGGAGAGTTTCTTCACATGTGCTGGTGCTGCGCTCTGTCCATGTTTCAAAAAAAGTTTGTACAACACCTTGACTATGAGTTTCACCTGTCTCCTGGTTTCCGGCGGGCACCTTTTTTTGTTTGAATCAGCCGTTTCGTGCGTTTTCATTCAGCTGTCTCGTGGTTTCCGATTCAGCCGGTTTGGCTTCCAACTCAGGTGTTCTGTCTTCCCATTTATTTTGCAGTTCGGGAACCCGGTTTTTGGGTTGACCTTGGTTATGAATGTGGGCCGTGTATCGCCTTGTTATGATGGCTCGCATTATATCTGAGAGCGAGTCGGTGGGCATGCGCAGAAATAGTAGTCGTGACATGTCATGACTGGAAGATACACCTGTGGATGTTCGTGTGGGCGATGCTCTGGCGACATTTGGCGACCTGAGGTGCAGAAGGAATCGGCCAACGCCAAGCAGGTAACCACCACGTCGCTGCCCAAAGTAGCATGCAAAGGGCACCAACCGCAGAGTCTTGCAGCACCAGTGTGTCGGTCCTCAGGGAAGCGAAGGAGGAGCCAGAGGAGAAGGCAGAGAAGGAGAAGCCGGTCGCCACAGCCCGAGATGGTTTGTGTGGCGTTTTGTGTGGCGTGTGGTGCTGACAGCAGTGCAGCCCAGGAAGACAGAAGGCCCGAACGCCGAACGTGCTCTCACTTGTTTTCTGGGATTCTGGGCATGCGCTCGGATGCGTTCTGCATAGGCCAGCGAACCCAGCGGTGGAGACAAGAGGCGGCTATGAGCGGCAGGACAAGGCTGGCACATCTTGCCGCGCCGACCTTTTTTTCAATTTTCCATTCGGAGATTGTTCCCACAGCTGCCCCGAAACCTGCATCGGCGGTGTGAAAATTTGAGAAGGCCGCGCGAACATCGCAAGTCGCACAAGGAAGTCCAGGCCAGATCCGCCTCTGCTGGCAATTGGCGCGCTTTGCTGACTGCAAAAAAAGTGCTGAGTCACAGGCGTCCCATTTCGTGTCATTGCTCCTCATGGCATCTCCTGGAGGACCTTCGGTGAAATGTCAAACCGGTCTGCTAGCCCAGTCGTTCGGTTCGCGATGTTTGTTGGCCGGCCGGTGCACCTCATACCTCAAAGCCCAAAAGCTCCGAACCGCAAGCCCCCAAAGCCGAACTTGCATCCTTGAAGCCCCCCCTGCCCTCTTCTCAAGTCACATCACGCAGCGGATCGTGGCGGTATGCCGCGCAGTGTGCCGTGAGCACGTAGCCTTGTTTCAATCTGGAGCCGTCAGTCTCAATGGTGGATGATGCAAAGTCTTCGGCGATTCTGACCAATCCCTCCGAGCATGAACTGTGCAGAGCCTGTATTGAGGTTGGCAGAGTGTCATAGGGATAAAGATTGTCACCTTTCATGTTGTGCCACAACAGTCCCAGCACATGTTTAGAGGGCTGTCGCAAGATCCCCAGTTTGTGGTTGCCTCTACCGTGCGTCATGGCTTGTGCCGGTTTGCATCCATGGGTGCCTTTTGGCACAAGTTCCAATATGCCACGAGGATTGGCTGCAGAAGAGGAAGGCTGTAGGGTATGCCCCTGCCCTTCCTCCGCAGGCAATTTCCCCCTGACACGAAAACGGAACCTATGGCAGCCCGCGACTTCCCAGTGGCGTGGCCATCGCGGCCAGGAGAAGCCCCGACTTCAACGACAGAATGGACAGCAGTGTCAATGCAGGAGAAGTGGCCTGCAACTTACATTGGAAAAACCATGATGCCTCCATGAAAAATCGCATGGCTTCATTTAGGTGCCGCAGTCTGAAAACTAGATGTTAGCAGCTGTTAGCAAGGTCAAGGTATTGGAGCAGTGGGTCAAGACCGACAGAGGTCCACTTTCCAGCTCCAAGCTGCAGCAGCTGCATTTTTGATATTTTCTTAATTTCGTTCCTCAGGAAGTGGTGTTGCAAAGGCTTATATAAATTCGAAAAGCTTTGAGATTGTGTTTGCTGAGTGGAGGTTGGCTTCCGCTGCACGACGCTCGCGGCAAACCTCTGCTGCAGCCTGCCATGGCCGAGCTCACAGTTATGGGATGTGCGCGCAACTAAGTGCGTCGGGGGTGCGACTGCACCGTTGATTGCAGCAATGAGGAGGACCTTGAGGGCCGTCGAGCTCCAGCAGGTGGGACAATGGGGCTTTTCCAGGGCCCCTTGTTAGAGATGCGGATGGCTGTACGTCCTGGCAGGAGCAGCAGGCCCAGCTTTCACAGCTTGCAGGCGCCCGGCCCTGCTGCCTTGTGTTTCCTTATAGGTTTTGCCGAGCCTTCACTAGCCGTTTCCAATATCATGGGCTCTGCTGCGCTTTCCATGATACACCAACTTTCTACCTCTGCCCGTCGCAAGCTCTTGCTTCTTACAGGCGTGAGAAGAAGCCGAAGGAGGCGACGTGCCTCCATTTGTGTGTCCGTGTGTGTGTCTGTGTTCGCGTCAGGGTACCAGTAGGCTCTCAGCCATTACGCATGTCCATTGACTGAAGGCAGATGCTGCACAACCTGACGGCCGAGACCCGAGCGTTGTAGAAGCAGTCGTTGTCCTCGACTTCTTCTTATGCTTGAAGCAAGCATTTTCACAGCAACTCGCCGAAAGAATGGCGAAAGACACCACGGAAGACCTCGCCAGTTTCGCGAAAAGTTCTGATGTTATGCTCCGCGGTTGCTCTTGAATAAGACGGGAAGAGACCTTTCGAAAGCTCACAGCAGAAATCGCTTCTTCAAATACTAAAACCCGCAAAACTAATCCGAGAATCGGCTCGGCCGGGAAAATGTCAAAGAGAAGGGCAGGGGTGGGGTTTTTGTACGGTTGGCTCCCGGAACACGAAGCCCTGAATCTCAACCCCAAGGCCTGAACCCTGAGGAGGGTGAGCGTCGAAAACGTTGAAACGCTCCGAGCACAACTGTAGGCACCGAGGGGCCTAGCAGGAAAAAGTGCATTTCTCCCGGCGAAGAAGAGCTCATCCCTTTATTATAAACACATTCAGGACCATGAAATCTTCCCGAAGCATGTCAGAGGCAAGTCCGTCCTACCATCGCTCGAACTCTGTCAGTTGGCAGGTGCCGTTCGCAGGTCTGTAACTCATAACTGGCATAGCATGTAGCATAATCAGTGGCAACTGCCGAGAATAAACTCTCGGTATCTCTTGGTGACATCCACCGAGATGAGCCGAAGCTTCGATCCGGAGAGGAGGAGCCTCGTCACTGCTATAGCATGAAGTAGGTTCCCGTTGCTTTATGGAGCTTGCCTGGCCTGACACAAATTTAGCCAAGCACATAAGTAGTGTTTTCGAACGCTGGCCCAGAGACCTGCATGCAAAAGTGTTCTCGGAGAATCAGGATCCTTTTTTGGTGGTCATTCTCACATGTTTTCAGAAAGCGCGACTCCCTCCCTCGCAGGATTGGAAAGAACGCTTGGACCGCCTGCAGGAGCGCTTTCCAATGCTAAGCTGTGGGCTCGGAACGTCCATCAGCCTGCTTCCAGCTTGGCAAGTAGATGCAACTAGCAGAATCAGGGAAGCTCCTAGGTTCTGGGCAAGTGCTGCAGAAACTCCGAGCTCATCAAGGCAAGTGGCATGAACATCAGCATGAACCAAGATCGCTGATGTGGATGTTTGGGTCCTAGGGACATGGTACAGGTCATGCAGGACACACGGCAGCGGCGCTGCGTGAGCTCATGGGCCGCCATGGAGGATAAGACTGGGCAGCAGGGAGGCAAAGTGCAGATAGTGCAGCACACGAGCCACCATCAGCAAGCAACTGTGGGCGTCGGATGTTACTCAGAGCTGTCCCTGACCACGCTGCTGCAATCCTTGCTTGCTTGCTTGCTTGCTTGCTTGTTTGGAGAATTTATTGCGGTCCACGGGCCAGCTGTGTCACTGAATTTAGAATTTAAGATGCTGCAGAGTCAAGCTGAAATGCGGCTTTGACTGGCAAAGGCCATTTATGTAAGCATCAGTCTTATGCCCCTCATGCTCCTCGATGTCAGTGAAGAAAGGACCGCTGCAAGAATCCGAGCCATGAGAGCAGCTCCGGAAGAGCATGGCTCACGTCTGCAGAGGCACTGAGAGGTGATGCTGCAGCCGCATCCTGCCCAAGCATGGCAGCTAGCATGGCACTTGAGCCTGGTTCGGCGATCAATTCTCAAAAGGCGAGACCATCATCTGCCTGATTCGAGAGTTTCCGTGCCGAGTGTTGAACTGGCCAACCCCCTTGGACTACGCGGACACCCCCAGCCCGTACTTTCTGCGCTCACATAGTATGTTCCAAGTGTGCGGGCACGGTACAACGAACGCTTCGGCGGTCGCCGAATCAGGGATCGTTTTCGCTAGAATCTTGGGATCTTGTGAATGTTGTAGTTCCATGCCTGCGCTGCGCTTAATTTTGCGCATGGGAGGATCTGCACACGCAGCAGCACTCTTTCCGCATCGCCGCCAAGCAGTTCGCCAAAGGCCCGATGCCGAGAAACTTCGAGGAACCCCACTCCCCGACCAAACAACACGAGACTCAACGAGAGAGGTCCCGGAAACCATCGCAACCCTTCTGAGCCGATGTTAGAGGCCCGGTCACTGTTCACCTCGCTGCATCTGGTGATCTCGAACGGCTTGGAGCCAGCTTCGCGCGTGGACCTGAGAACCCGCAGAGCTATGCAGGGCTTTTTCGAGAGCCTGTAGAGAGCCTGTAGAGAGCCTGTACACTGTAGAGCCTTTTTTGTTTCTATAGAACTTGAGAGGCTGTTGTTGAGTTGGAACGTTCCTGGAGGAACTTCCAGCGCTTCAGGGGTCCTGATCCTCCACAGGACGGGCAGTGCACTCTGCATCTCCTGGGATGTCTAAAGTCTAAAGTCCAGTGGTTCAACGGTCATTGCATCCTCAAGCAGCTAGACGTGCGACTGCCGTGATATGTTTTTTTTGCCGCTGCCTTGGCTCCGTGTCTGGCTTGGGCACCTGGCCAGGATGTTGTCGTGCCCTATTCGGAGAAGAGCGACGGGGGCTTAGCTGGTCGGCCATGAAGCGGCAGCGCTGTGCTGTGACGGCGTGAGCCTGATAAGCTTGCTTTTGGCAGGAAGAACAGCGAAGATCGCTGCGCTGCTGGCTTCTCACATTTCCAGAAAGAGTGGCAACAACCAAAGGACCACATGAAGTGCCTGAGGCCCTAGAACTGCGCCTGCAGAAGTGGCACGGTTCCAGCCTTAGCCTAGTTAAGCTCCTGCCACACCATCCCCGCAAAACGGAAGGCAAGTCGAAGATGTTGAGATATGTTGAGATTCGAGATGTGGTGGGGCTCTTCCTGGAGTTCGAATCAGGCCCTTCGACTATTCCTTCCCTGTTCCGAGCCGTCGGGAAGAGCGCTTCTTCCTCAGCTAGGAATGTCAGAGTCATAGCCCCGGGTTAATGTTGACTTCGCATTAATACCCCCCCCCCCCCCTTCATTGATCAATCTCTCCGGCCAGGGCCTCCTCAATAATATCCGCCTAAATCCTGGCAGGTCTAGCTGTCCCGGTGCCACCACAGTGGGCTAAGTGAGCCTCTACTGCGAGCTTCTGGGGGATCACTTTTAGAAGAATATTCCGGGCTGGATTTTATAATTGTGGCGGGCTACATTATTGTGTTCTGGCAGCTGGATTTCATAATTGCGGCGGGAATTCCTAATGTGAAGTCAACATTATAGGGGAAGCCGGAACCGCGGAAGCATGGCAAGCATGTGGGCAGAAGGTCGTGCTCGAATGGCAATGACATTCTCCAGTCCACTTCATGGCGCAAGATGCTTAGGAGGTTGTGCAACATGACAGGGCATGTTTGCAGTCAGGCAAGACCTCCTGGTGCCTGTTGCCTCCAGACCATTAACGCAGTTCCCAGGTCACTTCCCAGCGAAGCGCACAGTTTGCGGACTTTCTACGGGCTAAAGGCACATTGCCATCACGCCTGCCAGCTCGCTCGCCCATGCCTCGGCCGGTTAGACGCTTGTTGGTTTGCTTACTCGATTGCAAGGCATGCCTAACCGGATCACGCTTCAACACATGCAACTCACTTGAAACGCCTGAGACGCGTTAGCGGCCGACTTCGCATGTAAATTGAAATGTGCAAGCTTAGGTGGTCCATGAAGTTGCCATGTGAAGCCAGATAACCGATAGCCGAATTTGGCCACTTATGGCATGCTCAATACGTCATACAAGTCGTCAAGTTCGTTCTTTGGCTTCTTGCTTGTGACAAACACTTGGGACCCATGCATCTTGTGAAGCAAATTAAGTTCTCCATCATCCTGCAAAGTACAACCTATGCCGCAAGCTACCATGCAACCTCAAGCACGCTTCGCTTTCTCCTATCCCATTCGGAACGTATGCCGGCGCCCGGCGCACCAAGGAGAAACACAATCGATTGCTGTGGAGTGAGAAGTCCAAGCAACCGAGGATGTGTGAGTCCCGAAGTGCATCGGAACTCTACGCAGAACCGCGAATGCCAGGGCCAAATCAAGCCGATGTTTGGACACTCTCGGTTCCTCGCATGTCACGGAGTCCCGGGCCCATGAAAGCATGGTTTTGCTGTAGCTCCAGAGGTCCTTGCTGTCCCAAGCTCCAGACAGAGCCAACACCATTCTGCCGCCAGCACCTCATAAGGGACCAAACGGCTCATCCCGGTCCGGTGGTTCTTCTGTGTTTGGGAGAGGTCCTGGACAGACAGGAAGCTGCAAACGCCGATGCCTCAGCTTCATTCGACGGTTTCTGAAGTTTTCCCATGGTGGTCAGACGCGAGCAGTGGCACAGCCAGGACGATGGTGTGGACTGGCATGGAAAGAGAAAGATGGGATACGTTGCCATTGCAAGCCACACTGCCCTCTCAGATGGGCAGATCTGCAAGGCTGATGCAGTGACCAGATGCTGCAGGGATGTCTCACAGTGGGCCATGACTGCGCCAGAGTCAGAGCACTGGCCTCGGCATGGAGACAGCTTCGTGCCCTCAACTTAGTGTCGGCTTCAAGTCGGCTTATTCGAAGTCGCCGACGATCTCCTAAAGGGATGTCGGAGGCGACAGAACACTCAAAGGAAAAAGCACGGTTGCCTTCACGTCTCGAACCTCCATGAAGCAAGCGCTCGTTGAAAAGACTTGCCTGTGGCTATGGCTTGCAGCTAAAATCGCGGTGAAAGTCTAAAGTAGCATTCCACTAGCATGTAGCTTGGTCAGCAGGATGGTTTCGCCTTGCTGACATGCTAAGAAGGCGCGATTCGCAAGTGAACAAATTGTCGCACAGGGCACTGTGGGTGGGGCAAATAGCACAGAGGCGCGGAACGGCAGGCACATTGTTGGTGGCAGCCCCGGCTGCATTTCATCGCGCAAAGGCACCGGGAGTGACAATGCGGTACTGTGCTCAGAGGTGTTGGTTTCTCCCATCGCATGGCAGGCAGCCCAGTTGGAGTTCTGCGTGTTTTTTGAGAGAGTTTTCGAGGCTGTGCTGGATGAGGCCCTTTGTTTTGCTGGAAAAGGGAGAACTCCAGGATGTTGGAAGCTTCAGGCTGGCCAGATGGGGAGACGTGCGCTGCAGGCTGCGTTTGCCTAGCCCCCCATAAAGGCAAGCCACTCTTCCCTTCTCCGACCGGCGGCTGCAGCCTCTTTCGCCAGAACCCTTACACTAAGCAACGCAGCAGAATGGATTACGAGTTCAAACATCATGGCTCTCAAAGTTACTCGACTCTAGTCACTGGAGGTCATCCATTCTCACAGAATGCACATCGTCTGGTCCCAAGCGACGCGTCCAGAATTCAGACTCTGTAGATTTGCTTTCGCAGACTCCCCTGTGGCGTGATCGACGAGGGGATCGCTGAGGACACCAAGGCCACAATTGAGTTTCTCCTGTCTGCCAAGCTGCTAGATGTCACAGTATATCGCGCACTTCTTTGCAATGGGTCGCCGGGACAAATCGGCCGTTGCATTGCAGGTGGAGATCATTTGGCCAGAGGAGCCGCCTTCGGAATGATTTGCTGTGGCTAGAAGTTTGCAATAGGCAAGCATCCGCTTCATGTCTGAGATCGTCGAATGACATGGTATGGCTCAAGATCGTGTCAAGCGTCATGTGGGCAGTACACTGATACCGTGTCTGCACCAGCCGATTCCAAGAGTGGCCCTGCCAACTTCCACTCAGGAGACCTCGGACGGCTTGAAGAAGCGGAGGAGGAGTAGAGTGCTTCGTTAAAGCATGTTCATGCATGTTCCATGATGCCTGTTCCCGTTATTGAGTCCATTGATTGGCGAGGGAGCGGCAGGGAGCGCGTACAAGCAATGAGAGCATCGAAAAAGACAAGTACATTGACATAAGAAGAAGAAACACAAGCCCGACAGACACCGTTGCGTAATTTACTACTGAAACGGTGGCATTCTCTTCCAGTTCCATTTGAATCTGTTCAAAAGATGCCATGTAGAAAAACCGCGCAGATACCCATCCTTTCTGAAACTGTGTTGTCTTGGTGGCTTTTTAAGTTGATTTCCTATCGGCGTCGTACCTTCACACTAGGGACGGTGGCATTGTGTTGGTGAAGACAACTGCGTTGTGTGCAGTTCTGTGCCTGGCATCGAAATCATCAGGCAGTCAAAGAGCATCGCCGCTGGCAGTGCTAGGAGTTGGCTTAAACAATGTTTGTCTTGCGCCCTCCGAAGTAGGAGCGGCATGGAACCGCGAAAAAGGGAACGTGGAGTTTTTTTTGGGGAGGGGGGGGGGGGGGGGGGAAGCGGGGGGGGGGGGGGGATTTGTTTTTTGCTTGCCTTCATGCGCGCACCTGCGTGTTTGCTAGCTGATTCTGCATGCCTGCCTCGAATAATGTCTTGTCTTCCCTGACCCCCAACACACGCCTTTCGGAAAACTAATTAGTTTGAACTAGTTCATAGGGCGCATTTGGTTGTGTTTCTCTGCACGGCCAAGGGCAACCAAGCCAAAACATGCAGCCGAGCCAAGCGTATCAAGGCCAAAGCCAAGCGTTTTGGACAGCCTCGCCTCTGTTCCAGCACCGCAACACAATTTGCGAAGCTTCTCACAGTTTGCCATCGAGAAAATGGCCACATTTCTCCAAAGCATTGTAGAGATTGAAGCAAAGTTGTCGGGTCACTGGCGTGCCCGGCAGTTTTCTGTGGTTAGGCTATGTTGTGTTGACGTTGGTTGACAGTGCTGTTTTGGCACTTCTGGAAGGAAGCTTCGCCCAACTGCAGTCCGGCTGACGCTGGGCTCGATCCGCAAGCTGCCAAGACTGGACGCAGCTTGAGCTAAGTACTGTATAGATGGAATTCTTTTTGGGAAGCGACACATCAAGAAGGTACACGAGAGGATGACATGACGTGCCTCTCTCTTTTTCTTTCTCTCTTCATTCGAGGCCCGAACCCGCTTCCTGCTTCCAGAAAGCATCTCTTGCGGTGGCCTGAATTCACAGTAAGTCGCAAATGGGGCAGATGGTGTTCAATAGGCGCATGCGGGCTCAGACCTGGGCAACCAAGGCTGGCCATTCCACGCCCGCAGCAGCTTGAACGGATGTTGCGGTTTCCTGAGATTTTTTTGGCCAGGTCACACAGCATGGCCAGTGACACAGGCGATGGCAGGTTGAAAAACATATCTAGGAAAGTACAATAGAAGTCCACGATGGATGCGTGCGACGTTTTGCATGCCGAGTGCTCAAAGATTGCACTGCGTCTCCAAGAAGCGCCTCTGATCAGAGGCACTCAAACTGCAGAGAGAGAGAGAGATAGCGTTGATGCAGATATCAAGGGGTGAGGGAGGTCTCACGCGAAAGGCCACATCTCGGGGGCAAACGACTATACAGCTAATGTGCTGAGCCCAACCGCCGGTCGCTGTGGTCTCACTGGACCTGACTCACCCTGGGGCGCGCTTCGAGCGCGGGGGGGTACCCCTAAGCCCAGCAGAAGAAGAAGAAGAAGAAGAAGAAGAAGAAGAAGAAGAAGAAGAAGAAGAAGAAGAAGATAGCGTAACGGAAGGGTACCCGGGGGACGGACAGAAGGAGGACCGATAAGAGGCCTCAGGTGTGGGCTGCTGCGGAGCGGCCAATACGGCCGCCATGCGTGAGATACTAGGCTGACGAACGCGGGACCGGGGCGCGCGCCAGCGCGGGGGTTTCCCCCAGGCCCCCAAGAAAGAAAGAAAGAAAGAAAGAAAGAAAGAAAGAAAGAGAGAGCGAGCGACTCAGTGACGATCCGGGCGCGCCCAGTGCGCGTTGGCCAGGGTGACCTTCCCTGGCCTTCCTGCCCCGTAGAAGAAGAACAAGAAGAGGCAGAGGCAGAGGCAGAGGCAGAGGCAGAGGCAGAGGGAGAGGGAGAGGGAGAGGGAGAGGGTTTGGCTCAAGCCACGAGCGGCTCGAGCCCCAGCCCTTTGTCCGGGGGACAACCTGTGAAGAAACAGCTGTGAGAGAGGGTTGAAAGGGGGGCAGCCTGAGAGTGATCGCCTCTCCCCTGTGCCGCCATACGAGAACGAGGGTGTCTGTGCTGAACTACGCGCCTTCCTCGCGGGGGTTGTGGACCTTGAGGGGGGAAAGTTCGTTGAACGAGGTGAACCGCTGCTGGCCGTCGAGCCGTTCTACCACCGCGGAGGCGAGCGGGGGACACTGAGGACCGCTTTGGATCCGGAACTTCCTGCACCCCGCCAGGGACATTGTGAACCCAGGGGTCGTGACTTGGGCATCGCCACCGTGAGTGAGATCTATGACGACGTCTGGGGGCCAACCAGGGGACCACTCCTCCCCCTCTAAACGCAAGGCCATGGGGGACGTGGTGGATGTAGAGGCAGGGGACAGACTCTCCCTGGAAAGTTTCCTCAAGGCCGAGCTGAAGGGCCATCAGGAAATTATGAAGGGAGACATCCACGATGCTATGGCAGGGGTCAAGAAGGAGATGGCGGAACGCATCGAGGTGGTGGAATCGGAGGTTACCAAGCAACTCCAGACCACCCTCCTCCTGCTGAAGCAGCTCACGGACAAGCATGACGTCCAGCAGGAAGCGGTGTCCAACTTGACAGCGGGGCAAAAAGCGTTGGAGGAGAAGTTCGAGATGAGCCAGCGCAGCCTGGAGGAGAGAATCGAGAAATTGGAGGCCAGCGGTGGGGGCAGAGGACCGTCAGCCCACAGCACCGCAACAACGGAGGGGGACGGAATTGGGGGGCGAAGAGCTCCGGCGCTGGTGGTAGGGGGCTGGAACGACAACACTCCAGCCAATGAAGTCATTGAGAAGGCGACGCAAGTGCTGAGACAGCTACAGGTTGACCTCGACTACCAGGACATGTTCGTCCCCGGCATCCGCAGAGGGTTCGCGCTTATACCGCTCCATGGACCTCGACTTGGGGAAAGCGGAGAGGGGCACAGGCAAAGAATCCAAGCGGCGATCGCACAAGTGAGGAATGCCAGGCTACAGACGGGGCATGTCCGACAAGACACGGGGCAACCTCGTTATATGTACCTCACCATCTCCCAGCCGCCGGAGCGCAGGTTGCGCGCCAAGTTGGCCGCCAAAGTTAAGCGCTGCATCCTGGAGCTGGGGGGACGACACGAGCACTTGGAGGTGGAGTTCGCCACGGGGACGGTGTGGTATAGAGGCACCCGCGTCTCATCGGCGGTCAGCCCGGCAACAGAAGGGGCGGACAAAGTGGGGCCCGGATGGTTCGACTTCAAGGAGCTGGCCAAGGAGCTCAAAATCGCTGCTGACAATGTGAACCAGCAATGGGCGGGGCTCCGCGGGGCCCTTCAGTGATGCCGGGCACAGCGATGCCGAGCACAGCGACATGGCAAGTTTCACCCTCGAGGTGGGGGAAAACCCGTCTTTTTCAGCACTGCATGCACTCACCTGGAACGTTGGAGAAGATCCACAAGCCCACGACCTCACCTGATCGGGGGTGAAGAGCACCGGCGTAGGAGGGCGCATGCGGGGCTCGAATGAGGGGCCGGGTCCTGAACCTAGGGGGTTTAGGTAACAGCTAGAAAGAGACCCGCATGCACCTGAAGACTCGAATAGCCAAGCCCAGCTGTAAGTTGAGGGAGGCCCAGGAGGGGGAAGGGGAGGACTTGTTGGCAGGTTGCAGCAAATTCGTTTCAGAACCTGGGACAAGGTTCAGCCTGTGTGAGGTACCCCGAAGCACCCTCAACGTGGGCGCACTGGTCTCACTAGCAGGTATGTGGGGGCTCGTCGGTCACCTGATTTTGGAGGGGGGCCCGGTAATTAGCCTAGCAAGGGGTCTGGGGGTGGGGAAACGGAGCCAAGCCCACATGGCAACCTGTGCTTTTCACATAGCCAGCTGGGGGTCCTTTCCTGGGGGTGTGGTTAACTAGGGGGTGTAGTGCAGTATTGGTGCTGGTGGGGGTTCTCGAGAGCCAGGAAAGGACAGCCGAATAAGCGTGCTCGTTGACGGAGAAGGCAACTAGAGGGATACGTCAGGGGGCTGTCTTCAGTAACGTAAGAAGGGGGGGGGGAAGCTGTACGCTGGGGGCCTTCGCCGGGCGCGAACGCCCGGGGGCTTGCCCCCAAGAAAGAAAGAAAGAAAGGGAGAGGGAGAGGGAGAGGGAGAGTCTCCCACCGAACCCACGTACCGCTCCGGAAACAGGGGCGGGCGATGACGCCCGGGGGCTTCGGCCTCCACGAAAGAAAGAAAGAAAGGGAGAGGGAGAGGGAGAGGGAGAGGGAGAGGGAGAGAGGGAGAGGGAGAGGGAGAGGGAGAGTGGCGGAGGTACGATCAAACTGCAGTTGTTGTTCCAGGTGGGTGTAACACATGTGACTACAACACAGCATCACATGGCTAGGGCGGGGAAAGGAACCGAACCAGTCTTTATCTCACCCAGAACCGCCCTGAACAGCCCCTCGCAGGTGTGCGAGGAATGTTTAATTGTTTCCAACAATTCCAAAATATAGCAATAATTAAAACATTAACCCCCCAAATTTGACTGGTCCGTGCTGTTTCCCGGGGCAAGCCCAAAGCACACCGACCCATGCGTGGAGGGGCGAGGGAAAGTCCGTGCTTAACAGGGAGTGGAGGGGATTGCAAGCTCTACGTAGGTAATGAGAAATCACATCATGACGTTGGCATCCCCGGAAACCAGCCCAACAACGCACGCCTCCGAGCGGCCCTCCTCAATGCGGGAGGGTTAGGTGCGCAGAATTAAAGAAAGAAAGAAACAAAGAGAGAAACAGATAGTCAGAGAATCAAAGAAAGACGTCCTACGGGGGGTTAAGTGCTCAGGAAGGAAGAAGAATGAACGAAACGACAAGCCCACGGAAGGAGGAAAACAATAGTTGACGCCGTCTGGACGTCGAAAAGGCAACAATGCTACAGGATGCAGCAGGTGATGCTGAAGCCACGCTCGCTTCGAGCAGCCGCCTCGGACACGAAAAAGCGAAAAGGTCGAAGAACTGCTTATAGTTTGTTTTGCATAGCACGGCTGCAAATTCAAAGGCTTGCGCGTAGTGCCTCGGCAGCCGGACCGGCCCAAGCCACGGGACGTGCACGTCGGCAGTCCAAGCATTGCACCTCGAAGTTTCCAGTCCGCACCGGTCGGGTTGCAGATGCGGAAAGTGACCGTGGGTCGAGGAAGATGCCGGAGAGTGTAGCCGACCCGTAAACCCGAAACCTTCAACCAGTGAGCTTGGGGGACGTAAAGGCTTGCTGGAGGACCCCGATGCCAGCTTGCAGTGTCAGCAGGCTGTGCAAAACGTCGGTGCGCTTGTCTGTCCTCGTGTGCATGCTTCCAAGTACATCTCGGGAGGCATCCAAGTTCCTAAGAACTTGGCCGTCGGGAAGGAGACCAGATCTTGGTCTGCTTGTTCCGGACGCCTCTCGGCCAAACTGCAAATACAACGCCTCGAGGCCACAAGTGGCTCAGTTGGGCGTCAGCACCTTAGTGACGAGCTTTGACGTTGGCTTGGTCTGAGTTGGAGCTGTGCTTGGGGTTGTCAGCGCAAGTCCTTGTTCTTATCACAGGCAGCGGCCAATGCAAGGGGCGGCAAGTCTGTCTTAACAAATTCGGTTGAGGGCCAGTTTTCTTTCTCCTTGGCTTGCTTCCCCAGATTCAGCCCACTGCCCAACCAGTACTGATGCAATGACATGGTAGTGCCGAGGTCGCTACGCTGCTTTTGTGTGGTGCCTCCAAGGTGGACCCCAAATACTTCAGGAGCTGAAGCCTACATGTTGTTATAGGATGCCACTGCGAGTGCACAGTTTCATTCATGACGCTTCTGGGCAGGAGCCACGTTCTCCAGATTCCTTTCTTGAGAAAATGCTTGGCAAAAGGACTGGCAGCTGACAAACCCTCAGCACCGAATCCTTGGCATTGGCAGGTTGTTTCTGTACTTACATCTCCCAGGCTGGCGACACTACCATGCCCACACTAGAGATCCAGGCCAATCTGCAGGCGGGTGAATACAGCATGATGGTAGTCGGCCAGATGTGTGCCACATGTCTGCCTGCCTGGAGGAGGCACTGTCGCGACTCGACCAACTGCTGCCACGACACTCGGCTTCAATGAGCTTGAGCGACTTGAGAGGGACACATCGGTTCGGCTTGCTGCAGACTGATGCAATTTGTGCACGAGCCTCCTGTGGCCTCGGCATGGGGCCTTCCGTGAAGCAGCCGTTGTCGCTGATGCTCGCTTTGGGACTCTGGAAGGAGAAACGAAGAGTCGATGAAGCTCGACCTGGCAGCATCGACTTTGAAACCACAAGTGTTGCCGAGCGATGCATAGAAGAAAACAAAGAACAATCGTCAAACAGTTTGTTTGACTCTACACTGGAGTTTTCGTGGGATGGGGCTGGCAGGCATGGGAGCAACTGCAAAGATCCACAGAGAGGGCAGATGTCTGATGTCTCTACCAAACCCCGCGCGCGCAAACAGAGAAGGCAAAAGCCCGTGCCTCCAATAAAAGCGATTCACCCATGATCAGGATCAGATCCAGATCATGTCTTGGAATGTTGAAGGTTTCGCGGCGCCAAAAGAAAGGCAACCCGAATTGCGTGGTACTGAGTTTGGTTCTCATTGGCCCTATAAGCTGATGGTCCGAAGCAGCGTCCAGGATCTGGACCGGTCTCTTTCAAATCCTCTGAATCGCTGCAGGAGAGCAGGTGCCACGTGTGGTGGGTCATCCACGTGGGGTGCAGAACCTTGAGTGGGAAGCTTGGCAGTGTTAATGGCATGTACTGTATAAGTTCAACATTCTTCACCGGCACAGGCCGAGCACCATGCAGGTGCCACCTTCCAGCCACGAACTGATAGAGACCATGAAGCTGTTCTGCAGTGCTCGCAGCATGTGATATGTTGGTGAGCCAACTGGCAGGGACGGCGCGAGGCACTGGTGGCAGTCGGTGCGCCTCAGAAAACTTCAGAAAGAAAACACATTTTGTTAGCGCATGTTTCACCCTCAGTCACGCACCGGTAAGGCAATCTAACACACCTCTCCTCGTCAAAAAGGGTAAAACAAACAACAACACAATATGGCAACATGCGAAGAGGTGCTAGAAGCGGCCGACGGCATTCCGGAGTATTTATTGCCCATGTATTTCCGGCCTTTGTGGTTTAGTTTGTCAGGGCCGGAAGCTGGATGGAGCGAAGAAGAGCCGTGCGGCGCCGAGGAGTTTTGCTATGCTTTTCGGGATGGGCATCGAACACTAGTTTACATGTGTCATCATGTCTCTGTCGGCATTTAGACTGCGGTGTGATGATACGACGCGGTTGCAAAAGGTGTGAGCTGGACCTGTGGGGTGCTTACAAAGCATGTTGCAGACTCGTGAACGTCATCTTCTCAGACTTGAGAACGACAATCGGCTTCTGTTACAAGTGTTTACTTGATGGGATGTAGCTAGGTTGTCGTCTGCCGGGTTCCAGAGCATCACGCTTGGACAAAGAATCCTGCGAACAGATGTGGCCACCGCCACCCTCTTGGCGCTCCTCTCAGAACCAACGGCTAGACATCGCCAGATATCAGCAACATGTCTCAACACAATCCCCCGATTTGCAGCGATGGGCAGTTTGGACAGGCGCTTACTGAGCAGATGCTTACATGATGCGCCCGCAAGACATGAAAAGGCTGCTTGTCATGGCTGCATATGGCTGCATCAACGTGGAAGGGTGTCGTGGGTCACGGGCGGCATATGGCGGCGTACGAGCATACGGTGGCCTGAACCATCGTAAGCGCAAAACCTGCACGCAGCTGCATGCAATTGCTTGGCTCAAGAACGTGTGCCATGCAGTCACGGGCAGCCTCACCTCATCTCACCTCCACGCAGGTCTCGTGACAAGAAGGCTTGTAAACGAAAAGCCCTTCTTTATTTTGAAGCTGCAGAAGCCAATGCTCGACGCTTGCAGCAAACAGCGCAGTTACATGGACAAAAGCTTGCCAGCATGTCACGTCTCGACCGCATGAGCGGTCAGAGGAGAGACGACGCGCATGTGGCTGGCTTTATATGTCGGAATTACTTCGCACTGTCTGTGCGATCTGTGTGCATGTGTGCAAGCAGGTGGCTCAAAAACCGCAGCGTATGAAGCTTCTCAGGTCAGCGGCATATGTGCAGCCTGCTGAGCAAGCGCTTAGCTCGGCTCAGTGTCAACATTCGGCTCAATGCAAGACAGTGTGTGAGACCTGGCTTAAGCGCTTGCGTCGGCTGGCTGGTGACAAGGGCAAAACTCACAGCTTGATGAACGAAGACCTAGAACCCCACATCCTTGGGAACCGTCAGCAGTAAACATTAGACTGGTGCACCCGCCCTGGGGACCCCAACCTCAGATCGGCCAACAGGAACCAAGAAACAATGACGTTGGACTAGTCTTTTGCTCTAGGAATTACGAATTTGTGCCGTGACAGCTGTTCAGCCGGTGGATCCACAAATCAAGGCTCACTGTAGGAATTACAGGGGCCTGTGACACCACCTCATACAGGTCCTCATTCCTTTCGAACCACATAAAATGCAAATGCTAAGATGTAATTGCCAAGGAGCGATACTGTAGCACAACTTGACAGCAGGACTTGCAGAAGATGCCTTTGCAGCGTCAGAGTTGTCGAGTGTCAGTCTCACCACGCAAGCTGGCGAAGGTGATTCCACCCAACAAACGACTCCAGGCCCGCGACCTGGGCGAAATGGCTGTGCAAGTTGTGCTTCAGCGGCCCACCCAACTGCATTACCTTCCAAGATCATCCGAGTGCATGACTCGATCTGCCCCCTGGAATTGCCGAGGCCAAGTCCGAGCATGGCGAGGAACCCGGCTCGTGCCTGAGCAACCGCCGAGGCTACCATGATACTCATTGCACTCTCATGGCACTCTCATTGCACTATACCTCTTTTTGCTGAGATCCAAAACAACAGCCCCTGTCCGAACCCAGGCCAGGCTGCAAAAATCTTTCCAAACGTTTGCGGACGAGGTCAGCTCCATAATTCGCAGCCAACCGACTCGTGCAGCTAGCCGATTCAGTCGCAGGTTTGACTTGGCATGGGTGCTGGGGCCGGAGCCCGAGCGGTCCTTTTTGGATGTCGAAAGGCAGAAAGATACTTGCAAGATACGCCGAGTGAGTGGGCAAGCTGGCGGGCAACCTAAACGACAACGACTTAAATACTGTTAGCCCACTGTGGTTATGCAAAGGCCTCCATGATGAAGGACTCCAAACTGAAAGCTTAACAGCTTAGCTTTGCAATGCACATATCTGCACATGTAAAAGGCAGGGAAGAGGCGAAAGCTCAGAAAGCTCGCGGCCATTCCATCATGGTTTAGGGGCGATTTCCCCCAGCGAGTTAGTTCATACACATGTCGAGTCAAGTAAATTCAGCTCATGGGACAGTTGAAGGTGGCAAGTTTCATGCATGCGTGGCCGGTCACAATGAATTGCGGAACTCCTGCCGGGTTGACCACAGCGCCACATCCACAGCATTGGCACCCGAGAAGAGGTTGAGCAAGCAGACAGGACCAGTGGGGTTCAGTGGAGGTTCAGCAGATTCGGAACCACAGGCCTTGAGTTGTATCGGTAGCACGAGAGGTTGAGAGCCCCAAGGGGAAACTGCGATGTGCGAAGCAAAAAATGGCTTTTTGTGCCACAGTGAGGATGTCACTCTGTAGTTTCGGCCTGCGTTTGCCGGCCGTGGCAGTGTGTAAAGCTGCTGAGGATGCTCGTCTCCCGAGATTGGCATCTACGTCCTGGCTATCCAGGCTGGGCTTGTAGATCTTGCAGCAAGGCATCTCAGACCAATGAAGGGTGGATTCTTCCTTTTCGCGAAGGTAGGAACGGGCTTATGCAGCCGTTGGCTGTCGCATGTTTGCTTTCTTGCATGGTGGCCAAAACATGGGCTTGCCACGGGCTTCATGCGTCGGCTCACACCGAAAGTCACACCGAGGTTGGGCGCATTCACTTGGACAGTGTTGGAGGAGCCCGGAGCGCAGAGTTCCTTAGCCTCGTCTCTGAGCAGCTTGGTTCTTTGCATATGGCATGTAAGCTACGCAACTGCGTGACCGTGAGCGGTCGTGAGATGTGAGAGGAGCTAGCCCGGAACTGTACAAGACTGCAATGCAAGAAGTGCGAAGGACATTGCAGGAGTGACTGCCCTCTGTAAGTGTGCGAGTGACGGGGGCCCACAGGGGTGACTGGGTTCTTTCCGGGTTATTGGCGCTCTGATGGCAGTTGGCACAAAAGCTGGAGAGGACTCACTGCCTGGAGGCAACCACGTGCTCGCAAGCTGCACATGGGCATCTCGCTTGCTCTATGGTTCTATGGTGTGACATCTTGTGACCTTTGCACGAACATCACCTGTAACATCAGGGAGAAGCTCTGAGGCCAAAGAGTGCCCGAAGCAAAGCGGGCACATGGTTGAAGTGGCCATCGTGACCACCAACTCCACGCGCACCTGGCCAGTGTTTAAGCGATGGACAACGGATGTAAGCCGTAAAGCGGAAGACGTGTGAAGCGGTCTTCACAGGATGCAAGGCGACAAAAACATGTGTGGCTCCTTTGCAGGCTCAGTTCTCAAGTAACGGAGTAGATGGCGCACAAAGCCTCCTCTTTGCTTTCCATGCGCCATTGCCTATATCTGGGACCGTACTGATCCGCACATCAAGTGGATACCTGCACTTGACACCTTACCGATGCTTGGCACCTCCGTCCAGTGTAAGTGCTTTGAGGTGGAGGCCTCGTTTTGTTTCCACGAGTCTAGTTCACAAGGAAATCTCACACGCAGCAACCGTGGGTGCATCATGTCGGTGTTTGATTCAGATGGCAGAATCTAAGGACTCGTTTCAGCTTTGATTTCATGTCGGACAGCTCCCATGCAGAGCAGGAAATCGGAAAGCACTGGCACGTGCATAAACCTTAAGCCGCAAGTGCATGCTGCGTGCGGCATGCAGGAGAAGCCGACATTGGGTGAGGTCATTGATCAAATTGGACTCGGACCAGCCCAGATGCTCTGCCAAGTAAGCTGGTGTTCTAAGCTGAGACAACGCTTAATGATCTTTTTTCTTGCCCAGGTTCCAGCGTCGCAACTAGTCGCCTGTAATCCTGTGACTGCTTGGCTTGCGCAACAAAGAAGAACCATGGGCATGCCCGCTGGAATTGTCATTCGCCTTGCATTCAGAATGTTCACCAACTCAGGGTTCGCGCAAGCCTCCTGGGTGGCGGAGTTTGGCTTGCAGATGGCTCCGAGCTACTGCTGATCGGCAGCGCGCCATGTCCGCACTTAACCTACGTCGCCCACAGGTCCTACTCTTGATACTCTTGCGAGGAACGTCGCGCATGTGGCAATACTACGTATCAGCAGCGTTAGGTTGCCGACACGCTGGCGAGAGAATGGCAGCTCTCACTTTTTCTGAAGGGCTTCGTGGTATCTCGGCCCAAAACAGCCGGGCACAACTGTGGATCGCTAGGTAGATGCAAAGATGGCCGGACTGCATGAGTAATATGAGTACTGGTCTGCCTTCTCAGGTCACTGTGGTCTATACAGGAGTCATGATCGGGAACATCTCCAGTGGACCTTTGGGCGCCTACCTGGGACGAAGGGAGTTGGTAATCGCTTCCTACACAGGACGCCTGGCTTCTTGCGAAATTGCACAAAAACAGAATTCACAGCTGATGCGCGTATGGGGCCACCGGGCTCGGCTGCCTTGAGGCATTTTCATCTTCAGCATTCTCTCCTCCACAGCTGCTAGTATAGCGGCGACTGGGCGTGCACTTGCCATTTGTGGTTTGCTTTGTTTCTTGAGATAGGTGCTTGGCCGCCAGCTTCAGGCACTTCTCGTTTGGAGGTTCATTGTGGGCTGGAGCATCGGTGCTGGACAGCCGGCATGGATGGCAATCGCGGTTGAGATTACACCTTCCAACTGGAGGATGGTTACAGGAGGGATTTCACAGAACCTGTTCGCCTTCGGGGAATCTCGGTGCAGAAGGCTTGCGCGTAAGTATCGCATCCCCGTTGTGCGCCCTGGCTGGCCTTGACTTGCACCAGTGCATCTGAGGAACTTTATGCTGCCTTCCTTCTGATGAACGATGATCCCAGTTTGAAGCACTTGGACTGGCGACGCATCATTCAGCTCGGCGCAATTCCCTCCCTCATCTTGCTGTCCTTTAGCATCCCCTTCCTGCATCTCGGTTTATAAGTGATGACGCCGGTCTAGAGCAGGAGGATTTGTAAGTTGGCAAGATGCACACGGCGTTTTAAAATGTCGGACCACGTTGGGCAAATGCACGTGCTCAGCTGTCGAGACTCATCCTTTGGGGTGTCCGTGCGGAAGGCTGCAATCGCCGACATACCTGCAACTCAAAGGACGCCTGGTACTCGGCATTGCAAGGGCAAATAGGCCGAACATGCACTTAGAAGAAGCACTTTTACGCGGCTGCATCGACGATCGACGTGATCAACTAGTTGGCTTCGCCTTGATGTCAACCAGGTCATGCCGAGGCAGTTACGGTTCTGGAGAGCATGCGCAGAGATAATCAAGCCGACGACGTCTCATTAGATTTCAGGCACTCTGGGGTCCGGTGCAGTGCACATCACGCAGTGTTTTTTTCAGCTCTGCATTCCTTTATGCATATTTGAACACTCACTTCCAAGTGCAAGAATCGCATGAGAGCATGTCAGAACAAGAACTGCGTAGTTGCAGAGATTCTCCACGTCTCCTCGTACATCACGCTGCTGAAAGCAGGGTGTAAATAGGTTCTCGTGGGCGAGGGTTCCCTAAATTTCCAGCTGCTTGCGCAAGGCTTCCGCCCAACCCGACGTCACGAAATTCGTCAGAAGGTATGCTAGACTTGCTTCTGAAGCAGGGCAAGGCCACAATGATGCTCCATCCTGGCCTAGAGATGCACATGGACATGGCTTCAAGTCGAAGCACACACGCCTTCCCCGAAGGTCATTTTGGGTGCCAAGCTGATGGTGCCCACACTTGTCGTGTCGCGCCTTGTCACCGATTGCAAGTAATATAGCAAAATATAGCAAAGCATCAGACTGCAACATGCATTCGAGGAGTGGGCATGTCCGTCGCATGACAGCGGCCCACTGAGGTTTACATGCTTTGAGCTCAACCTGCTATACTATGGCTGCATCTATGCCTTTCCACAGGTGCTTTCTGATTTGGTTGCTGAGCGCCTTGGACCTTGAAAATTCTTTCCCTTCCTGAGCTTCTCCGCATGTCAGACACTCAGCAGCTCAGGGGGGCTGCGCAGCAATTGCTGGTTGGTGCATTGTGGGAAATCCCGGGGGTCTTCATCGGCATGGGCCTCGGGGTCATGTACCTCAGGAGCGCATGTTCAATCAGCCCGCAAACTTGCGTGACACCAAAAAGTGCGTGACACTTCAGCTCTCACCATCTCACATCATCTCACACTTTATTTTACGCCAGGAAGACCGGCATCAAGTTCTACCTAACCTTAGCTGCCAGCGTGACTTTGCTCTTCATCATTGGAGGGAACAATCGCAACAGACACTGGGCTTTTGACATCGCACTCTATGCCGGCTACTACGGGATCAAGTTGACGCCGAATATAGGTTTTGTGCTGGTCTACCAGGTCATGACATGTCTCGCATTGTCTCGCCAGAGCGTAGCGAACATGTTGTCAGAACATGCTCTTGTCGCCTCTTGCCCTTCACGGCTCCCATCCTTGCCAGTAGCAAGGTCACCTGCTGTTGATCCTTGGCAGGTTGCCAACGAAATCTACCCTGCCGAGGCTTGTAGATCTCAAGCCAGTGCCAGTGCCACTTTTGCGAGACAGTGGCAGTGCTGGATAAGAAACCCCTAGTGTTTCGCGAGGGTACCCTGGATTTCTTAATTTGAAGCCCACCTAGTTGCTGGAAACTATCACCTCCACAATTTTGAGGGTACCCTCGATTTCTCAATCAACTTCTTAATTTGGGCTTCCAGCCGATAAATGAAGAAAAGAGGGGCTGGATTTCGTATTTTTTTTTTGGGGGGGGAGGGGGGGGGGGAGGACCCCCAACCTCCCCAAACCCTTCAATTAAGAAATTGAGGGGCTGGATTTCTTAATGGGGGGGGGGGGGGGGGGGGCCGGCGAGGACCCCCAAAATTCAAGAAATCGAGGGGCTGAATTTCTTAAACTCAAGAATTAAGAAACTGATGGCTGGATTTCAGAAAAGTCTTAAATTCAAGCGATTCAGGGGCCGTCACAAAAACCACCAACATTAAGAAAATTTGGTTTGCAGGATGAGGGTACCCTCGATTTCTTAACATAGTCTTGCTCTCAATTTTTGCGTTTTAAACCGCAGGTCCCCCGCCAGGGTGCTCGTTTCCTTAAACCAATGATTTCTTAAGCAGTGCTGTCGCTGTAGGGCATCCGACGTGAGATCGTTTCCACCAAACCTGCTGTTGACAAAGATGCCGTCATGATCTCGCACAACCTTCAAGCACGTCCATGCAGGCGAGGACCTTTGGCTGCGGGATTTGTCTTGCCTGTGGGCGCCTTGCGGCCATGCTGGGACCGCTGGTTTTCGAAGGGACCCTTGGACCATCCTGGACTACTTGGCTATGTTGCTCCCAAACTTGCCAAAGATGTCAGGCCAGGTCACAGGTGCGATTTTGTGCGATTTGTCAAGACCAGCTGAGGCTCTTTGCGTTCACCGGCACCTGGCTCTCCTTTTTCTTGATGATGGCCGGCTTCGCAGTTCTGAACCTGTACTTGGTCGACCTCATCCCGGAGACGGCGTCGCTCTCTTACGCTTGCCATCCTGTGTCTGTGGTGATCTTGGCATCTTGGCATCTTGGCTTGGCGTGACACGAGAAAGAACGTCATGGCTTCTGAGGAACAAGATCCTCGATGATCTACGGAAGCCAAGCAAGTGAATGCGCCTTGTAGTAGCAAAGAGTCGCAGCGCCTTTGGCAATCGAAGATAGTGCAGGTTGCAGAGCTGGAACTGGGAGAAATCCGAACAAGTGAAAATGCCTTGACAAGGCCACTGACAATCCTTACAAGACAGAAGCGGGCAGGTTGCAAAAAACAACTGTGAGTGACACAGTACAGCGAGACTTTGGTCCACGTTGACGCAACTGTCCAAGAAGCACACAAATCACAAAATGATGGCAGGTGCCAGAAACTGCAACCGGCCGCTCCCTTGAGGGCTCTCAAACATTTTGCATGTCATCGCATGTTGTATTTTTGCAGGCATGGCAGGGCAGGCCACTCTGTGGTGGTTTGGTTGTGGCCTCGGACATGTCGCAACATTATCACACCCAGGGTTGCCTATCTGGCCCTCAGATCACAGCGACGTGGACATTCCTGAAGAACACGTCGTCCGCACAGCATGTCATGCAAATGGCTGAGATGGCACCCCCTTGCTGGCTTGGATTGAGTCTTGGTGCAAAGCTTCGTTTGTCGTGCTCGCGCGGACAGCCAGGGGAAGCTCGAACTCCAGCAAGCAAGGCCAGTTACAGTTCCCAAAGCCCATCTTGTAGGTGAGCAAGAGTAGCAAGAGCTGGCTGAGAATCACTGCAAAAGGCGGAAGACTGTCGCCGTGGAGCTGCCGTCGAGATGGTTCGATGGGCAAGTCCCCCGACAGGCTGGCGGCTGGGTTGTCGTCATGCCTCTAGATCTGAAAGCAGCTGAAAGCAATGCGCTGTCCTTCTGGCTCGTTTCTGGCTCTGCAGTGCACTCTTGCAGTGGCATGGTGCAGGTCAACAACATCGGCGCAGAGCCGCTCGGAGTTGAAACCATCAGCTAGCGAAAAAGACGCCAACAACATCTCAACAGATTGCTTGACACATCATTGGACGGCAAGCTGGAGAGACAAGAGCAACCGAGAAGATGCGCGCACAGGCAGCGAAAGCCCTTTTAAGCGTTTCACCAACAGATGGCTTTGCAATTTCAGGTTCTGCTGGCACCAATTCGCCTTGCTCTTCGGCCAGGCTCAACACCCAAACAGGTCAGCTGCACCGACAGGAAGCTTGGATTGGCCTCCCTTGCAGGTTGCTACAATTGAGCTGGTTCGTCCAAACGCAAGTGTTCTGGTGCAGCTGTTCCTTGGCTGGGATGCTGCGAGTGTGGATGAAAGAGTATAAGGCATGCGGCACTAGGTTTAGGGTGCCAGAAGTTGCCCAGGTTGGTATCCTACAAGGCTCCTCGCAAGTGGCTATTTGCCATGCCCTTATGCGAGTACCTGCGGTAGTGGATGGTAGTGGATGGCAGGAGCCCGAGGGAGCCGCAGCCTTCATGGAGGCTTTGACCGACCGCTACCTCCTCTACACCAAGAGCGGGGGCCAGCAACCCACAGTCCCAGAAGACCCTACGAAACACATCGAATTTGAGAGAGTGCGACATGGAAACCCTGCAGTCCCGGACGATTGCTACCCGGTGACACTCACTCCGGGAGACGGCGTGAACCTCGAATCATTGCAGATCCTTCGAAGGTGGAGGTCGTAGCGCGAGAATTATGCTGAGCCAGGCTACTCGCTGAGAGAGTATTATTGCTCTGCCAGCACCCGCCCTGGTATGTCGACCGTGTCCGCCACGAGACAAAGACGCGTTCATTTGTGCAAGGCGTCCCCAGCCATCCTCCGCGAGAGGCAGGGCCAAAAGCTTCTCTTTGCAATGCCGAGTTAAACTTCTGGTTGTTTTCTTTGACAGGAGGTGCGACACGAGCCCCCTGTCATGGGCACGCAGGCCACCCCATTCCAGGAGGGGTCACGTCTAGAGTCTAGATAGAGGTGGCAGAGGGTTTGACGTTGTCTCTGAAATTTCAGGTGAAGTTCCAGTTTGTTTTTCCTGACAGGAGGTGCGACACGACCCTCCTGCCATGGGCAAGCAGGCCACCCCGTTCCAGGAGAGGTCACGTCTATAGAGTCTGGATAGAGGTGGCAGCAGTGGGTTTGAAGTTGTCTCTGAAATTTCAGGTGAATTTCAGAGTGTTTTTCCTGACAGGAGGTGCGACACGACCCTCCTGCCATGGGCAAGCAGGCCACCCCGTTCCAGGAGGGGTCACGTCTATAGAGTCTAGATAGAGGCGACAGCAGAGTTTGAGATTTTTCTCTGCAATTTCCAGTTTGTTTGTCCTGACAGGAGGTGCGACACGACCCCCCTGCCATGGGCAAGCAGGCCAACCCGTTCCAGGAGGGGGTCACGTCTAGGAGTGGAGAGCTTGGCTAATCCAAAAGGCCCAGGGCTTAGAAAATCTTAGAAATGCAAAGCCTGCTGGGCTTAAGATATTCATGAGCTTGGCCTTTACTAAACGCAAGAGGCCAGGGCCCGGGGCCAGGGGAAGTTGTTGGCGAGGAGTCCGAACGACCCGGTGCAGCAGAAAGCGGCTTTAGAGTCGTGTCTGCGGCTGCTCCTGCAGCTGAGGCCATCCGCACCCATCCGCACCCTCAAATGCTGGGAATGTGCTGCTAGAGGAAGCATTGGACGCATCTACCCTGCCGTTTCAGGCCTACATACTTCGACGCTGCGGCAAAGTCCCGGTGCAGGGAACCTACTAGCAGTCCCATGTCCTTTGTTGACCCAGCTTATGGCTGAAACAAGAAGTTTTTTTTACTGGACATCACGGCCTCGCTGCATATTTAGACAATCCTGGATGTCCTAGACGTACACCCTCCAGATGTTGCAAGATCTCCGCTGCCATAAAGAGCATGATGGAACAGGCTGCTAAAAGCATTGTAGGAGCGACATGGCATGACAAATGACTGTTCCAGAGCGACACACGACAAGGCCGGATGCGCTCCGAGAACCACCAGAGACGTTTAGCATTTCGACGCAGAAGCCACGGCTTGTTTTCGGTCCACTACTCAGAATATCTCAGAATATGTGTTGACAGATCTTGTCACCTCGGCAGCTGTCACGTTTCAAATGCATCAACCACAGGACGCGAAGATACCTGTGATGCTTGAGCCCCAGTGAGGTTCAGCAACAAGTTTGCAACATGTACCTTCAAGTCTGTAGATTCTGGACGATTCTGTACATCAGGCAGTCCTCCGGCATCAGTACGTGTCAAAGGTGCCGGTGCCTCGGTCTTTTCGGTCGCCTGCTTGAAGATAGAACATGGGCATTCTCCTTGCAAGCCACTCCGGCCTGATTAGGCATGGTACCTTCGTGCTTCAGGACTCGCCTGAGGCACTCCAGAAAGTACGATTCCGCAACAGACTCCGAACACCAAAGCGCGGCACCAGGTCAGCATGGGCCGGATGCTGCTGCTCCTGGACTCTTCCTCAAATGGAGTTTGGGTGAATGGAGTGCGCATGGCGCCTGACACCCAGCATCTTGTGCAGGAGCATCAGGCGTCAAGCGTATTACGGCCGACCGTGTCAATCTGCGATTGTCAGGACTGGCCGGTTTCAACAACTTCATCCAGGGGACAGGCCGAAATTTCTTGCGAAGAATGCTGCTCCATTGGGTTAGCTGGAGTGCACCCGCGAGCGCAACACGTGCACTCGCGATTCGAGGATTTCTTTCCTGGCACCCATCACCAAGTTGGATGAAGATCCCGCAACTTGGGAGGCTCTGTCTGCCAACTCTTGAGAAGCAGTTCTTGCAGCCGACACCTTCTTCGTTTTCGGTAGGTGTGCATTCTGAGCGCTGCCCCTGCCGCTGCCTTACTGAAGTTCTGAAGCGTGAGGGACCACAAAAGCGACGGCATGCAGGTCACCGGCAGCCAAGCAGGGTCACCAGCAGCAGCCGAAGCACAGCTTGCACCAGCACAAAGTGCAGCAAGGAGCCACCAGGCACCGCACTTGCACAGCGTGCCCACAGGTTGCTTGGTGTTCTAAGGTTGTGGGTGTGGCAGAGGCAGTTTCCGGCGGTTGCTTGGGGTTGCAGAGTTAGAGGATTGACATGGATTGACCATACAATAGCGTATTGCTTGGCCTCCACCCAGCTGGAGTTGGCCAGGGGAGGTATGATTTTGAGCCCCAAACAAAGTTGGACAAGCATTGCAACTTGGCGCGAGGACGACTTAGCAGAAAGGCTGCCTGTCTTCACGGCATGTGCGTACAGTACCGGTCGTGCTAAGTGACTTCAGTACTTTTCAGTGCACATGTTCCATGATACAAGTTGCATCCCTTTCATGCTCATCAGGCCGCAACCTCGCGAGAGGCAGTGCAACTCGCTCAAGTTGTGGAGAGTGGCCCGCAGCCGCAGCCACAGCCGGCGCAGGCCGCGCAGCCAGGCCAGGTCCTGCATTGTCCTGCCTGTCATTCAGTCCTTGCTCTCCCTCTCGCATCGCACACCTCAACATTCGGCCTCGCAAGAGTTGGCAGGAAGTTAGGATGTGTATGAGATTGTATGAGCAACTTGAGAAGTTGACTTTGACTAGCGTACGCTTCCACTTCTCCCCCCGCACATTGATCCGAATCTTGGCCACTGGCCCCCCCACCCCCTCCTGGAGACAGACATTCAGAAAAGCGGGCAGGGATTCATCTGGTGCCGCCAGACAGTGCTGTGGTGCCACTCGGGCTGCCCACCCACCCTTCAGGCATCCGAAGCCCCTTGTGAAACATGCGCGTCCTCTCACAGGCCAGGCATGCTTTTGAGTCCCAACACAGAGACCCTTCGAGCAAGCACCACCTCCGCTTCGTAAACGTGCATGTGGGGCATCGCAGTGCAGCAATTTTTTCATGGTGGTGCCGTTCACCGAGCCTTTCGAACGGATGCAAACAACGTTGAGTACTTGGGACGCAGCAGCAACTGATCGAACGCACCCGACTGGAGTGGCCCCGTTCCTCGGGGCTGCACATTTGGGCACTCATGGGCTGGCTAGGCCAAGGTCGATAAAACTTGACCTTCAAGCAGCACGCGACATGCGCCGGCAGGATTAGCGTCATTAGGTCATGCACGGATGCACGATGTGACGATGTGCTGTTTTGAGGCTGAAGTCATTGAGGCAAGTTGGCCGGCGCCTCTCGAAACCTGTCTTGTTTGATTCCTGTTTCCTGTGACCTCGTCTCAAGGGCAAGATTTTGCTTTGACCGTCTGACTTTTGGAAAGGTTGTTTTTGAAAAAGCCAAGTGAGCATGGCACTATTTGCCGGCTTAGGCGACGGAAGGAATTCGGAATGTGGTTACACACCGCACAAACAGCCTAAGTATCACAAACCATACATTCAAACAGCCAGCTCCAGCATCAACCTAGTTTACCTGACCTTTCCCCTCAGTCCGCACCCAGTACAGACGCAGCACAGCCCATTCCAAAATCGGACCCGCGACCAAACCCCAACTTGCACCCTTGCCGCGCTCCTCGGAAGGCTTTGTCCATGTGCCATGGCTGACACGGCAAAAGGGCGTACGTGGCAGTCATAGGATCGTTGCAGCTTGAGTTGATAGTGCGCTGTGTAACCACTTTCCGCATTTGTGTTTCTTTCTTGTGTTCAGTCTTTCTTTTGCAACAGTCACTGCAAAACGTTGTGCCCCACGAGCCCGCAGGACACAGAAACGCAGCCTTCAGGAATGAAACAACGCAGGCTCCGAGTAGTTTTCGGACGGAGAGGCCTTAACACAGAAGTGACACAGCAGTGTCACCGGCGCTGTTGTCCTGCAGCGCAGGTCAGCCAGGCAGATGCCTAAAAATTAAGAAGCTCACCAAATCCTTCGGGTCAGTCAAGCGACATTTGCATCTCGGGGCATTTGACATGAATGGCCACCAAAAATACCCGCTGTTAATCGCTGTGTAGCTAAGTCCAGGGCACATGGGGCTTAGGCTTGCGGGTGGGTGGAGGCAGAACGAGGCGGGGAGGGGGAGGGGGGGAGGGATTAGCCCCCCCCCCCCCACACGTTGTCAGTCCTGAGTTGTATCGTCGCAGTCGCAGCTTTCATCTTTGTGAGTATTTGCCAAAGCTTCCTTGAAGCTTCATGACAGGGCCAGGCCGTGCAGTGCCAGAGGCTCACAAAGCACAGCCTGCTCAAGTGAACGGGCAGAGTTCGCAACCTGAGACTTCAGCGCAGCGAGCGCAAGCACAGCCAGCGCAGCGAGCAAAACGGCCGCAACCGGAGCAGCATCAGCAAGCACCACCAGTGCAGAAGTCACCATCAAACCAACAAACGCAACAGCACAAGCCCCAGCAAGAGAAGCAGCAGCCACAGAATACAAAGCAGCCGCCGCAGCAGCAGCGAGCGTTGCAGGAAGCATTGCCACCAGGTGAACAGCCTGAGACGGACACAACTGCAGCGAGGCCGAAGCAAAAGCGCGCAAAGACCGCGGCCAAGGCTTCAGCCCTGAGAGTAGCGGAAGAGGGATCGAAGCGTGAGGCATCTCCAGCCAAGACGCCTCGCCCTTCCAAAATCCGAGCAGCAAAGACGATGCCCAGACCTAGCGATGCGAAGCAAGGTCCGGATAACGAAGGCACGGCCGAAGCAATGGCAGGCTATGCCAGCGGCTATGCTGCATTGGCTGCGGCATGTTTGGAAGCCGCACAGGAAGAGGAGGAGGAAGAAGCAGAGGCGGGTTGTTGCTTCACAAGTTGCTTGTGCCAACATGCCCCTGGCCAACAGGCGCAGCGACGCGCTGAACTGCCGGCCATCAAACCCATAGCTTCCAAAGAAGAAGCATCACCATCTCAGAGCGTTCAAGCCGCATCTGTCGCGGGGAATCTATCTCAGCTGCTCTTATCAGCGGATGGTCCCCAGCAATGTCTTGGCGGGGCATTGCCCCAGACCGCCATCTCTCCTCCAACGTCCGCTTTGCCCGTCACTTCACCAGCACCGACACCACTGCCACCTCCACCTCCACCCCCCCCGCCACCAGTACATGCAGAGCTCGCGCAAGAGCTTGCACCAGCTTGGCCACCCCAGCCGTTGGTCATGCCGATGGCTGTGGCAACAGCAAAAACAGCCCCGGCATTTCAGAAGTCAGAGGTTGCACCGATCACGCCATCCAGACTGGGATTAGCAGCACCAGTCACACCACCAAAAGCAACTGCTCCAGAACGTGCTCCGTGGAGATCTGGGTCACTTCCTTGCATGCTGAGTGAAGCAGCAGTCGCATGCGCACATGCACTTGACCTGCAGCGACACAGTCTTATGGTTTTGGCATGTTTTGGCCAAGGCCTTTGCTGCTGCCACCGCCACCTACTCGATCACCTTCACTTCGACAGGCCGCTGTTGCCCTTTTGCTCGGCAGAAAATTGCTTTTTTTCCTTGATGTCAGGAGCTGTATACATCGCTGGTCAACACGGACACGAAGCTTGGTGCCCTGTCTGCAAACCGGGATTCGATACGTGCCAATGGTAACATTCATACGTGATGCATTGCTGCGAGCTATGCCTTTCCCGTGGCAGTTTTTGAGGTGCCGAAGTTATGAATCTGCGGCCGAAAAGCTGTCACCTTCTCGGAGTTTCGCCGAAGCCAACCAGAGTCAGTCCGAGTGGCAGTCTGTGTGGGATAGTAACTTCTTGACACGAGATCTGTTCGTTTCTAGCCCGAGCATGCAACCAACAGCCGTTTGGTGTCCATGCTAATTATGGGGCGAACTGAGACCACTAGCTGCTCACACGACTCGGACTGGCAGCACCCTTTGTGCATTGCCAACCAATACCATAAGCACATTATTCAAGAAATAGAATGACGTGCACATGTAATGTGCGGATATGCACAGCATGCCTACGAGGCTGACAGCTTCTCATCCTTGGTAAACGGGCTGAACGCAGATCAATTGCCATGCTGGAGTTGAGCTGGATCTGTGAGCATCTTCAACACTTGGCCAGGCAGAGTAATTACTGTAGGATGTGACTCTGAAATGCCCCGACGATTTGGCCAAGCCAGACAGCAGTCGTGCATGGCGCACCTGGTCCCGAGACGTCCCGTGTATGCGGTCACTGCTTCGGATGGCTGTCGGGTTAATTGATGCTGCTCTCAGACGGTGGGTTTTTGGGATAGGCTGAACCGACAGGGTGTGTTGGAGGAGGATGTTTTGTTGGTGTCCGCGGAGAGACCGTGACTTGTCCCCGCGGAGTGGGTGCTTCGGCATGTGGGTGGCAAGAAAATGACTGCACCGGAATGCGAGTTCACACATGCGCGCCCTGCGGGACCGCCAACTTACCGTCAACTTATGTAGAGTCACGGAGGTAGCGAGTTGATACTTCTTTTGTCTGAAGAAACTTGTGGAGACATGAGCAAGTACTAGCGCATCACCGGCTTAGGCGCGGCATCGTCACAAGCGCCTCCTGCAAGAGGCGTTGAGGACCTCAAGTTGCAACTTCTCCATGTCTGCCGTTCATGTGCCCAACACGTGCCCAATATTCCAACATCTGCCTAGGAAAGTCGTGGAAAGAGCAATTGTTGCTGTGTGTGACACGGGGCGGTACTTCTGCGAAACTATACATGTCCACGTCTCTCGTCGATCTGCCAGGATCTGAATGATATCGCAAGCTGGGTTGCGTGGTGGGGCCTGGGCAAGTATCAGGCGCATGAAATGCAAAAACGGGGGTCTTCGACATTTCCAGCCTTGAGCACCTTTCCGACGCATCAGGCAAGGCTGATTGACAACTACGATGACGTGGACCAGATCTGCAGCAGATGCCCTACAGAACCGCAACGTCATGTTCCAATTTGTGGCGAATCGGCTGTCATGCCTTGCAAGGTCTTCATGAGAACAGTTTGCAGACGTTTTTTGCAGACAACCAAGTTGACAACAAGGCTGGTTCATCTGCCTTCGCTCCTGGCATGTGAAAGTGAAGTCCGAAGACCAGGAAGACCAATTGCTCTTCGAGAACGCCATCTCTGCTTGGAGCAGCAAGCTTCATTGAGAGAACCGGGTTGGCGACAATGTTCTTTGAACATTAGTTGAAAAAACTTGGAGCAGAGCAAGGTGCTTGTGGGGAGTGGGCTGCGAGCGGTCTGCTTAAAGATGTCGATGTGGTTGTTTGTGTGTGTGTGTGCACGTGCTTCCCGCAATCCTCGACCGCTTGCTTGCTGGTGGCACCGTTTTCGCACTCAGCATCTCCAGGACACCCTCACCCAGGGCAATGGCACCTTTTACCTTTTGCTGAGTTTGCTGTTCGTGCGCTAGATTCGCCTCATTTCCTGTTTGGTCGTTCATGCAAGCAGACTTTCAGCTCTTTGCGACTAAGTTGAAGTTCATGTATTTCTTCGGCTTCCCCTTCACAATGGCTCGAAGAGCGCAACCGTACTTCCCCAAATCCCTTATTCGCTAGGTTCAAAACAGTTCACTCATTCTCAGACGGGGTTCAAGGGAGCACAGAGACGAGATTCCTAAATGCAACAAAGGACGTTGGCGATCAAGATCAATCAATCAGGATTTTGAAAGTTGTCTCTGTGGCATTGGTTTCTTGAGGTTTTCAAGGGCGGTTTCCGTGTTGGGTTGTCACAGCGTTTACGACACCAGGGGAGCCGTGAAGAGTTACCAAAAAGAGAGCTCCAAGTTACCTCTGGGATTCCAGCGGCTAGAAATCTCCGCAGTTCCGAGTTCGCGAAGAATGCAGAATTCATGTTGGTTTCAAAGGGCCATCCCTGCAGTTGCTATTGTTGCTATGATCTGGAATCAAAGACACATGACTCACCCCTTTTGTCGGTTTCAGTAGCGAAAGACGTTTACGATCCTACTGGGACAGCTGGCCTAGAGTGGAAAGAGAAAACCCTAAATCCTAGTCTCGCAACTTGCATCGTTGTAGAACAAGCAGTCGGTGAGCACAAGCTTGAGCAATGAGAGACAATGAGCGAGATCAGCGGCGAATGGGGGCGCAGCATGGCCATGTGCTGGGGCTGCAAATGCTCAGCACTTGCACGGGCCCGAGTGATCTCGTAAGCACAGTTGTCAGGTCTTTTGTCTGAAGCCCCTTGCAAGTTCTTCGGCTTTCAGAACTTATCCGCGCTTGACCCGTCGCGAAATACGTCAAGCAGCCAAGGCGCGCTGCAGTGAGGCAAGGCGGGGCGATCCTTTGTCGACAAGAAGGTCCAATGGCCAGACATCGACGAATCCTCATTCGTGGGCTTGGGGAAGTCAGCGCTTACGGAGCGCTGCTGTCCCTGCAGTCGCAGCAGCCGCTGCTAAGGCAGGTGTTTCAGAACACCTCCACAGCCCTTGGCAGGGTCCAACTTTGAGTACGTCGTTCACTTCTAAATCTTCAATCTTAATCTTCTAAGCTTGTGTCCACGTCATGCTCCCTGACTCGTCTGCCTGCATGTGAGACAGTCCAAGGTTTTGCGTTCCTTGACTTGTCATGGCAGGGCTGCTAAGATCTACCTGTCGTCATTGTGCTTGTGGCTGTACCAGAAAGCTGTGATTCAGCTATAGGCTATAGGCACGTGTGACGTTACAGTTAGGCATAGACATGTGCCGCGTTGTGGGGTCATGGCGGCCTGCCTCTTACTCTTCAAACAAAGGCAACATGTGCCTCCAGGTGGGGAGATATCACGTCGCAGGCAGGGCCGATCTTGCCTGGCACGGCTCGTCATGTGCCAAAATGAACCGAACCGCGTGCGGGTTCTTCAGACGCCAGCCTGCACCACAAGAAGCAGGTCACGAGGTGAGCTTGCCCAAAAGGATTGTGCCCAAAAGTCTGTGCAAAGAGCTCAAAAAACTGTCACCGAGAGGTTGGGGCGGATGGCCTGCCAGCCATCAATCCAAACTGCGTGCGCATTTGTAATCACACGGAGACGCGGCTTGTGGTACTCGCCTTTACCCGGGTGCTTCGGCTGCATGATGTCACCGCAAGCCACAAAAATGTCAGGTGCATAGTATGTGCATGAATGCAGAGGCTGCTGCATTGCTTAGGAAAACTTGGTCTATGCAGTTGGCGGGGAAATTCTCACACTGGCACCCAACAGCCACGTGGACATCCTATCGCGGAGCACTCGCAGCAAAATTGCCGTGCGCAGAAAGGATGCGGCACACATGATTGTGCTGCGGCGAGGCTCTAGTCTGACATTGCAACCCATGCATGAAAGAACGGAGGCGTACAACTACAAAGAGACTCAGATCGCGGATGTACTAGCGACATGGGAGTCGGGATCATCATGGGAAATTCTGGCAGGGCCACTATTCTGGCGCTTGCCACGCAACGTTGAGGATGTTGAGTTCGAGGTCTTTTCGGTGCTGCAGTCAGAGGGGCGAGTAAGCTTCAAGGTTGTGCGCAAAGAGGGCAGAGACTGGCGAGGACATCCGCTTGCTCGCATGCGAGTTATTCGTGCAGGGTTTCTTGGCACGAAGTTCTTGCACAAAGGCACAATGTACATGGGCAAGATCGTGAGCGAGCAGCATGCGGCTGAGATTTCTCAAGCCCATCAGAGAATTTCTGGCACTTTTGGACCGCCCGAAAGTATTGTCCGCTTCGAAGGGAGCTTGAAAACCGACACTGGAGCGCATCTGGTGCTTTTTGAAGACTTTGGAGAAAGTCTCGCAAGGCTCATCGGTAGCTCGCCCTTGACCTAGCATCGTTATGTTGCTTTTGGCTCGGGGTGCTGGCCGTCCTGTCACACACACACAAGCATCGTCTCTGCTGCAAACATCTGTCCTGCGGAGCCTTCTATAGGCAAAAGCTCCGACTACTTGAATGCTGATGACGTTGATCAGTGTGACCTGGCATGCCGGCAGAGATTGTGAAAGGTGCTCCAAATTCAGCCCACGGACTTTAAGGTGCGCAAGATCTGCTGGCGGCGATTTCCGCTTTGCATGCGCAGGGCTTGCACCACTTGGCCCTCTCGCCCGAGAGTGTGTGGCTCCGGCGAGATGGCAGCTCAGCATGCATACGTCGCTGCAGAGCAGGTCATGGTACGTAAGTTGTTGGTCACTGCTTGAGTGCACGAGTCAGTTTAACCCCGTTCTGGGATCCTGGAATCTGCGAAGCGAGGAATGGGACGCATGCGCTTAAAGCCGCTTGGCGACAGCTGCAACAGCACAAAAAGTCGTAAAGCCACCAGGACGATGGACAGTCTCAGCCACAGGCTCCAACTTCATTCACCTTAAGTCTACCATAAGCGTGACTTCAGTGACTTTATTGCGCGCTGTGAAATTCTGCTCAGGCTGGCAGATCTGGGAGTCTGCGAGCACCCATCAAAACCGTGGCCGACGGGCAGGTCACGCCAGTTGGGCGACTCTTTCGCAATTCAAGTGAGCCCACGACAGCGTGCGGCATGTGATGCCTGCATTGCGTATGCACGTATGTATATATATATATACATATATATATATATATGTATGTTTTTTTCATGCATGTGAGGTGTAAGTAAGGCGTTCCTTCCTTGAGCAGGACTATGCAGGACTCTGTTGCAGGTGTAATAATCTCAGCAAGTGATTTCCCCAGGCTGGCGTACCTACATGGCTCCTGACTCTTGGCTGTGGTATGAGACTCTTGAAAAAGGATATATTTACAGACCTATTTGGCAAATATGGCAAGTTTCACGCTACGCGACCCGCCTCGGCCCGGCCCAGCGCATCCGCGTGAGCATGGTGACTCCGCAGCGCCCAAGTCGCAGCACCCCAAGCAATGAGGGTTGGGTTGAGGGTTGAGGGTGCCGGGTTTATGGTTTAGGGTTCCGACTTGAGGGTCAGTTTAGGGTTGGGGCTTTGGGGGCTCACGGGCAGGGGGGGGGGGGGGGGGGGGGGGGGTGGCAGGGGGGGGGCAGGGGGGGGGCAGGGGGGGGGCAGAGCGCAGAGGGGGGGCAGGGCGGGGCGGAGGGGGGGCAGGGGCAAGATAACATAACCTTATCAGAATATAAGAATGTAGCGACGCAACAATACAGTATATAATCATGTATAGTATTTCGAGTAAGAATAGTTCATAAACCAATATCATATTCTCCCTCAATAAGATTAGGACCCTGGCATCCAAGGAGCTACAGGAATCAAAGTCCACGGCAGAGGCAGTCGTGGCCCGGGCACTGGCCAAGCGTGCACCAGCAAAATTTGGCCTTGTTTATGCGGTCGCGGCGCAGGGAGCAACAACAGATCCACGAATGTATAGGCTTAGCTTGTGCGTACAGGTACGAAGCCGAAGGCAGCGAAGATTCCGGAGAGCCAGGCCGGGAGCAACTTCTTTCTCCGCCTGCGCGCATGAGTTGACACGGTAGTGTCCAGGTACTTGGCCAAATCAAGGCACTGGACATCCTGCCAAGCCTGCGCCGGCATGCTCCTACTGGAAATCGGCAAGGCGTTGCCAAAGAAGAAATTATGGCACTGCTGAAAGAGATTCTTGGCTGTTATAATCTCTTGCCACCTTTCATTCAGCTTCGATCGGGTTTCAGTCCAGAGTCGAGATGTTAGCTTGCAAAACAAGGTTTCCCATCTTCGCGGAGCTTAGTAGCTTTGACTTGCACCAGCTTGCACGTGAATTTCAGGGGCCTTTCTTCATCCCACCAGGGGCTTCCCTTTTCGAAGTCGGGGAGTTGGGGGACTTTCTGTACCTCATTCTTGCCGGCGAGATTGTTTGCCGGAGGGGCAAAAAAGAACTTCGGCGATACCGCCGCGGTGGGTTCGTCGGAGAGACGGCATTGCTGGGACCTTCGCCGACGAAGCGGATCTTCGCGGCAAGAGTGGCACGCGGCGGTCCCGGCTGTGCGGTTCTCCGACCCTCGGCCAGCGAAGTGCCAGTGACTTCCTCTGTCTTGCAGCATCAAGTGGGTGTTGAGCTAAGGAATGCACCATACATTCTTCCGGAAGGACTTAAAGACTGGAGGGCCACTGAACAGCATCGTGGGCCCGGTCAGGTGGAGATATCTGGAGAAGCCTGGGGAGTCAATGGAGCCAGCGGATGCGGACGTCTTCTCGGCTGGCTTGCTTTGGTGCCAAATGGCTGCCAGTTCCAGGGTCTTGACCATGTACCGGCCGGGAGCTCGGACATATGCGAGTCAACCATTCCACGGACGTGCATCGCCTTGCACTTCGGCTCAGTCAGAAACCCACTGTTGTTCTTTAGCTTTTCATGCTATTCAGGATCAAACGGGCCAGAACTGTGGAAGCTCTGTTGGATGCGGTAGCAGCACGCGAAATCGGCAGTTTCTACTTCCTGCTGCAGGATATGCATGTCGGCTAAGGATGCACATGTCACGTGCATGGGTTGGCAATGGTTGCCCTGTCCAGGACTGGAGAAATGTTGCTCTCATCCAGCTCATCATTCGCCGGGCCTCCGCATATGAGGCCTTCCTCTTGGACGTTTGCAGAAAGCACACTCACTTCATTCCATTCGCATGTTGAAGGCATGTGGTTGGTTTCGGACATCAACCATGCGGAAACCTACCCTATAGTTCTAGACAACTGCGAAGGAAAGCGATAACATGGAATGTTTTTTTTATTCTAGTAGGAAGAAGAGGGAGTAGGGAGCATATTGCATCGTGTGGCCACTTATAGGGACAGCAGCAGCAGGCTGCACTGGCATGCTGCGATGTCGTCCTCGTTGGCTGGTCCTTTTGCTGTTTATTTTGCTCTTGACACCATGGCGCCCTGCAATGCCCTGTCCATGAAGAAAGCCAAGACAAGTTGTGCTTGCATCAAGAACTTGAACCTACATCTGTCATGCAAAAGAGTTGCAGGCATTGTTCTGCTTAGAAGAGAGGGACAAAATCGTTGCGGAGAGCACCAGCAAAGAAGTCTACGACGAGACGCAGCTTTCTGCTCGCATTTATATATATATATACATATGTATATTTATTTATTGATTTGTTTGTTTTCTTTTATTCTGTGTACACACATGATTCGCGCACATGTGAAGATGTTGGGTCGACAGTTTCTGCTATGACATTCCATCACATGCAAGGCAAAGCGTGTTCGGATTGATCGGGAGAACCGTCAGCGACTTTCAAAAGGGCGCGCGCTCGATCTTTGAGCTCACTCAAGACTCGATGGCGGCTTCTGTTGCAGTTCAGATGTCAAATCGCGCCAGAGCAACTGTGTTGGATCAATGGGAGAAGCTGACAAACGTTGCCACGGAGAGAGTCTCGATCGAACGGTTCCTTTTAGAATTTGCGAGTCGGTGGTACCGTTTACTTGCGACATCTTGCGACTTCACGCGTGCGGGCTCATGTGTGCTGTAAGGAATGGGCCAAATTGCCGGCGAGTTGTTTGGCGAGTTGTACGGAAACCTTTTTGCAAAGGATCTGCTGTGGATGTTTCGAAATCCAACACGGACACAGCGATTTCCAGTGCTACTCGTACGTGATGCCGAAGATGGCAATCTTGTGGCACGCTGGCGAATTGGAGCATCCATGGTGTTCGAGAGCGAGCTTTGTGCGAAGACCCTGCCGCGAGTCCTGCCATCTGTTCGCCCTGCACTATCAGCAGGTTTTCAGATTGGAAACGCCGTCGGCCGCAAGTTGTCAGCATGTTAATTGGCTTCATCGTGCTTCTTCCTGGCGTAGCACAGCACATGACTCAGCAAGCATGTTTGGCTGACATGGTTGGTGAGGCAATCGCGCCATTAACTTCAAGCGACTTTGATGGAGTTCAGGGTTCAAAGATGAGAATTGGCGAAGATGCAGGTGCACTGGTACACTGGTACACTCACTGGTACACTCATGAGTGTTTCGTGTAACTTAGGCGACTCTGGGTCGATGCCTTTCTTGGGTCCTTCTTCAAGCAGTTCTGGGCATTGCTTCGGATTAGACTGAAGCGTGTCCGAGGTCGACGCGTTCGATGGGACCTGCTTGGGAGTGTCTTGAAAGAGTCAGTGGTGAAAGGACAAACTGCAAGGAACCTGGTTCTCACCAGATTCGGCCGACTTCCCACAAAGTATGATCAGAACGACCCGCAGGTCCTCCAACTCTTGCCATCCAAGTGGGTCCCCGAAATTGGCCTGCCGCTTGCAAGTGGTGTTGGCCGTGGCTTCATGACTCGATGGTGGAGGGGATTTCGCAGTGGCTTGCGCCGAAAGTATGTGAGGCCGGACACCACGCGGACATGCGCGATGTGTGGGCGCTGATTGTAAGCTAAGGGTTTTGGCAGAACAAGGTGACACCAGGTCCTTTTACATAGCTCGCGCCAAGGAGGCTTTTTTGTCATTTGATATCTATAAGCGTACCTGCGAGCGGAGTAATTACCTGAGCAATGGCTATTGCAACTGGTAACCACATTCTGAAAGCTTTCTGAGCAAGTGTTCTGAACCGGCACGTCAATTTTTGCCAATAATATTGTGGCCGGCTTTGCACTGCTTACTTCTGTCGACAGGCAGTTTGTAAGGTCATTCGGTATCGACTCTACCCCATCCACATTCTTCGACACGTGTGGATCATGTTGTGGGCGTGTGCGCACGCAGCGCGTGTAGGGCACAGCAGAAAGTGTCACAGTCTGCAACTGCAACTGCTAAGAATGACCACGGCCCCGGCAGGCCAAGGTTCGAGACGTGGGATTTGGAAGACGTGCCTAAAGTGGTTCTGAACTTCGCGAGGCAGCAAGGGGCTGAACAGGCTCGAGCCACTGGGAAGGACAATGGTGTCTCTAGCACTAGAACAACGTTGTTGATAGCGGGGACGTACGTGTGTGTGTGTGTGTGTGTGTGTGTGTGTGTCTGTGTGTCTGTGTGTCTGTGTGTCTGTGTGTCTGTGTGTCTGTGTGTCTGTGTGTCTGTGTGTCTGTGTGTCTGTGTGTCTGTGTGTCTGTGTGTCTTTGTGTCTGTGTGTCTGTGTGTCTGTGTGTCTGTGTGTCTGTGTGTCTGTGTGTCTGTGTGTCTGTGTGTCTGTGTGTCTGTGTGTCTGTGTGTCTGTGTGTGTGTGTGTGTGTGTGTGTGTGTGTGTGTCCGTGCGTGTGTGCGTGTCCGTGCGTGTGTGCGTCAGTGTGTGCGTGTGTCTGTGCGTGTGTGCGTGTCTGTGCGTGTGTGTGGGTGTGTGTGTGTGTGCGCGCGTGCGTGTGCTTCCGGCAGGCGGTGCTTGTGGCATCTTCTGTTGGGGACACAATGGCTCGGGACCTGGGCTACTGGTCAGGGTCGTTTACTGGCATAGTCACTGGTTTGGCGATGTGAATCTTGTCTGCATGGTGGCAAAGAGTCCAAGCGTAGCAGTACCGCATAGGTCACCTGAGTCATCTGTGGCTGTGCAAAGGCATACTGGGCCAGTCCAAGTCCTCCGGCAATGATGGCGAAATGGTGGTGGCTGATGGGTACTTGGAGAGTGACCGCGAGCTGATTGCCTTGGAGCAGTACATGCGAGACTCGAGGGCCGCCAGAGAGAGAAACCCAGACGAGTAGAAATTGGCCGTGCCGCAGCCATGCCACCCAAGCACGTTGAACACGAGACGAAACTCCAACACGAACTCCACATAAGCTGGATGTTGCGCGCCCACCGCGCTTCTCCCACAAACTGTACGGCGATTTATGGTGCTGGGGCAGCTCATCAATTGATCACGGCGTGTTCGGCCTGCAGGCGGCTTCATGGCCACGAGGAGCAGGAGGGTGGCCACATCATCGTCGCTGGACACAGATGCGTCACCAGCTTCTTCGATGTCAAAAGCCACATGTGGCTGAATGATCTGTGCTGCTCCGTAGCACATCCGCTCGCTTTGCAACTCCATGAAAGGTTTCCTTTGAGTTGCAACAACATTTCCAGCAGAAGCTCGAGCCAATAGCTGCGCAAGTCAGTGTGGCATTGCTGAGATGCAACAGCCTCGCACAGCAGCAGCTGCTGCACCGGAACTATTGACTATTGTCATGGCTGAAGACTGAAGATGAGTGAGAATTCTGTACAGGTGCAGGCGCAGCCAGCAGAAAAGATACAAAAGTGTCTTGCTTCATGTTGCACGAGGAAAGCGCCGTTTCCTGACGTGTCCCAAGTAAAACGGAGCAGCAAGACGTAGCAAGATGCAGGAAGGAAAGTTCTGTTGTTCCGTGGAGAGCTTTGGCTTGAAGCATCCACTCAGGAGGTTTCGGAGTTAAAGTTGTCTCCTCATGTACTGTGCGTAGGAAGCACATGGAAGCACCGCCCAAGAAAGATCTTACTGTCCCTCGCTTTAGCACGAGCTCAGCCTGGAAAGAGATTAAACATTGTTCAGCACGTCTAGACGATGTGACACTCGCCATGGACGACGAACCTATGCAGGCACAATTGCTGTTGCCGGGGTGAAGACGAGGCAGTTAGCAGTTAGCTAAAACCATTTTAATATTTCGACCATGAGGTGTGGCAAATGATTGCGCTTTCGAAGTGCAGCACCTGCATGCACTTGCAATCTCAATTGTTTGCAAGTCCACTTCCTTGGCCAGGCTAATGAGTCAGTCAGCGAGTGATCAGGTCGTCCTTCTGGACCCTCCAATCCCAAAGTCACAGGAATATGGCGCATTGTGGTCGCGATTCTCGTAGCGAGCCCGAGCGCTTGGCACCCTCGAATCGCCTCCCCCTGTCCGAAGCGTCTTCTGCTGTGCGATCGGACACGCGGGCTTCAGCCTGAAAATGCGTTGGGGGTGGCTGCTGCGCAAGCATGCCCGACAAGTTGATCCGCCCGCTTTCTCGCGCCGGTGCCAAGAATCGAAGATTGCGAAAAGGGTGTGTGTTCGACTAGAAGCCCTGGCGTCTCTCCCAGGATTTTTGACATGCTTCAGTTCAAGCACTGTTCAATCTCCAGCATCGGGTCTGATTGGTCTTGTGCGGCCTTTGTTCCGCTAGCGCTGAGCCCATGGGAACCACAATAACCTAGCAGCTTTTCAGCCACGCTGCTGATGCATTGTTGTGGTTTCATGTATGCACTTACCCTCTTCTTCTTGATGTTCCGATTCCACTAAGTCAGTGGATTAGACCACTAAAGTGTTGCAAAGGGCGTCGTGTTTCTTTCATGCCCTTGAGATGTTGATCTCGTGTCAGATGTGTCAGGTATCCCGGCGAAAGTCCGTGAGTCGACACGTCGTAAAGACTAGGTTTTGCTTTGTGCCCATCTGGAAATTCGTTTGGGCATTCGGGCTTGTGGCACTTAATGGTTGGAAAGGAGACGTCTAGCCAGGAATGAACAATTGAGCCCGAGTTGGGACGTGGTTGGAGGATGGTTATGGGGCTGGCTGTTCAATTCGTTTCAATTCGTTCAATAAATGGCTGCCAACTTTAGCTTCAACAGTCCGATGGAAGGACTCGAAGCCGCAAGATGCGGCGGAGGTGCCTGCAGAAGCTCCCGATGTGGACGTGGAGGATGTGGAGAGAGACGAAATCAGACACGTGGCCTGGCATCATTCACAGCTGTCCTTGCAGATGCTGCATGGTTTGGTTCGCCTTTCTTTATCGGAGTTCGTATCAAGCAGTGCCGATGTTATGTGGTGTTGTGTGCTACGTCCGTTTACACCTCTGACTTTGTATTCTGCTGAAGCGACATTCGTGAAGATTTTGTGTTCCTTTGAGCTCCTCCGAGGTCAAATTGCCAGTCGGCTGGGAAGGCAGGGTACAGCTACATGCAGTATACTACAACGCGCGATGTGCCAGCAAGCTTGCCAGCCATGCAAGCTAGACAGTTCAAGCAAAGTTCTATCACGTGCTTGACTGTCACGGACTCAAGTCGTGTTCAAAGCTCGTTGGGGAGCCTTATTCCTTATAAGGAGCTGTGGGAGCCGTCAGGTCTTTCCCTGAAGCTACATGCTGGTAAGCTACTCGTCTCTGAGGTCCCGAAGGCATCGTGCATGTGATACATGGTGTCATCATATCATGCTCTGCATCGTGTGGAGAAGGATGTGGGATGTGCCGAGATTCCTTGCAGGCCTGCTTCTCGTCTAAATCCTTCCAAAGCGGTGCGAAGCCCCAAGTCAGGATCCTGGGGTTCTGCAGAAACTGCATCTTTGACAGGACAGCCCAATGCTCGAAAATGCTAAAATCCGGGCCACATGTGTGCAGTGTTTGTGACTCTCAGGTCGAGGGCGTCTTCGAAGGTGACGAGATCGTCTCAATGAATGGTGAGCCGCCTGCTAGTATGACCCCCAGCCTGCGCACTCTCTTCTTTGGCTGCCCTGACCGGTGTAGTGTCTCCACATTGTATCATGGCAGGAGTGGAGGAGCGCATCTTGTCAAAAGGTGACTCATGGAACGCGCGTGAACCTTACAAGAAAGCAACATGTTCAAATTGCGGTCATATCCGGCATGAAGTCGTGGAGCCTAGGTGTTCCGTGGCTACACCTCCTCATTCAGTCGGGTCAAAGGGTAAGCCTCGCTCTCAGACGCAGAAGCGTGTACGCGAAAAGCAACATGAACGTGCTACTGGCGTGAAGTGGTTGCGCCCTCGCACCATTCATGTCTTGAAGTCCAGGTTCACCTCAGAGTCCAAACATCGACGAATATCCACGAACTTCTCTCATAACTCATGAACATTCATGACCATGAAGCTGACTACTTAAGGAGGACTGACATAAAGTTCGACTCGGGCCGCACCAGTGGGTCTTGCACACCTGTGGACCGTCGTCAAGAGAATTTACAGATGCCAAAAGAAATCACGTGAACTCACATCCCGGTCACGTCCCCGCACGCTGTTGTTGCAGCCATGGCGCCTCGCCAAAGCTACGCTGTGCCTTATGTGGAGTCTTGCTCGAAATACATTCAGACACTTCAATCCTTATATGACCCCCAGCGTGCGCGCCCTGCACCCAGCAAGCATCCCACCACTGCTACCTTGACATGAAATCCGAGCCACTGAGGAAATCACGCAACAGTTGAGGGAGCGGCTGCCTTGGTCCTCCTTGGCTTTTCTTGCAGTTTTGGGAGCTGTCAGTGCCGTGCTTGCGGCGGCGCCTTTCGAGCCGACATGTTTAAGAGACCAGAGCCTTGGCTTCATTCCTTGTGTCATGCTTGTGTTCTTGGCAAGTGCCAGCACCAGCAGTATCTTATCAGTCAACGGCTCAAAGGTCTCACCCACAAACTTCAGGCAGCTATGGAACCTCTTGCTTGTTGCGAACTTGATGGTGTTCTTCGTGACGTTGCTTGGGCTAATTAGAGATCTGTGACAGCATTGCGTGACATTGGTTGCTAAAAAACAGCCCAAGGATGGTTCTCAATGGGGCTCCCGTGGAACTGACCCTACTCGCAGCTGGAGCTGTGGCGTGCTTTGCTGACATTCTGGAGCCGGCCGCGCTCTTTGCAGGGTGCTCGTCCAATGCAGTGTGGACCTAAGCATCAGCAGGCATGCAGAGCCGAGAGCCACCCCCCTTCTCACACTTCTCACACACCACTTCGTGCTAACCCTAGTTCTTGGCTTGGGTTTGTTGGGCCAATCCGGGACAATGACAGTGAGTTTCGGATTCTGCATAAAAAGAGGATATTCATTGGCCTGACCACCAAATGTCTGTGGTCGCCCAGGTCGTCACGCTCGCACTTCTTTTCCCGATCATGAAGGCTATGGGTGACACTGGTGTCCCTGAGACACTGATAGGCTATGTGCTCGGCAGCGCCAAGGGACTGCGTTCATTGCTTTTTCTAATGTTTGTGTCCGTGGCCGTCCTGTCGGGCTTCTTCAACAACACACCAATTGTAGTCATGATGATACCTGTCCTACAATCTCTCTGCCAACGAAGGGGGCTCCCGCCTCGGGCACTGCTCATGCCCTTGAGCTTTGCCGCTCAAGCAGGAGGAAGTCTCACCTTGATGGGTAGCTCAATTAATTTCGTAGCACAGGAGGTTTTCGCAGGGAAAGGGTACCACATAGCCTTCTTCACACTTTCATTTGGTGGGGTAATCATCGTATGCTTTGGCGCGGCATACTGCTCACTGCTTGGCCCCCGGCTGCTAGCCAACTCAGCAACAAGTTCGTCCAGCTCAGAGCCAGTAGTAAACAGACAGACTTCTGGCAAAGAGTATTTCACTCTACATCTGCGAGTTCAAGGATCAAGTCCCTTGGCTGGCATTCTCGTGAGGGACGTTGGCTTACATCGTATTCCCGGAGTGCAGGCAGTATTTGCAGTGCTCCGGCAGCATGCTGATTCTGCTGAAGAGGCCGCATGTCGTCGAGACCGTCCGTCAACAGTTGAACTTCGACAGTTCTCCGATATACCGGAACCAACACCCAATGTGGAGGGTGGAGTGGAATACCGGGGTTGGGATCAGCTAGCAGATCTGGAGCTTCAACAAGGAGACCTGGTGTTGCGACTTCCAATAGAAAGGCCGTAATCAAATCAAAAAAAAAGACGCCAGCATACGCCAGAACAGCAGATGAATGTAGTCTTAGAAACAAGCGTCTCATCTCATGTGCGCTTTGTTGCAATTGCTTGGAGGAGACATACTACAGATCGCTTGCAGTGCTGCTGGTGCAGCCGCAGTTCGGCGGGTGAAAGGCTTAGAGCTAGGCAACGAAGATGAAGTACAGCGCTTGGGAGCGCAAAGACGCTCGAGGTCCCTTTGTGAAGTCGCCGTCAAAGAAAACCTGGTCGGAAGTACCCTGGACGTCGCCTGGTGGAAGAGGGAGCTGCGCTGTGCTGTTCTCTCGGTGAAGGGTGGCGCACGCGAGCGAGACAGACAGCTCAGCTTCAACGGCTACACGCTGCAAGTAGGGGACGTTCTGCTGGTGGAGGCGTTTCGGGACATGGTCGGTTCCGACGTTTGGCTTGACCACTTTGGAGTCGCACGTGTCGAGCCAAACTCTGCCCCACCTCGTTTTGGACAAAAGGCAGATACTCTCCGCGCTGCTTTCATTATGATCGGGCTGGTCGTCATGATCTCCCTTGCATCACTTGGCTACAAGCGATTGAGCATGCCCCTGATGTCGGTGATCTTCTTATGCTGCATTATTGCCGTGAAAGGTCTCAAGATGCAGGAGGCATATGCCGAAATCAATGGTCAGGTATTGCTGACAATTGTTGGCGCCTTAGTCCTTGGCGAGGCAATGGAAGCATCCTGCTTGGCAAATTGCACCGGCCAATTAGTTGTTCTTGTTGCCAGGCCGTTAGGGAAGACGGCGGTTTGTGCTGGAATTTATTGCGCCACCATTGCCTTGGGCCAGTTCTTAAACAGCGCTGCCAACGTTGCAATCATGGGGCAGGTAGCTCTGTCAGTTGCAGAAGAGATGCAGATCCCAGTGGGCGAAGTGGCCATGATTGTTACCTATGCGGCATCAGCGTGTTACATGGCGCCCTACGGCTACCAAACCAACACACTGGTGATGCTGGCTGGGGGCTATGAGTGGGCCGACTTTATGAAATTCGGGGGCGCGCTGCAATTCTTGCACATGTGCCTTGTTCTTGCAGTGTCCCCATTGTGCGCAAGGGTGTCACCAGTCGGAGTGGCAAGAGATTGAAAAGTTTTGCCCGCCAATTGCAGCTGTTTCAGTCTCCCGTACGTGTATCTGCCGGGTTGCGGCATCTAGCTCCTTTTTGATTACAGGTTCGACTCTCCACCGTGTGTGGCGTGCGACTTCCAACGCAGGCGTTCAGCGTTGGGCCAAGTGCTTAGACGATTTCATCTAAGCGTCCGTCACACTCCCCCTCGCAGGCCTTATAGACAGGATCCTGCTGCGGCGGTACAGGCATGAAGTCTTCTCACAGCTTCAATTGCTAGCACTTCCGCCTCACAGTGCCAACAAAACCAAGAACTCAATGAGGACCCTGCTGCCAATCTTAACATGCCTTGGGGCCAGAAGTGTGCGCGAAAGGTGGCCATGATAAGCCGCAGGAAGGTTGGTTGTGACGAAATGCAGGCGACCACTCGGCACCAGAATCTGCAAACTTTGGTGGTGGCGGTGTTGATGATGGCACACCGGGCCCCTCAATCTAAGCCGCCAGGAGTCGCTAGTCATGACGTGCCTGCCACTCCGGTTGGATTTGGCAGCCTGGATACACACAAGGCACCCGCTGTTTGGGATCTCCGAGTCCACAGGCATCTGCCTGTAGAACCGTAAAGATGGCATGAACGGCGGCGTGATTCATGCCAGTTCAAGGCATTGCGCGCATTCCCGCATGTGGCAACCATCGGCATGCCCGTACCACCGTTGGGCCGTTGGGTGATGTGTTTGACCCATGCTGTCACTGGCAGGCTGCACTTATGGGATCTTATGGGTTTTCATGCTTTGTCATACATTAAAGGGGCGCCCGTGTTGCACATTGGGGATCGGCCGAGGCCTTGACGTGGCTTTGCAGATGTGGCTTCGGGCTGTGAAGAGGGACATCCGCTTCACACTTGCAGCCTGAATCTCAGCCGTTCTACCAGATCGCACAATGTCGCTAGCATGTTCAAACTTCCAGGTGAAAAGCACTGGAATGGAGGCGTTCCCACAGTCATTGCCAGATGTTTGCCAGCAGACCTGTGCATGACACCAAGAAGATGTATTCTCAATTCTTTGACTAAGTTGCCTCAAAACGGCTCTGCTTCGCTCGCCACTGCCCTGTCAGGCGCTTAGCTTCCGCACGCCAGTTAGTCCCACAGATCAGTTGCGCAAACCCAGGTCGTCGCCAACACAAGGCGGTTCAGTCAAGTTCGTTGAGCTGTTATGGTCTTGTGTGCTCTTGCAAGCTGTCAGACAGAAACGCCCGAATCTGCTCCCTAACTTCCGAAAAGTGTGAGGGACCCTCGATTTCTTCATGAGTGAGTGGACGGCCTGGAGTGCTCCGGCCAACGGAAACGTTCCCTCTGCTTGCGTCATTAACACAAAAACAGCAAGAGTTCGACGCTCAGAGCCCCTCAATCCGAGCTGGGAAAAACGCCACCCGAACCTCCATGGGCCCGCCCCCCCCAAGCCGGGCGGCTTGGGTTTGGATTTGGGCACGTGCCCACTTCACAGGAGCAGAAACTCTTCGCTTGCGATCCCTCACAAAGGTACTAAGCTGGGGGCATTGGCTCGGAGACAGGGCTTGGGGTGCGGGGTGGTCGTACCAAACACGCACACACGCACCGGCAGCAAGACTAAGGGAAAAAGCAAGTTCAGCTAATCCCCTTTTGGCTGCACAAACTCCAACAGTACCCCCTCAGCAGGCGGGGCAATGCCTGCAACTCAAGGCACCGCCCCCGACCAGAAGGGGGTTCGATTTCTTCATCAATTTTTTGGATTTCCCGTCAGTTTCTTAAATGCAAGAAATCCTCCCCCCCACCCCAATTCCTAAATTGAGAAATTTAGCCCCTCGATTTCTTAATTTGGGGTTCCGTGCCTCAATTATGAAATCCGCCCGTCAATTTCTAGAAATTGTGTCTGATTTGAGGTTGGGGGATACCCCCAAATTAAGAACTTGAGGGGTTGAATTTCTAACTTGATCCCAAAATGAAGAAGTTAAGGAGCTGGATTTCTTATCGGGGGGGGGGGGGCTGAACCTCCAAAGAAAGAAGTTGAGGGGCGGCGGGCAAATTCAGTGGCATTTATCGGGAGGGGGGGGGGGGGGGGGCAGTTGCAAGACCAACCTCAAGCTTAGCAAATGTCAATTTCCCCAGGCTGAAGGCACCCCTCGAGTCTTTAGTGTTAGTTTTGCCCTCGCTTTTTGCATGTCTAACCAAAGTCTAAGGTGCTCACACTGAGGGTGCGCTGAGCAGTACGCGTAGCCTGCCGTTGTCAAGAAGTCGAGATTCTAGATGATTGTGAGACCGTCACTGACGGAGCGCAAATTCGCTGCTCTGACGGGGAACACATACTTCAGCTCCATCACGATGCGAGTTAATAGAAGCGGATTGACAGCGGGTTCGATGCGAGAAGGAAAGAGCACGACCCACATCACCCGCGAACAGCCCACCGAGACCAATCAGCAGATCCACGCAAAGAACGACTCGTTCATGCTCGTGGTTGCAAGTTCAGCCATGGGTCCACGAAGCCAAATGATGCAGCAGGTCACTCCGGTGGCTGCGCCTCCAAGTATTGGAACCCGCAATCAAGGTAAACAGAGACGCAAACGTAGTGTTCAATCCTCCATCAGACGTACAGATCCCACTTGTCCTGATGTTCCCGATGTGAAGTATTTCCACATTACATAGACGAGTGGCGCGGCGCATCATCACATGCACACGTTGCAATGCCACATGCGAAATGACATGTCGCGACATCGCACTCACAAGTGCATGCATCCCACCAGCATGCACATCTTTCTCTCACACACATGCGCAGTCTCTGCAGAACGCGGGGCAATAACCGGCCGTGGCTTTGGGATGTAGGACCATGTAGGGAGCGCTGCTGGTGTCCTGAAAGAGAGACCCGGGGAAGAAGGGTCCATTGTCCCATATGTCCCATTGGGATTCCAGGAGGGTAGGCCAGATGTTTTCCCGTCGTCGTGATGCTTCATTGATGGAGTTAGTGCAAGCAACAGCAACAAAGTGTTCATAATAGCTTGGCCAGTGCCAGGAAACGGAGACAAAGCTTCTTCCGTTGTGGAACTGAAGGCGCTCGCTTGCGACAATAGGTTTGCATGACACTTCTCTTTCCTCAAGCACAGACTGGCCGCAGCTTGCACATGGCTCACGCTTCAGCCCTTTGCAGGGCAGCTCGACGGGCGGAACCTTGCGGAAAATGTTGCGATCTCGATGATTCTCGAGAAAGTCCGGAAGCGAACTCGTGAGGATCACAAGATGTCTTAAGCTTGTACACCTGTTGAGGAAAAGCTTGGACGAGTTGACAAAGGAGAGGCAACCCGTTCAAAAGGACACCGTCGGCAGAATCGACGCCTGATCGAATCTCACAGAAGAACCGCGTGTGCTGTTGTGATCAGCTTGAGGATTCGGAACTCTGTTGCAAGTTTGCAGGTTTGAATCCAGCCTGCCCGTGGCAGGACTTTCTCAAGAAAGGGAAAGGCTGCTGGGAAGGGAGTGGCTGCCTCTTGATTGCCGAGTTGTCAGGACCAAAGCGCCCGATTGCATCAGGAAAAGGGAAGATGAAAGGGAAAGGCAAAGCCAAAGGGAAAACCAAGAAGCCCAGCGGTCCCTTGCCAATGATGACCGCATAGATGCCGCCCAGGTATATTGTGCACGCGCACCGCCTGCTTTGAGATATCTCGTTCTTCTCTGCCAGGTCCGCACCTTCCACGTACACGTGCCAGCCACTAAATCGTGACATTGTGCCGAGAGCTATTGCAGCCAAGACAACCACCCACTTTCCGAATCTTCCGAACTAACCTTCGCAAGGTGTCAACAGAACCTCTTCGAGGCGATGTGCTGGAGTGGAAAAACAAATTTGGCCAGGGGCTAGATCCTTCCACCTTTGTGCATGTCTACACGCACCTCTCAGCCTGGTTTGTAAGGATGGATCAAGGCAGCAAGCCGCATTGACCATCCAATGGCCGAGAAACGCCAAGGAAAAATCTACATCAATGCGCTCACCTTTGATTCACTTCCATGTTGCCTCTGTCACTGTGCAAGACTGCTACCGTGTAGAAATGCAACGACTCTCGTGTGCAGGGGGCGCAAGTTCTGCCCCCCAACAACAAAGGTGATAGACCTGATCAACCGCAACTCTTTGGCGCTGGAAGCTTGGAACATATGAAGAGTGAGTTCAGGATGAGAGCAATACTTTAACAGCGCTGATCAAGGCCAGGGGATGTGTGCGAGCCCTGCCCTTAATTGTGGCCGTTGTAGCTTGTGACTACGGGACATTGCTATGCCATAGCTATGGTCAAGGTTCCATCTTTATTCAGACGCCAGCGGGCCCCGCTCCAAGCACACGCAAACTAAAGTGTCCGACGTTGCGGGGGCAGCGCAATCCAATGAGAGCCACGACCGCCGCGAGCGTTCTCAGGCTTGGTGCCGAAGAGTGCTGGGTGGTCGGTGATGAGGTGCGGATGCTGTTGCCTTTGCGTGTTTGCATGCGTCTGTAGCCCTTTGGCGCCCCGGCGCCCCGGCCCCAAAAGCCAGCATCATGAGCATGCCCCACAATTCCCTGATGCTCATGATGCTCGCTTTGGGGGCGCCCATGCCCCACAATTCCCCGGCTGATGCTCATGATGCTCGCTTTGGGGGCTCCCATGCCACACAACTCCCCCAGCTGATGCTCATGATGCTCGCTTTGGGGGCGCCCATGCCCCACAATTTCCCCGGCTGATGCTCATAATGCTCATGATGCTCGCTTTGGGGGCGCCCATGCTCCACAATTCCCCCGGCTGATGCTCATGATGCCTTCTTTGGGGGCGCCCATGCCCCACGATACCGCCGGCTGATGCTCATCATGCTCATGATGCTCACTTTGGGGGCCCTTGCCCCACAATTCCCCGGCTTATGCTCATGATGCTGTCTTTTGGGGGGCCCATGCCCCACAATACCGCCGACTGATGCTCATGATGCTCATGATGCTCGTTTTGGGGGTACCCATGCCCCACAATTCCCCCGGCTGATGCTCATGATGCTCGCTTTAGGGGCGCGCATGCCCCACATTTCTCCCGGCTGATGCTCATGATGCTCGCTTTGTGGGCGCCCATGCCCCACATTTCCCCCGGCTGAAGCTCATGATGCTCGCTTTGGGGGCGCCCATGCCCCACATTTCTCCCGCCCATGCCCCACAATTCCCCCGGCTGATGCTCATGATGCTCGCTTTGGGGGCGCCCATGCCCCACAAATCCCCCAGCTGTCGCTCATAACGATCGCTTTGTAATTGCCCATGTCCCAATTCTCCCGGCTGCTGCTCATGATTCTCGCTTTGGGGGCGTCCATGCCCCACAATTTCCCGGCTGATGCTCATGATGCTCATGATGCTCGCTTTCCGGGCACCTATGTCTCACAATTCCACCGGCTGATGCTCATGATGCTCGCTTTGGGGGCGCCCATGCCCCACAATTCTCCCGGCTGATGCTCATGATGCTCGCTTTGGGGGCGCGCATGCCCCACAATTTCCCCCGGCTGATGCTCATGATGCTCGCTTTGGGGGCGCCCATGTCCCAGAATTCCATGCTCGCTTTGGGGGTACCACAATTCCCCCGGCTGATGCTCATGATGCTCGCTTTAGGGGCGCGCATGCCCCACATTTCTCCCGGCTGATGCTCATGATGCTCGCTTTGGGGGCGCCCATGCCCCACATTTCACCTGGCTGATGCTCATGATGCTCGCTTTGGGGGCGCCCATGCCCCACAATTCTCCCGGCTGATGCTCATGATGCTCGCTTTGGGGGCGCCCATGCCCCACAATTCCCCCCGGCTGATACTCATAATACTCATGATGCTCGCTTTGGAACCGCCCATGCCCTACAATGCCTACAATTCCCCCGGCTGATGCTCATGATGCTCGCTTTGGGGGCGCCCATGCCCCACAATTCTGCCGGCTGATGCTCATGATGCTCTCTTTGGGGGTGCCCATGCCCCACATTTCTCCCGGCTGATGCTCATGATGCTCGCTTTGGGGGCGCCCATGCCCAACATTTCCCCCGGCTGATGCTCATGATGCTCGCTTTGGGGTCACAATTCCCCCGATGCTCATAATGCTCATGATGCTCGCTTTGGGGGCGCCCATGCCCCACAATTCCCCCGGCTGATGCTCATGATGCTCGCTTTTGGGGCGCCCATGTCTCACAATTCCACCGGCTAATGCTCATGATGCTCGCTTTGGGGGCGCCCATGCCCCACAATTCCCTTGGCTGATGCTCATGATGCTCGCTTTTGGGGGCGCCCATGCCCGCTTTGGGGGCGCCCATGCCCCAGAATTCCACCGGCTGATGCTCATGATGCTCGCTTTGGGGGAGCCCATGCCCCACAATTCCCCCGGCTGATGCTCATGATGCTCGCTTTGGGGGCGCCCATGCCCCAGAATTCCACCGGCTGATGCTCAATTCCCCGGCTGGCGCCCATGCCCCTCATGATGCTCGCTTTGGCCGCGGCTGATGCTCATGATGCTCGCTTTGGGGGCACCCATGCCCCTCAATTCTCCCGGCCGATTCTCATTCAATGTTTGTGATCATGTGCACCAAAAACATGATAATTATCCCACAATTCCGCCGGCTGATGCTCATGATGCTCGCTTTGGGGGCGCCCATGCCCCAGAATTCTACCGGCTGATGCTCATGATGCTCGCTTTGGGGGGCGCCCATGCCCCACAATTCCCCCGGCTGATGCTCATGATGCTCGCTTTGGGGGCGCCCATGCCCCACAATTCCCCCGGCTGATGCTCATGATGCTCGCTTTTGGGGGCGCCCATGCCCCACAATTCCCCCGGCTGATGCTCACTCAATGTTTACTATCATGTGCACCAAAAGCATGATAATTATTGTCATGATGCTTGCTTTGGGGGCGCCCATGCCCATGCTCATGATGCTCGCTTTGGGGCTGCCCATGAGCATCAGCCCAGGGAATCGTTTGGCATGGGCGCCCCCGAAGCGAGCATCACGAGCATGAGCCGGGGGAATTGTCGGGCATGGCCGCGCCCGAAGGGAGCACGCAGGTGTAATCCTTTGTTCTCTCAGCATTGCCGATACAACTAAAACAGGAAGCACTGTCGTGAATGCCAGATTATCCTTTCTCCGCAAGAGAGGGGCTCAAAGTCTTCCACAGCGATTGAATACATCCAAATCATATTTTGCCTTTGCATCAGGATTGGAGTGAGTGGACGGCGGAAGCCATGGAAGGCGGAACAGATACTGTATCGCTGTGGCTGATGGGAAGTGTGGTCAAGATGTCGTACCGTCCTCAGGTGGGGACGACTGGGAATGGACTGACGAGGACTGGAATGGTGGGGAGGATGGCAAAGAGCTCAGACACAGACGTGCCTTTTGTATTTGTGCATGGCTCAAGACTGTGGGCTCCGCTTTCCATGTTGTTGGCGATCAGAGAAAACTTTCCTGCCACCTGTAGCAGCCCTCGCTATAGCAGCAACCATATCACGGAGGGCAGATGAGCACACAATGTGGCCAAGACAGTGGCCAAGTGTACGGAGGAAGGTTGTCATTTCTTTGACCGTCAAAGACTCCGAGTGCACAAACCGGGGAGACTAGGTTTCTCCACAACTCGATGGGAATGCGCAATGTTGGTTGAGTTGCCTTTCCGGGTGCAAATGTCAGAGACATGTGTCGCTAAGGGTCGAAAAGACCCAGGAAGACAGCATAATTTAAAGGGATGGCAAGGGGGGCCACATTGGGCACTTGATGGTGCTTGGCCTTTGATGAGGCGATTGGAGTTCTGAAGCGCCTGGCTCAGATGCTGATCCAGCTCCTCAAGAGCTTCGTGACTGCTACTGCACAATCGCACGGTACGCTTCCGAGGTCCAAGCGCAGGACGTTTAGTGCTGAGGGCGATACCTAGCACCAGCCCGCTTCGAACCAAAAGAGTCCTGTTGCCATGGCTATGACAGGTGCTTGCTTTCATTCGCTTGCTGCTGCTTGAGCTTGTTGCTGGAACACCCATATTGCGATGCTGCAGCTGCCCCCTTTATGGTCTGATGCATCCCAGTAAAGTCTTTGGCACAGATGCTGTGGCTGCACGTGTCTCAAACAAGTTTGAATCATCTCCAACCACTGCTACAGAAGTTGGAGTCGTGTTGTTGATTTTTTCTGCTCCCATACCCTGTCAGCACCACTCCATGGGCGTTTGTGGTTGCCCTCCTTGCAATTACATTGATCGAGTTTCAGGCAAGTCCGCTTCACTTTTTGCATGGACGATTTTCATGCTGTGTTCATACCGCCTGCATGTCTTACAAACTTAAACTTCGCTTCGCTGAAGTCTGTGCAGTTCAGCATCTCGGTAAGCAACATATGAGCAAGTCGAACCGTTGCCGCTGCCATTTGAGTTGGGTGAAGTGGGCCGGGCCGCCCAAAAGCCCGCGCGGCGCCCCGAACTCAGAAAGTGTGCACCCCGTGACGTCTCGTGAGAGAGGACATGCTTTGTTCTGCTCCTTGCCACAAATGTCAAGTGCTAAGGGTGGCGGCGGCAAGGCCGCGTTGAACGAGCACAGAGGTTGCAGCGAGTGCCTTGGTTCATTTGTTCGGAGCGTCAAGTGCCCTCAAAGGTGATTTTCGCGGTAAATTTGACCACTAGCCACAGTCCTGCGAGGCCATAAGAACACTCAAGGAGCGCAAGACGATGCCTCCCAAGTCTCCCACTTCTAGATTGGATTTCTCTCGTCGAGCCGACGGAGATCCCCAGAATATTCCTTACAAGGAAATCCGTCAAGGCGTCCTGCCCTACGAGGAGGTAGACTTCTCTGGGAACTCCTTGTCGGCCAATGAGTTGCCCGAAGTGATCAAGGTATGCAAGCGGTGCCCGAAGCTGCGTGTTCTCAAGCTCTTCAAGAATTGCATCGATGACTACGGAGCTCAAGACTTGGCCGAGCTTTGCCGTTTCGCTCCAGGGCTCGAAGAGATTCATTTGTCCCACAACATGTTTACAGCCGCAGGCGCCGGCGTTATCATCAAAGCAGCGGAAGAATACCGCCGACCCGATACCGTGCCTTTGTGGTTGCGATTGGAGCATAACTACATAGATGACGCTGAGAGGGTTTTCCAAAACCTTTCGAATCGGTACAGCGTCTGCAGACGGCAAGATGCCAAATTGTGCACGGCTCGCACTTGCCACAACAGGTGCAGAGTTCATCTTCCGCACTTTTGCCTGCAGCGTCTGTCACAGGTGGAGTCCAACCAAGAGGCCAAAAGATCCCCAACACATGCCAATCATCATTCGCTGTCTGGGCAATTTATGCGCAACTTTCGCGCACACTTGGAGCGTGAGAACAAGGACAAGGTGAAGATGGATCCCCACATGGAGCGGATGAATTTGCGAGCACAGCCCATGGACCCTCGAATCGAGCCCTTCGACCCGCAGGTAGACGATAGAAGGCCTTCTTGGACGAGGGAGGCCACTTGAATGCATCAATTGGAGCACGGGGCGGTCGCTTTGGGTCCTTGACTCGAGTCCGGGGTCGTGGCACTCCATCCATCTTGGGGAGTGCTCTTAGAGGTCTTTCGATGTTTAGGGTCTACAGTGGCGCAGCCATTTTCCCCCTTTGTCCTGTGCGCGACTCTAAGGTGACAGACCATGATCCCGATGACTTTGCGGGATGTACCGCAGGGCCGCTTCGTGGCCCGAAGCAAAAGGAAATTCACCCAGAGCAGCTGATGGATCCCGACAGTTGCCAAGAGTTCGTGTGCATGCTATGCGAAGGTGTGATTCATGATCCAACTCTCACCAGGTGCTCTCACAGTTTTTGCAGCGATTGCTTCCAAAATTGGGTTACCAATCGGGTACAGGTGCACCAGACTGGCTCCAAGGCTGGCTGCTCAATGCAGAACATTCCGTGCCCACAATGCGGTCAAGGATTGCGGAAGTGCGACATCGTTCCATTGCATCATGCCCGGCATGCTGCTGCTCTTGTGCTCCAACGCTGTTGGAGCAACGTTCGCATCAGATGCATCCACCATCCTCAGCATTTTCAGTACTCCTTTGGTTCCTATGCTCAGCAACTGTCACACCACACTGGTATTGAGTGTTCCTGGCTTGGGAACTTGTGCGACTATGTGTCCCACATCAGCAACTGTCCAGTGCAGAACTATGAGGCTGGGGCCGACAAGTGGCCCGGCGAACACAGTGGCGACAGTGCTACCCCGCAGGAGTTCGAAGCTGAGTGTGCGCTTGACTTTGCCGAAGATGCTTGGCAGCAGTAGGTACATTAGTTCACGCGTGAGGGTCTGAGGGCCAGCTGGGATTTGTGTCTTCATGTTCTGCACACCCTGGCGAGGACGAGATCTGCATTGTGCTGTACGATTATGCACCAGACAACAACCCGAACAAGATCGCTCTTTCGGAGGGTGATCTTGTCAGGGTTTACAAGACAGCTCCCAATGGTTGGACGGGTGGTTCTGTCCTCGGCCATGACATGCAAGACGTCGGCGAGCCTGGATGGTTCCCTACAAATCTCCTGGATCATTACGACGAGCGCTACTGGCCCGAGGATCATGGCTTTGCCTACGATCAATATGACGAGCATTCTGGGCATGGTGACAAGCCATATCCGGAGTCTTTTGAAGGGCATTACAACGAGTTCGACAAGTCCTACCCTCAGCCTGTGGAGAAGTATGGGGAACCCTTTGAACAGTACGAGGCTTTGGACAGGCACGATCCTGGTGAGCAGAAGTATGCTGATTCCCCAGAGAATGCCTACAATCAGCCATTTGAGAAACAGTACGGCAACTCGTTCGAGCAGTCCTTCGACAAGCCGTTCGAGAAGCAGTATGGTGAGCCTGAAAAATCCTACTCTGAGCCCTTTGGTCAGCCAGAGAAGACGTTCCAGCAGCCTTTCGAGAAGCAGTTCTGCGAGCCCTTCAACAAGTCGTACAACCCGAGCTTTGACAAGCACTACGGGGCGTCCTTGGAGAAGTCCTATGAAGATTCATACATGGAGTGCTATGACGAGCACTATGGTCAATGGTATGATGAAAGCTATGCGCAGTACGGATACACGATGTAGAAATCGTTCCACAAACATCGTGCAGAACGTGATGCTTGAGTGTTTCTCTTGTATGTAATTCATGCACCTCGCTGCATCCCTGCGCTAGGTTGCAGGGAACTGGAACTGGAAACTGACTTAGTTTGCTCGACCAACTACGTTGAATCCCTGTCTTGGTCGACGGGCAACCTTTCCGGTGTGCTGAACACTTGAGGTACAGAGTTGATCCCGAAGGAAAGTGTTGGTCCGAGCGGGTGTCTAGAAGAGATGCCATCACATGTTCCGTCGCCAGATTCCGAGAGGCTGGATTTGCTCCATCCAGCTTGCAATGGAGTGATATGTACACACACACACTATAGCAAAGAGACGTGCCAGACACAAATGCGTACTATGGCAGCCAAGAATGTAGGCTATGCTTGAACATGGAGCGCATGGTGACGGTGTGACTTTATTGCTGATTCGTTTCGACACGGAGTGACCAGAACTGCTCAAAAAAGCTGGTACCTTCTGGACGCATGCTTTGTTCTCTCGTAGCAGGAGCAGAGTTGAAGTGTAGAACCTACTCGAAAGTGGAGCGGCAGGCTTTGAGATGTCCTGATCATTTGGTTGGCCATGACTCTTAGCAGTTGACGGTGGATAGAGGCAACTTTGCATGGCACTTGCTGCACGGATCTGCTATTGTCATCTGTTGCATTCTGTTGCATCAGCTTGCAAGGCATTGTTGCTGCGCAGTGGCTTAAGATGAAACCAGGCATGAGGAGGACACGACTAGGTATGGCGCTGAACCCCAAACCCAGAAAGATAAAGTCTTGCCTGTCCGAGTTGTGGGTATGAGCTGATCAAACCCTCTGGGCTTAGCTATTTCCATTGTTAGGCTTCTTGTGTTTGGTCTGCCATGGCCATCCTTGAAACTGGACATGCAGTTCATGTCTCTACGGTGCAGAGTTGGCTTGCGCAGTGCCCCGGCTTGACATATTCTGCCGCATTACATTCGTGGGCTTGAGCCAAACTCGGCATACTTGAGGCCTTCTCGCTTGGCGAAGACGCTGCGTATTTCTTTGCCAAAGAAGGACATCAAAACCAAAGAAGCTCTCCAGTTTCCATTCTTGCTGTGCACGATGCACAAGCAGAATCATCACTCACAGATGCTGTTTCCATTTTTATAATGGCAGCTGTGATTGCTTGCGCATGCATGCTTGAGCCTAAGCCCGGCTCTGTCCCTCTAGTTCGGCTCGGCTGCCACATGCTGCATAGTCAAACCCTATCAAGACGGAATCCGGGCACGGCTGCATACCGCTGAAAAGCCCTGAGACCTTTTCGGTGACTTTGGGAGGAGATTGGGGATGACACGGCTGCGCTTCTGAGCACTTTGACGCTGCAATGCTGCAACCTACAAATACTGCAGCACTTCGCTTACATTCGAGGCATGTGGATGAAGACTTCCTCTTATCCCGAGACAGCTCTGAAGACAATGCAAGTAGCTTGAGCTCCCAAGGCTTCCTGGCAATTGCATCGGTGATCAAGGAGCCGAGCACTTACTAGAATCCTTGCTTGCCCTGCTTTCAATGTTTGTGCAACGTTTTGCGATCGCATATGTGGTCCCGAAACCTTTTGCAGCAACGACTGAGTTGGCCAAAGCCCTACCCCGATCTTAACATCAACCCTTGTGATGCGAGATATGGCCTGAAGGGCAGGAACTCCGTGATGGAAATGAGCTGCACAATGGCCTTGGATCCACAAGAACGGGCCTGATGCGGGGGGTCTCTCAAAAAGGTTTGCAAGCGTTGGGGCTCGCGAGGATAGCAAGGACAACTATTGTAGGGCTTCTGGAGATTCAATAGACTTGATCAGGACCAGCCAATCCACAAGGTTGACAGGCTTCGCCTCAAATGCGCAAGACAGCTTTGGCAACGAAGATCTTTGTTGACAGGCCACACCCTCAACCAAGGAAGACTGAGATATGGGGCACAGAGAGAGGCATGCCGAAGAGGTGCAACAAGATGCATGAACGCCGGTTGGAGGGGTCGGCACGAGCCACCCAGGGAACAAAGCCGTGCAAAGCTTTGTATTCCCTATTGCATTTGTATGCACTGTGCATGCGTGTCAGGCAGCCCAAGAAACAGGAAAAGGAACATCCCCGAAGCCACGCTCGTGTGGTGGCCGTCAGCCTCGAAGACCTCCAACACCCGGAGGCCCGGAGGTAAACTGAACAGTGGACCTGTCCTCCGGTACGTCTGGTGTGCCTGGACGGGCACAAGTAGCCCCAGGGGTGATGGTCCACCACGCTCGGACATGGACGCTTGTATCCTACAGCCTAGAGTTTGCCACGACAGGCAAGCTGGCGTGTGAACTTGGAAACTTACGTCACCGAATGCCAGCGCACAGTAAGCGCTACTCACGGACCCATGCGAACGGCAAGCCGCGTGGGGCAACCGCGAGTCAACCGGGGGCTGCACCAGCGAATGCTAGGAGCCTATCAACTGCAAGATGCAATGAGCTTCCTCCCTGGAGTACCTTAGGCTGGCCACGGGGGCATCCAAAAAGCTCACGAAAGATCGAGGATTGGGGGCCTGCACAGGGGGTTAGGGGGACCCGGGGCTTATAGAATGTTTATAGAGGGGGGCGGGGGCTGGGCACAGGAGGTCACAAGACATCCAGAGCAGGTTGGCCGGGTGCGAGCAAGGTAGCCTAGCATCGGGATCTTGAGACCAGGCCAAACGGACCTCATGACGCAACAGCCGCATCGTCCAAGTTTTGGTTGCATGGTGAGCCGGACCTATCCCACGATTCAGGGATTCTAGACTGCCCTGGTATCCCTGGATCCCTGATGTCCTCTTGCGTTGACTTGTAGGCTGTGTATGCCAAGGCATGCTGTTTGGCAGAGAGCCTCAAGCTGCTCCCGGCGCCCCTACAGATCTTAGCCTCGTGACAGAAACATGTGAGACGGTTGAGCGGGCTTTGCAGCGCACACCCACCAGCGCAGATTCAGCTGCTTTGAAACTAGGATCTCAGCGACAACTGCTTGTCAGAGTCTTGTCTGCACTCCAAAACCCTCATATGGTCCGTGGCCTCAATTTGTTTCACTGCTCGTGCTTGCTTGTCACCGGCTGCCATGTTTGCGAAAGATCCTGCGCACGAAAAGCCATCAATCTGAGGGTGTGAGCGCAAAGCAGCTCGCGCGGCTGTTCTTCACCGCCAAACCGGGTGGCACGGGAGGTCCTCCAGCATTGCTCATCACTGCCCAGTCACCATCCATCTCGCGTTCAGGTGCGATGCCACACTGTGAAGTCGCGGCTCCTGGGACGTTCGGCAGTCACCTGTGAGAGTGGCGACAAAAAGATTGCTCCCAGGTCAAGGCATCTCGTTTCCGGTTGCTAGACCTGTCGAAGAACAAGTTGGACGACCACGGGGTAGCAGGTCCGCCCTGCACTGTAAATACACATGCAGCATTTCATGTGAACACTTGCGGCTTGTTTGGACTGTCTAGAGGCGTAGCCCGAAACATCGCAGCAGGACAGGGGGGGGGGGGGGGGATTTCGCGCCGATGGTTTTGCCTTTCAGTACTTGTCCTTGTCGGTTGGGCATTGAAACGGGACAAGAAGTGTGCACAACACCGCCTGCTTCTGGAGAGAAACGTGGCGGCAGATCCTGCTTTGAAACAGAGTCCATGCACAAGGATTCACAGCAATGCGATAGACGTACTTCCTGTCAGGAGATGCTCTTGCCAGCGCCCAACTGTGTGAAGATGTGCTTGCCACGCTTATGAGTCCCTTTCCTGGCATTGCACTTAAGGCCAAGCATACCCTCCTTTCCTTGCGCGATGTGAGCTGCGGTGGCCGCTGCCTCAAAGATACTCGGCTAAGGCCACTCTTAGGTTGACACTGGGAATTGCCGCTCGACCGACACATGAGGCACCAGCAACAGTTCTGGGCCAGGGGTGCAACTGAGGAACACAACCAGGCCCAGCAAGGCTTTTTTTGACGCCCCTCCTCCGGGCAATCTTTTGCTGTTGGTCTCTTTGTGCTTGTGACTGCTTGAGTTTTTGTCACTGCTTGTGCCGCGTGGCCTTGTGCCCTGTCGTCAACACGGCTATTTCTCCTGTTTGCTGCGACACCTTCAGCATGCTTCGGACCCCACTTCTCTCCACAAACATCCGTTAGCTCTTCCTTGCGTCGCTGCAAGTGAGAGAAGCTGTTAGAAACAATTTCAAGAACGCTTTGACAAGCTCCGCCAATGAATGCCAGCAGACGAGAAAGAACACTTGGCGAGCTTGCTGTTGACTAGTCATGACATGACATGTGCTTCGCTCTCCTCCATTCTCGAAAAGGTCAAGGTCTGAGCGACCTGGCGCGCTGTCATTTAGCCGGGCTCGACATTGGCCACAACGCGCTGGGCCTTGCAACTGGGTTGCACACAGCGAGACACCATCTTAATCTTAATCCATTCGTTTGCCTGCCGAGGATGGCGCCAAAGCAGTTCTGGCAGCCAGGAGAAGGTGGCATCACATAACCTAGCTACTAGTTGTACTTCTGCGCATGCCAGTGACCGAAAACAGCTTCAGATCACTGATGCAGTGATAAGCTGCTTGCAAGCTGTCGCACTCTTACAACAAGAAGAAGTCCCTCATCGTGGCCAGACCACACAGAGTGTGGTCCACGGCCTATTGAGACTCATGCTAGCATCATTCAGCGAATCCAGCAGCATCTGCCTTTGTGAAGATCATGAATCATGAGGTGGCTTAAACGCCTCGACACCTGCCAGGAACCGATGGCAGTCACTGCGAATGGCACAGATCTCCGAGTCTTCAGCTGAAGCTTAGAGAATCAGAGACTCTAACAACGTGCTCATCGCTGACATCGCTGAAGAGCCTGCGGGCAGAGCCAAGTTCCTGTTCCTTTATAAGGATGACGTGAAGTCTTCCCGGCCAAGTTGCTCAGCGCTGGTAGCTCGACCGCACCACCTCAACGCACGTGCTAGCCCTTGCAGTCTGACAGTCCGTTGACACACGGTTTCCTTTTGAGGCCAGTAGCTTCGCAGAATGCTTGGACATGGGCCTCCGTGATTTGGAGCAGTACCCTTGGACAAGTGAACAGTTTATAAGTTGTTTCTTCTTTGTGAAAGCTGACCTGCCATGACCCGCCACAGAGAGTGGAACATGCTGTCACTTCAAAGTGCTTCTAGGACTAGGAGCCATACGCAAACCTCACAAGCCCAGCTGATAAGGTGCGGCGGCAACTATTTTGGCGAAAATGCTTGCTGTTGCATTGCAGAAGCTCTAAGCAAATGTCCCAACCTCGGCACAGCGAGTTTAATTTGAGTAAAGCTTTGCGGAGTCTCTTGCCGCTGAGGCAGTCCGACGTTGCTTCGGCTGTCCTTGCCAAGCACAGGACAGTTCCTCTGAGCACGGGCAGCTCGTGCAGCGGTGTGCGTCTTATGATAGTGATAGTGCCTATGTAGCCATGTAGTTCCCCTTGCAAGCAAAATCCTATCTCAACCAAGTCGTTCTCCTTGGTTGCAGGATTTGGCTTGCGTGCTTGCGGCGCTTTGGGTCAGGGATTCTGGCCGGGCGCCGGGCTGTCCAACCTGAAGATGCTGGACTGAGGGGATTACAAAACAACTACAACAGAGCACTTCAGCTGCACCGATTCCATCGTTTACCAGAGATAGGGGCATCATAGTCTGCTGCCGTAGCATTTCTGAGCACAGTCCTTGTCCCTGGCCAGGACCTCTCCGGCAATGAGCTGGTCGATGTGTCTGTTGAGTTGCTTTGCAATGGCTTCTCCAGATGCGCGTCCCTTCAAGAGGTGGGCCATAAACGGACATGAGTTCACATGGGAACATGTCTGAACTTGCGGTACACTTTCCGATGTGGGGTTCACTGCATGTCAAGCCATGATGCCCGAAAGCTCCTCGAGGTGCAGCTGTCAGACAACGTACCGCCCCCCAGACCATGTATATAGGGGACGGGGCATGACGGGGCCACAGAGTTCGAAGCTGGGATTGCGTTACTGCGTAGCTTCCGGAGGGCGGCGGAAGCAAAGGAAATGGGCTAGAAGGGAGATGAGAGACCATGTGCTGCAGCTGTGACAATTTGTCAAGCATGTCGACATCATGCCAAACTTCTGGCGATGAGCTGGAACTCAAGTAGGACAGTCCGAACTCGAGCCTGCTCAAGGTCCGAGTAAGTGCCACTGCTTCGAATCCCTTATTCAGACGAGTAGCATGGCAACATCAGAGCACACACGCCCAAAGAGCACCCGTCGCCTTTCGCATGTCCTGGAACTGGCAAAAGAGTGGAACTGCTTTCGATGAAGCAGCCGATGAGTTCATCAAGCGCTGCAAGCTTGACGATGCTTCGATCACTCTCTTGCACCTTGGTCGACAGGAATACATATACTGTATTTGCCTGCGTATCTAGCCTTGAGCAGCCGCGGTTTCCGAATCTCCTGCATCGCAGGTCTGGAATTCCTGAGGATGTGAAGGAGAAGATCATATCCAGTTCGACTCGGGACTGGGAATCGGGTTTGTCCTACACGCGTTTCTTTAGAGTAGTGCTGGATGCTTGGGCGTCACAGCTCTCACTTCATCGGCATCGCGCAGTGATGAAACTGATTCAAAACACACCGGAAGAGGCAGGGTAATTACCCCGAACAAGCTGATGCTGTCTTTGCCTGTCTGTTCTTTGCATCCTCTCATCGCAACAGAAGAACCACTGCGCAGCAAGCTGTAAGCAAGCTTCCTGCAGCATTATCTCGTCCAAGTTTCGGCATGTGTGCAAGAGTCCGCGAGTGTACCCTGTGCGAGGTCATGCGCATTGTCATGATGAAGTTTGACCCGACACGCACTAAAGACAAGAACTTGGCTGCGCGACTCACTGCCTTCCTCCAGTCTGTTCTGCGCACCGGCCAGCATGAGAAAGGAGAACCATATCGCGGTATGGTGACCAACTGCTCCATACCTGAAAAGGATGTTGGAAGAATATTAGGCGAATGTGGGGCCACGATGAAGAGGGTTGTGGAGTGCATTTGCGAGTGTCTCAACCATGACGAACGCAAGCATGGACATCGCCCTCTTGTCCAAATGGCCTACAGCAACGGGTGCAGTCGGTTCGAACTTGTCTTGTATCCACCTTTCAATAACGAATCGTCCTTCGAGGATGCCTCCATTGCAGTGCGCGAGATGGTGCAGCATATACTGAAAAATCCATCTGATTTCGCCGGATCTGCAAACTGCAAGATGCCGCCACGTCTACAACTAGATGATTGGATGTGTCCCAACAAGAAATGCAGAAACGTTTGTTTTGCCAGGCGTGCTACTTGCCTTCGCTGTGGGGAACCCAAACCGGCAGAATGGACTCCGGCCCACCTTGCCCGAGATGGGAAGCAGAAGAGGATCCGAACCCTGTGCATGTAAGAATCACTAATTGACTTATTGAGTCTAACTATGCTGTGTCAGAGCACAGGTAAGCCTTTAGGCAGGTATGTTGAAACGTGAGTTATGTTATTATTGATGTGCACATTGAACATGGGGTCGTGCCTGGCCGTGCTGTGCCGAGGAGTTGTGCCAATGAGAGAGCTTGTGAAGGAAATGGAGTTGGAAAGCGGTTGCTGCAGAGTCTTGTGGCTTTTTCCCGCAGATCAGCGGGAGGCCTTGCTTGGCCCACGCGGCCATAGAGTTCAGAAGATCAAGGCAGATGCCGGCTTGCAAGCCCTAATTCTTACGAGAGAACTGGAGACCGAAACATATTTTGGTGAAGTTTATGCTCAAGCCCACTTAGCAGGAAGGCCTGAGAGCACCAGAAAAGCAGTGGCGATAATCAACTCTCTGGTCGGTGGCCGGCTAGCGGAGGATGGATTTGAAGAGCTGCTGCGTGCATCTGAAGCAGCCCTGGAGAAACGCGGATTGTTGACATTTGAGTCACTGACGGAGCTACCGGAGATACGAGAAGCAATGGCCCGCACAAGGATCTTGCGCCAAGGAGTCGGCTTGCGGACCCTCCTCGAGATCTTGTGCCAATGGCCAGAGTATTTCGTTATACAGCGAACAGGTCCACAGGGTGCAACGATTGCCAGCCCACACCGAACCGATGGCAATGCCAATGCCGCGTAAAAAAGTGGGGCTGATTGCGTAGCTACTGTCGTGGGGTACGGGAAGCACGGCATCAGCAGGAGCATCTCCATCTGAGCTTGACACTTCAGGTGATTGGAAGCCGTGGCTGCATTGTGCTGGCTGGCGCCCTGCCCCACAGCTGCACACAAAGAGTGCACCAGGATGTCCAACCAATGCTGGCACTGAGGCAGGCGCAAAGGCAGGGCTGACATGATTCCCGTCTGAAGCACGCAATTGTGCCAGCGAACTGTTTCTTGCATCACAAGCCAAGAGTGTGTAGGCACCTGGCGACGGCGCCGCAAACAGGCAGGTTGCTAGAGTGCCGCGAGGACTGCAACGACCGCAGCACTGGCTAATCTGCACAGCTGGGAGGCATCGTCTTGCTGGGGCTCAGTGGCAATCCTCTGGGCAACAGCGGTGCGAAAGCCATGGCTGCCGCCGCTGCTGCCTGCACCCAGGAGCCTGGCAGTGCCTGCCAGAGCATTCGCGTCTTTAACGGCCGAATGCCGAATGCCTCCTGCTCTTCGCAGGATCCACGCTGCTTGCCCTTTGAGGCTTCCTGGGGCTTGGAGCAGCTGGAGCTGGCTCGCACCAAGGTAGCGAAAAGAGGGAGTGGGAGGGCGGCCAGAAGGACATGAGATTGTCCCCGAAAAAAAAGACGCTGAGATTCGCAAGTGACTTCGCAGGTGGGGCAAGAGGGCTGTGATGCCTTGGCTGGCGCTGTTGCAGCACGAGCGGCCTTGGCCGAGGAGGCAAGCCGCCGCCTCGCAGAGAGGTCTCTGAACCAGGCCCGCAACACGCAATATACGCAGTTCAGGGTGGACGCAGTTGAGGGTTTGTCACCCTACACCACGAGAAATCATGAGTTCTGAACACTTGAACCTGCCGAAGCTGCAAGGTGGAGCTACAAGACAGATGGGGCCGGCGGTGCCCGGCAGGCCGCGATAGCAAAGTGTGCTGCTCTGGCGCTTTGCTTCGTTCCTGCGAAGCTGCGAAGGACTGACAATTACGGGGTTGGATGTTTGCCCACGCCTCAACATCGTCACAGCCACCTAGAGCTTGGAATGCCGTTGCGTCAACTGGAAGCCCATGCTTTATTGCATGCAGGCGATGCCAACGTCACAGAGATGCTGCACACTGCGCACAGGCGCATGGTGGCGCATTGGCCAATGGCTAACCAGGTGGCCCTTGAACAATGTTGTTAGGAAGGGGCACACAGGACACGTGCTGATACGTGCTGTGTGTCAGGACAGCGGCTTGGCTTGGGAAAGCGAGCAGCCTGCGTGGCTCGGTCTTTGCCAGGACAAATCCATTCAACCATTCTCCGTACACACGGTTTACAGATGTTGACAATGAAGCTTGCGCAGCACTTGGCTGCGTTGTTGAATGTGTTCTCTTTCTCGATGAGTTTCTTGACTGTGAAGGTGTTTTTGCATGTTCATGTGGCTGCCTGGCTGCCAGCCGCTGTTCCGTGTCATCATGTCTCTTATACCATGCTCACTCTTTGGCTCGAGCTCGGCGCCTTTTAAGCCCGCAAAGCTACAAACGTCTTTGACCTCAGCTCTTCTCTAAGAATATGGGGGTTTACTGGGAAGATGGTCTTGGGATTATCAGACTCATTCGGAATCATTCCGTGAAATTCGAAATCATTCCAGATCATTCGGTGTAATTCCGAATCACTGTGCTTCTAAACTCCTTTGCTAAGATTCTCAGAAGCTGGACACTTGTTGTGTTTTTGGTTTTAAGATTCTTTAATTGGATTGTTTGTTTTTTATATGTTTGGCACGTTTGGATTTTCCAAAAGATGTTCATTTGTTGGAAATTTCTCGATTTAGGAATGTTTTGGAATATATATTTTTTGCAAGCTGTTGTTTCCTTTTTGGAAGTTTTTGGATATTTTGGGAAGTTTTTGTTATTTGTTTGGTCTGTTCTGGTTTTTCTTGGAGTTTTGCTTTTGGCTTTTTTTGGGAACAGTTTTTTATTTGTTTTTGTTGAGTGCTTTTGTTGGTGTTTCTTTGGGTTTGTTTGGCAAGTTTGTGAATGTTCCGGATGTTTTTGATAGAAAGCTCTCAGGGATTGGTGAGGTTTTTTGAATGTTTTGGAATCTTGGAATGTCCGGGAATATTGCGTTTTCTTTACAACTGTAAAATGTTTCAGATATGCTTTGGAACTTTTTGGAATGCTTCGGAATGTTTGGGAATGTTCCGGATTCTTCACGGAATATTCTGGAATGCCCCCGTACCTTTAAGAAACTACCTTATGGATTTCACTAAAAAGTCTTTTGATTCTGCGGCAGGCCCTGGTGCACGTTTCCTGGTGCATTGCGTTGGTGTTCGACCAGAGCTGCGTGCAGCTCGAACACCACAAAGCTCCGGGAAACGTCGATTTGGTTTTGCTCGTGGCTTCCTCTCCCTTTTCGAACTTGAGTGTCACTGCTTTCACTGCGCAACAGGGGAAGCATCAGCACTGCGCAGGGATCGAGCACCAATTACGGAACAGCTGGTCTACAGTTGCCGAATGTATAAGCGGAAGCGGCCTGGACTTAGAGCCGACATCTTCAGGTGTAGCCCATCAGGCCCATGATGTGGGGAACAACTTGTTTAGTATACCAATTGCGCCAGCAGGGGGCTTTCCGCAGTCTCAGCAACACAAAAGATCGCCGGCTTGGGAAGTTATTTGGCCTCTGAGCCGAGATGCGTTTCATCTTGAAGCCACTGCGTGCATCGGTGCCGGAGTGCTTTCGCTGCCACAGTCCTTGCTACCGCCATGCCTGCCCCGGTCCAAGAGAACAAATGAAAAAAGATGGCGAATGAGGGGGAGAGAGATGCAGACACAGATGGGGGATGTTGGGCAGGACGTGGATGTAGACCACTTCGTGCACAAGGAGGCTCGACACAGCATCAGCACGGTTGTGTTGGATGTGCATGTGTGCTTAAGCAGAGCATGGAGAGTCACTATGTGCCTGGGGCCGACCATCCGACACATGACCTGCAGAAGGACTGTAGCACAAATACAGCAAACGAGACTTGCTTAGCGATGCTGCAGATTTCCTCCAACATGTCCACAACCGCGCAGAGGACACAAGGTTCGCTCATGAGGCACTTTGTTGGGGAAAACGCTCTCGAAACCATGGAATGAGCGGACCAGACAATGGCCAATGCTCGCTGTGTCCACTCATCGTTTGTTTGTGAAACTTGTCGCGCAAGCAAGCCAAGCGGCATTTTTGCCGAAACGTGTTTGCAACCCACAGATGTGACCCTGCTTGTTTCAGTCCCGGAGCCTTGTCGTAAAACAACCGTCACTACGTCGCGAGGGAGCACTTCTCTAGTTCATTCTATCGCTCGCTTGCACTTTCCCAGGCAACTGCGCAGTTGGTTGAAACACCTATATTTGGTGCCCAAAAGTAGGGTCACCGGGATGAGCGATACTGGGGTACAGCAACTATTCTGAACTTTGAACAGCCACTTCAGTTGAGACTGCAAAGTAAGTGGCAGAGGACTGAGGGGATTGCCTTCTTTGTGACACTGTCGACACGCCCAATGTCTTCAAACACGCCATTTCTGGCACGAGGCTGCTAGCATCGAGAATGTGGAGTCACAGGGCCCAGAGAGTTTGCCTCAAGGGCTTCAGTTTCATCCATTGGTAGCAAAGGCAGCACTTGAGACTCGTGGCTGCGTCCGCCCAGGCTGGAAGAGTCATACTTTGCCACGCTCCATCGACCAGGCGATTCAAAGCTGCCACAGAAGCCTGGAGCCTGGCACAGTGCTGAAGAGGCTCCGGTCAATGGAACATATGTAGCATATGCACAATACGCAAAAACAGTCTACAAATTACAAGTTGTTTGTTGACTGGCTTACAGAAAATGCTCGCTGGCCAGAGCCCAGGCCAGCCGTGGGGGCTACTCGGCTTCGATCTGATAGCTGCAAAGCTTGCACTTCGCCTGGGCCACCATAGGATGTCTTCGGGCTAAAATTCCAGCCAAGTGTCAGGGATGCAGGGCATTTCCCGGCGAAGTTACAGGTTCTGAAGGAGTCCTTGGGAGGGACCGCAGTCACCCGCTCTCTCCGGCCAGTTTGACAAGGAACCTTTTGGAAGTTGAAAGACACAAAGCGTGTGACTTACAGGGAATCGATTTTTTTAAAACTAGTGCCTGGTGGAATGACTCTCCATTCTACAGTCTACAGTGTCACTGCACACCCTGCCGTTCTGGGCACCTTCCAAACATAACCACGACGGTCCTGACAGTCGTGCTGGCTTGAGACCATCTCAGAGACTCTGCATGGGGCCCCATTGCAGCCGCAATTTGCCAGGTCATACCAGGTCCCGCTAGAGACACAGGGTGCCTTACACCTCCAGAAAAAACACACAAGAAACCATCCAAAGATGACACCTGGCGCACACAGGGCCTCCCAGGCTCAGTCGAACATTGCAGTTTTGGCGTGTTACCTTGATCAAAATGTGCAGAGTTCCGATTGCCAAAGATCTCCTGGTGGGCGGAGAAGCTCAAGACACCCGCAGCAAGGCGTCACTGCGAGCATGGCTCTCAATGATGGCACGAAGTGGCGTTCCTGTCTCAGGAGCGACAAGTCCCCCGTGCAGCTGCTCAAGAAGAATTGCTTGTCGGGCAAGCTAAGGCGCGAATAGCATGCACAACCAGCTATCCAGCAGAGCTGTCAGCAAGGTCGTTCTCCATTTTTTTTCACAGTGTGCCCCGATTCTTGGACACTCCCCCGGGTCCATCGGCATTCGGAAACTCTGCGCATCTCTGCGGCCAAGGCTTTGGCTGCCAGGCTTACTGGCATTCGACAGTAACCCCCCGCTATCATGTTTGCTAGCAAAAGCCAAAAGAGGACTGCCCGACAAACAGAAACGAGCATGGTGAATTCCTCGATGTACGAGGCTTGCAGAGCAAACGGAGGGTCGACTGATCTTTTTATCAATAGATTTCGGAGTCCAACCAGGCTCTTGACCCGTGTCTCGGCACGGACAAACAAAACAAAAAAAACATTTGCCAAAGCCTTGCGGTGCCAGTTTCACAAGCCATTCTATGTGCACACGGCTTCAGCAGCAGGATTGCTTACGTAAGTAAAGCTAGGGCCATGCAAGAAGCTGTCAAATCCAGGCTTATTTCCAATTTCGTGCCCAAGTTGCTTTGAAACCCTGCAATTGCACAGTTTCCGATCCCTTCAGTCTCGATCCCGTCTGGTATCGTATTTTCCAGAACCTCCGTTCGACCTGATTTCAGGCCGCCCCGGCCACAGAGGTCAACACAGGCTCGATGCAAGGAAGTCGCTTCGCTGCAAGCCGTTGCGCCCGCACGATTACATATGGACCGGGAGCAAGTGATCGTCACTGGCAAGTTCGCTGCCCAGCTAAGGATCATCTCCCGTAAAAGGCAAGGGCAAAAGCAGTCCTGGCAAGGCCGACGTTGCCGCGACAAGCTTCAGAAACGTGAGAGTTGCATGACTCGTGAATCTTAGGCTCCCTAACTTTCGAGCGTGCAGAGAATTTGAGAAGCCGCCGCAGGGCACTGGACCACCTCCCAAGGGGAAGGGCCTGGGCCCTAGTCTACTGAGTTTACTATGTTCAACAGATCACGAAAGGATCCCAGCCGGCTCAAATACAAAGACCAAAGTCCGCTTTAGTACTGAAAGTGTCAACTGTCGGCTCTGATACTGCTTGGCGGGTACAACTACAGGTACTGCCTACAGAGAGATTCATGCGTTGCTCCTGCTCCTTCGAATTTGAGGGGCGGAGACCAGGAATGGCCACCCCTGGTGACATCCGTTGTTTCTGTATGTTGATGTTGCGACGGTTGTTTAAGCTGCCCTAGCTTTCATACTGCTGCTTTCATGTCCTCTGCGTATGTTGCGTTCTTTGTTACGGCATTCTTTGACTGCGTCTTTACATACTGCACAATGCCATGACCAGAACAAATGGAAAGACTAAGGCAAGAGCTCAGCCAAAGGAAGAGGCAAAGGAGTGGGAAAAATTGGAAAAGAGGCCAAAGAGGCCGATGAGAGCCAAGCGAAGGGAGCGGCCCCTTTTGGACGGAGAATGCATTGGGCGACTTGGCCACAGTTTTTCCTTTTGCGAAGGGATCTCTCGTTTTAAGAGTTTGTGAGTCGTAAGATCTGTCGCTTGAGAAGAAGATGGTGATGCACAAGGGCTAGGGCGTGGCTGTTTGCTCTAGTCTACCTTTTTGGTGCAAGCTTCTGTTAAGCAGAGTCGTGCGCGAAGCCTGGCAGCAAAGCATCCCAATTGCAAAAAAGGTGGGTGATCCGGATCCGAGCGTCTCGCGGTCACTAGCATTTGCGAGCATTCATGAGGGACCAAGCCTGCGGGGATTGTTTGGAGCCTTTCTTTAAGCTCGAGGGCCCACCGCGACGACGTCACCAGGATGCCGGGGTCGCCATCCTTGTAACTGTCGTCACCTTGGGGTTTAGGGTTTAGGGCTTAGGGAGGGCAAAGTTTGAAAAATCCAAAGTGCTGACAGTCACGAGCATGGTGAATCTCGGCGTCGCCATCCTTGTGACTGTTGGCACTCTTTAGCTTATTTCAAGCTTAGCAGCGTTTTCATGAGATCGCTTCGCCAAACAACACCGTGCTCATCCGTTCTTCCTGTGGCCCTCTTGTGGAGTGTTGTATGCCTATTCTGCCCATGCAGGGAACCACAGCATAACACAGTCTGCTGTTGTGCCGAAGCTTAACTAGGCCTCACATTGTTCTTGTCGTGATTTCCCAACACGCAAACAGTTTAGAGTTTAATTTTCTGACTCCTTCAGCAGGTTGTTCGGCAGGTTGGCTGCTTAGGAAACTGCCGGCAGCGGCACGTCTTGAGTTTTCAGACTCGCTCGCGATGAGTATAGCCCACTCGCTCAGCGCTCAATCAAGTATTTCTGTTGCTGCCAGACCGCGCTTCCGTTTTCGAATCCTCGACAACATCGTTACTTTGCAGTGTTTTTTTCCCTACCCTCGGTGTGGGGTTGTTCGATTTCAACCTCAACTCTTCTCCTCGCCCGGTCTGCTCCTCGCTCCTGGAGTGCCCTTGGAGTGCCCCCCAACCCCAGAGCATCCCTGGAGTGGCCCCAGAGCATCCCTGGAGTGTCCGAAGAGTATCTCTACCCAGAGAGGGTAGAATATTTCTGGGTGTGGTATTTCGAAGACTTTGCCTTTTCTCAGGGATTTGTTCGTTATTTACCAGGTTTCATGGCTTTGTCAAAACCCTGCGTTTCAATTGACATGTTTTTGTGTTTGCGGCAAGTATTCTGGGTCCAATCATAGATACCCGAACGTGGACAGAACGTGGGGTTTGTTGGGGGTGGACGAGCGGGGGATAGCGTCCACATTGTCCCAGCATCCGTGCCCAAACAAGAGCCTGCGTTTTACGATGTCTTTGTGTCTGCGGGTCGCGAGATCAGGGTTTTGTAGCGATTCATCTAATTATTCGTGTTCGTGGCCTATCGTATTCGATCGAATTGTTTGAGAGGTGGTTGCCGTCTCATCCTTGTTTTTTTGCTTGTGTTGCAAAAACGAGGTGCAGCCTCAATACAGACAGCCCGAACATGAGACAGTCTTCGGAGACCCGGATGCTGCTATGGACTTGGACACGGATGTGCTCGCATCACTGCTCAGCGGTGGCTATGCGTTGAACAGTTGTTCTTTTTCTATCTCTGAAAATGGCTAGGAAAATAGGTATCACTGGCTTCTGAATTTCAGCTTCAACCATGGGACGTTGAGGCACAGCTACGAAAATGGCACCGAAAAGCCGTGCCGCGCAACAGCGGAAGGCGGAAGGGATCAAGGTGAGGAGCATGTGCTTGTGATCTTTTTCTATTGATTCTGCATTCTGGTTGCGCTGCCCCATGCAGAGTAGCCGATCTTGTTGTCTTGGCAAGGTTCTTGATGCCTCCAGGGCACAAAATATTGCCATCGTATTGAGCAAGCTGCCAATGTCATCCGAAGACGTCTGCGAAGCTTTGGCAAACCTTGAGTTTTCCCGGCTTGCACTGTCGGATGACATCGTGGAGCTGCTTACAAGTGTGCTTCCAACACCGGAAGAAACACAGAAACTCAAGATTCACAAGGACTCGCCTGAAAACTTGCGGGATATTGAGCAGAAGGTGCTGCCTTTCTGCTTTCTGCCTCGTGCCACGGCTCGACTACGACTGTTTCGATTTGCTGCTTCGCACACGGAGAGCGCGTCAATGTATTTGCAACGGTGTCAAACCCTCCATCTTGCTGCGACGGAAGCAAGAAACAGCCAAGAACTTCGCAGGGTTTTGGCGATCATACTTCGCATTGGCAACTACATAAACCACGGAATGAAGGATGTCAGCGGCGCGGCCGGCGGCGCATGTGCTTTCTCCATTGAGACACTAGCGGCAATAACAAGCTTCAGACTTGGCAACATGTCTACGCTCCAGTTTCTTTGTGTGACTCTTCGCCGCACGAACCCAAACTTTGTCGATGCGCTGTCAGAGAGTCTGAAGCATGTTGCCGCGGCGGCCAGGGAGAAAAGTGTGCATCTAAAGTCATGTATCCACGCCTTCCTGAGCGAGGTGGAGTTCGCAGAAAGAGAGGTATCTCACATGCCAGAGGATCAACCTTCTTCAGGGGCCACAGACGCTCTACTGAAAGATCTTTCCTCAGAAGTTGCTGAGCTCAAGGACTCCTTGGGGAAGGCATTCAGCAAGTGCGAGGAGGTACAAGAATATTTTTGCACGTCGGAGGACAGACCCAAAGACTCCGCACCGCCGCCGTACGAAAATTTCTTCCTGCACCTGTCCGACTTCCTTGACTCTTTGCGCAAAGCTTGGAAGGAGACAGCACCTGCAGCACCTGGGCCAAGTCAGCAGGCAAAGCTTCAGGCGAAGCCCAAGGTGCGCAAGCGGCGAGATCCTTCAGAAAGCACAAAGAACGCGGCCAAAGCAGGCCCGCCCATCTGCCGCAGAGCCTTTCCTGACTCGGCACCAGCACAGAAGCCAGAAAGCCCAAGAAGAACTGGCCAACAAGTCGACGCTGTGCAAGAAGTGGCTCCTTCCTCGCTTGCGAAGCAAGACCCTTTCTGGGAGATGGAGGTTGATGTGGAGGCGCTTCTTAGTGATATTTTCGCTACTCAGGATGAGAGACTTGGTTTGGACTTGGAAACATCAACGGGACCTCGGGACTCGGATTGCTGTTCCTCAGCTTCTTTGGACTGGACCAAGAATGTCAAAACGATGTCCAGCGAAGCTTCTGTGCTTCTCGAGAACACAAAGGCAAAGGACAATGAAGTGCACATAGACGTGGATGACTTGATTGACAGCATCTTTGATTGATCCTGGTCCACGCTGCCTGGCCTGAGGGGGCCGAGGGTAATTCGACAATTTTCCTGTATCAGCACCATTCAGATTCAAGTCCGCCACCCACTGATGGACAGATGTTTGAGAAGTGTTCCTATCAGACTGGGTCTGTTCACCCTTGGTAGCTGTCATCTTGGACTTGATCAAAGGAGCTGAGGATGCACGCAGCTGCGAAGGACCAAGTCGCAATCGCTTGATTGCACAAGGCCACCGCTCAGGCGACGCCAATCTCCTGAGGCATAATTCGGGTCTAGTGAGCCTACTTGCGCGCGGATCCCGGCAAGGAAAAGAATGCGGCTGTGTCATCACAAGTTGCTCTAACACTTGGTCAAACCTGGGCTTGTAGGAAGACCTCCATACTGTAGCTGAAGACATTCTCTTTGATTTTGGATAGGTCTTGGATGCTTGAATTCATACAGAGTTGTTATGAAGTTCCTAGTGGCCTCCACCTGATCTCGCTCTTCTCCTGTTTGTCATGTCGACATGGTGCATTGCATCTTGCGTAGTGGTGTCGCATGGTGTAGCCTTAGCGGCTTGGCGATGGCATGCCCACCAAAACAGATGCACCGTTGACGTAGCTGGCATGTGCGTACACATGTATGTATATGTGCATGCATTAGCAGTTCTTTTTCTCTCTCTCTCTCTCTCTTTCTATAGATATACATACATACATACATGCATGAATGTGTATGGTCATATACCTTTGACTCCTGTAGTTGGCTTCTCCATCATGGCGGGCGCGGGCCCGCTGTTTATTGACACCAAAGATGGCGCCGACATCAAAGGGACACTTGGAGGCATTCAAAGCTTTGGAGTGGTTGTCCAGAATACGCACGGGCCTGCCGGTTTGAAACCGGATGGCACGGACGTCCTTCATGTCAATGCCGAAGTTCTTTCAGTCTCTTCGCGAAGCCGAATGATCATGTTGGTGTTTCATCCATTTGCTAAGGGCATATCTGAGCATCCTGTGGCGTCCATGTAATATGTCAGGTATTTCAGCAGGCAACTGCTTGGAAGAGCCTTGATGCCCCTTTGCTGCCATGGGCCATGGCGCCAGCAGAAAGCCTGCAGCTGCCCGGGCCGGAACCGGCACCGTGGTGATCAATACAGGGCTGATGTCCACATGGGTAACAAGCCTCGCCGTGCACCCTGTTTTGCTATTTGGGCGTTTGGATGCCTATTCCTAGGTCTGTGTGACTGGTTTCTCTTGTCCTTCTGGTCCGCCCATCCCAAGCATTGCGCCCCTCCCCCCCCCGTCCCCTCATTTACCCTACACTCTCTTTCCTGTATTTGTCTCTTCGGTTCAGAGTTGTCGATGGGGATGGTTTCTTTTGCAACGAGTCCACTGCGAAAGTGCTTCACTTCTCCATCATGAGCTCGATGATTCTCTTGGAGCGGATCACGGAGCCCCGGGCAGTGCAGCTGACTAGCCGATAAACTGTACCGGGCCACAACCCTCCAGGTGTGCTAGAACTCGCACCACAGCTGTCCAAGTGTCGAGGAGTCTTAGAGGGTGCTTGTTCACTCATTCCGCACATAGACACTTGCACGCACGTCGGAGCACTTTCGGACATTGTAGTTTCCAGTTCCACATGTTAATTACTTTCGCCTGTCACACTGCCTATACAGCCGCAGCTCTATTCCATTTCCTTCCCTCCTCCCATAACCGCTTGACTTTCTCTTGTGCCTGCATGTGCCTGCTTTCGCATTCTCAACATATCGTCGTTCCTTGCGCATGTGTTTACTTCAGCCTCTTGCTTGCTGCTTTCTGCCACTTGCAGGTTCAGACCCTGAGCGGGCATGAATCTGGTGTCCTGGCCTTGTCGCTTGGAAAGCTAGGGGATGTTTTCCACAAAATCAGGGCTTCTTCGTGAAGGTCCATTAAATCCTGATCTTTGCCGCTTGAACTCATTGCGTGTGAGGTCTTGGACACAAAATGGGCAGTACATCATGACTGCATCGCAGGATCAGCCACAAAGTCTGCATTTGCACACTTGTATTGCGGTGCACAAATGATCCATTGGATGCGGTCGCGATCCGTGCTTGGGAAGGACAAGTCAGTAAGACTTTGGAACCCACACAGCGGCAAGCACATCAAGAAGTTTGCTGGTTGTCACAATCAGGAAGTAAATGATGTTCGGAGACTTGCCGTACATTATTGAGCCCCAACTTTGCGGTGCATTTCCTATTCTGAGCAATCCAGTGTAGCATGTGGAACCATGTTGCTGGTCGAAGGATAGCCGCTGACAACAGCAAGTTTGTTTCCTGCGGATCCGACAAGCTGATCTTCCTGTGGGATGTCACCTCTGGACAAGCGATCCGAAAGCTGGTGGGCCACGATCGGAAAGTCAACGCGCTTGCGTTCGGACCAAAAGAGGACGTGCTGTTAAGTGCATCCCACGACAAGACAGTGAAGATTTGGGATATGCGAACGCGATCGCGAGCTCCCATCCAGACGTTGAGTGATGCTGCTGATTCCATTCTGTGTCTTCTAGTTCACAAGGATGCCTCTCGGCAGCGCCAGGCGTCTCTTTGAAAGCTAGTCCGTTTTTGCGGGAACATGCTCATGTCCGCCATGTCACCATGTCTCGCAAGGAAATCATTACTGGAAGTGTTGACGGAGGGCTGCGTCATTATGACGTGCGGAAGGGACAAATGGTAACGGACAGAATTGCAACATGTTCATTGTACTGCAGCGATCGGGTGGACCCTTAACGACCTTAATGGGCTTTTGTATCTGTGTCGGTAGGACCAGCTGTTGCAGCCGATTGGCAGCATTTCAGTCTCGGATGATGGCCAGTGCCTTTTGGTCTCCACACTGGACCGGGGGCACAGTCCGTTTTTCCATGGGAATTCCATCAGGCCAGCTTTAACAAAGCGATTCTGCTGCTGCACAGTCCCTTGACAGGACAGCACTATCCGTCTTCTGGAGCATGAGGCTCGGTTGGGTAGCGAATTTGTGGCCACGTGCCCCACGCTCCTTCGATGCCTTGCACGTGCAGCTGCCCTTGCATGTCCAGTTCTAGTTGGTCGTGAATGGGTGGTTGCATTGTCGACTAGGACGGGTCCGAGCTCGCAATCTACAGTGGGCATGTCAACCGGAGCCTTGTTTGGACTACGTCATGTGCCATGTCTGTGGAAGTATTGTCGAACACTGAACCACGGAGAAACCGAGGCGTGTGAAGCTGCGCAGTTGTCTGGACCCTTCGGACTCCTTCGTTATCAGTGGCTCGGAGGACGCGTTGTGGGCAGACATGACTTGCAGGAACTGTGTATGCAATTGCATGTGCAACATAGTGCAACATGCATCGGTGCATCTTGAGGATGGTATGCTCCACTTCTGGGAGTTGGTGGAAGCCACGCCATTACGCCGGAGCAAGTCGCACGAGGCTGCTCCACATTGTTCCGCTTTGCTCAATGAGTCCATGTCACCACACCTGTGGGTCTGCGAGCCATGTGATGCCCGCTGATTTTAAGTTATGTCACCTTTGGTCTTGTGCAAGGCTGCGATATTGTGCCTTGCTTTCCATGGAGAAGCCTTGGCCGCTTGCACAGCATGAGCATGTGCGCAGTGCTCCTTTATTGCTGTTTGGTTCAGGCATGTCGAATTATTAGTGTTCCCCTGTACCTGGAGGTTGGAAAGTGATTCAGTCCTAAATGGCTTTGCTGCGTGCGGGTTACAGAGTTATTGTAAACAGGTGGCTAACAAGGCTCGGAGCATTTGCGCAGAACGAAAGAGAAAAGCGGTTGAGCCAG